CCTGTATTAAGGATATTCAGTTGGCCTTTTTTTGGACAGAAAATGTTTGAATGAGAATAAAAGAGAATAAATATTAAATAAATGGAGCATATATTGCCTCTGTCCTCAAAGGATAATATAGAAAAGCTTAGAACCAAGCACACAGAGCACCCGCTTTACTTGAAACGGGTACATTGAATTCCACAAAACCTGTCTTTGTTCAAGGCAGCCTTCTAAAAAGGCTACACTTTTTATGTATTTAAAGTTTGACATGTTTTCCATTCACAACCCATATGCAGTGCATTGGTAACTAATATTACATACTGTGGCCCATGACTCTTAAACTCCATAGCTTGTCCTCTGTATTTGATCTCCCTTTGAACAATACATTCCTTCGCACAAATTACTTATTGAAACATATTTATATTACTTTTTCATTCTAAACAGCTTTTTAATGATTTAATGGTGCAAATGTTATACCCCTGCTTTGAATGTGTCATCTTTGGCCAAATATTGACAATTTACCCAGCCTTCACCAACAAGTCCTTGTTTTATAATATGTATGTCTAGTAACATTTTATGTATTTTACAAGTGTAGTAAAGTAAAATAATGAAACTATTTTGCATGGATATTTTTTTATTTTATAAGCGAAGTGATGCTGTTAACTTGACTGAAAACGGCCATTGATTTGCTGACCATTATGGCAGAATGGTTAAAGGCCAAGCACCTGACCTGAAATGTACACTGCTCAAAAAAAAAACACTAAAATAACACCTAGGTCTGAATGAATGAAATAATCTTATTAAAACCTTTTTTCTTTACATAGTTGAATGTGCTGACAACAAAATCACACAAAATTATCAATGGAAATCAAATTTATCAACCCATGGAGGTCTGGATTTGGAGTCACCCTCAAAATTAAAGTGGAAAACCACACTACAGGCTGATCCAACTTTGATGTAATGTCCTTAAAACAAGTCAAAATGAGGCTCAGTAGTGTGTGTGGCCTCCACGTGCCTGTATGACCTCCCTACAACGCCTGGGCATGCTCCTGATGAGGTGGCGGTCCACCAACTCCTGGACAGTCTGTGGTGCAACGTGGCGTTGTGGATGGAGCAAGACATGATGTCCCAGATGTGCTCAATTGGATTCAGGTCTGGGGAACGGGCGGGCAAGTCCATAGCATCAATGCCTTCCTCTTGCAGGAACTGCTGACACACTCCAGCCACATGAGGTCTAGCATTGTCTTGCATTAGGAGGAACCCAGGGCCAACCGCACCAGCATATGGTCTCACAAGGGGTCTGAGGATCTCATCTCGGTACCTAATGGCAGTCAGGCTACCTCTGGCGAGCACATGGAGGGCTGTGCGGTCCCCCCAAAGAAATGCCACCCCACACCATGACTGACCCACCGCCAAACCGGTCATGCTGGAGGATGTTGCAGGCAGCAGAACGTTCTCCACGGCGTCTCCAGACTCTGTCACGTCTGTCACATGTGCTCAGTGTGAACCTGCTTTCATCTGTGAAGAGCACAGGGCGCCAGTGGCGAATTTGCCAATCTTGGTGTTCTCTGGCAAATGCCAAACGTCCTGCACGGTGTTGGGCTGTAAGCACAACCCCCACTGTGGACGTCGGGCCCTCATACCACCCTCATGGAGTCTGTTTCTGACCGTTTGAGCAGACACATGCACATTTGTGGCCTGCTGGAGGTCATTTTGCAGGGCTCTGGCAGTGCTCCTCCTGCTCCTCCTTGCACAAAGGCGGAGGTAGCAGTCCTGCTGCTGGGTTGTTGCCCTCCTACGGCCTCCTCCACGTCTCCTGATGTACTGGCCTGTCTCCTGGTAGCGCCTCCATGCTCTGGACACTACGCTGACAGACACAGCAAACCTTCTTGCCACAGCTCGCATTGATGTGCCATCCTGGATGAGCTGCACTACCTGAGCCACTTGTGTGGGTTGTAGACTCCGTCTCATGCTACCACTAGAGTGAAAGCACCGCCAGCATTCAAAAGTGACCAAAACATCAGCCAGGAAGCATAGGAACTGAGAAGTGGTCTGTGGTCACCACCTGCAAAACCAGTCCTTTATTGGGGGTGTCTTGCTAATTGCCTATAATTTCCAGCTGTTGTCTATTCCATTTGCACAACAGCATGTGAAATGTATTGTCAATCAGTGTTGCTTCCTAAGTGGACAGTTTGATTTCACAGAAGTGTGATTGACTTGGAGTTACATTGTGTTGTTTAAGTGTTCCCTTTATCTTTTTGAGCAGTGTATATAGTCAATGGTTAGAGCTACCATTGTTGACTCCCAATTGTGACTAGTATTTCTTAGGCCTACACTTTTATATGTGAAAGATTACATGTAATTGAAGAGGATATAGACTAGAGGAAGACAAAGCACAACCATTTACATTCGGTGATTGCATTACCAACCAACCCACACATTCACCAAGAGTGAATAAAACAACAGGCTGATCAGTTCATCAGTTGCAATTAATTTATTTAGGTATATTCAACACTTGGGAGTACCCCCAAAAAATCCATTAACTATTCATTCTCTTAACTAAACATGTGCAGGCAGTCAAAACCTATATGTGCTTTATGTTGAATTTCTTACACAAAATTAAACATTCAATGCTTTTACAAGACGTTTAAAATAACATAAAACAAAAACAAAACATCACTCTTACCTTGGAAAGCAGTAATTCACTTTTTAAAACAAAATATTATTGCAACAAAGTTAATAAATCCAGTGTACAATGGCTCACTACTAACTATGTAACTGTGCTCTCACCTGAACCAAATGTGACACAAGATTAATATTAAAAACACTATCAGTCCAGAGACCCCGGCAAAAATCTGACTTTCATTTATCTGCATGTGCAGCCCTTATATTTAGCCTCACAATGGAGTGTTTCACCATTTTCTTTTCAGGACAACCAGGGCTACAAGTAGAACACATAACTATTTGACATAAACAGTTGCATTCATGAGTTTTATTGACAAATGTCAATACCAAAAAAATCTGCCAAAGCAAACACCTGATAAAATGAATTTATATGAAGTACATAAATTGTTTGCTCACTGGGAAATTAATATCCAACTAGTCAGTGACAACTGTTTGTAATTTGTGACAGCCACTATGTGAGCTTATTATAGACACTATGTCCTGGGATTTCCTATGATCTTCTATGTAGAAGAATCCCTTACCTTCTAACGACTTTTGTGTAGCTTTTGAGCGTCATAGTTACACGTACGTGTTTGTGAGAGTCTCACCTTTTCATAAATATCTTTGAATAGTTTGTAGCTCAAACCATTCGGACTCTACAGACGTTTTTGTAAGAAGACCCAGCCCCGGGCCTCTTCGGGATCCGCCCTTGTCTCACAAACACCGCTCTAGCTCAGCCCCCGTTATTTACAAAGACTAATGGCTGGTATCTACGGATGCAGAAGAAAGACAAATCCAAGGGTTCTACCCAGAAGTCCAAAATGCGCCGGTGTTACGGTGGGACTCATTGGGTTAGATAAATGATGTCAATCAGATACACTCAAATCCGCTTTCAAAAAGCTAATAACATGCTGTCACTTTTCTAAATATAGTTAATTACATTTTACCCTAAAGTAATCACAAATGCTTAAATTATCTGAGGTCAATCCACTTTTATAATAATAATATGCCATTTAGCAGACGCTTTTATCCAAAGCGACTTACAGTCATGCATGCATACATTTTATTTATTTATTTTTTGTGTATGGGTGGTCCCGGGGATCGAACCCACTACCTTGGCGTTACAAGCGCCGTGTTCTACCAGCTGAGCTACAGAGGACCACTTTTCATTGCTCTCAAGAAACTGATAATGAAGTGCCTTTCTATAAAACAAATGACCCAGTTCAAAATGAAATATCCTATATAGGTCTATGTTTTGGATGTATATAACCTAAAGTAAACAGAGACCCTTTATACGAGACCTGTATAACACAATCATAGACCTATATCAATCCACAGTCCACACCACGTGAGTAATATACAGTTAATGTAAAAGTATCAGCATCTAGAAAATGTAACTGCCCATCTAGAAAATTCTAGACTTCTGCATAGGACAGCCAAGCCTAATCTGAAGTACAATTCAATGATCCATGTATCTGGCTTTAATCTGGCTTTCTTGTATTCTCAAGCAGACAGTGACTGCTGTTGAAAGAACATCGTCAATGTTTCACACAATCCAGCAACTTCGGTAATCAATGCTCTTTTGTACTTCTATCAATCTTGTCAACGTTTTTTTTGTTGGGTAATATTAACCCAGAATTACACCTTCTCCATAACATTTCAAATCGGACTGCCCTTTTGTACAATGTCATCTTTGTTGCTGAAGTCATTGGTTTGGTAAGTTACTGTCGAGACAAACTGTTTTCCTTTCACAGGAGTTAGTTAGCCTATTTACAAACTGATACGCTAAAAGTCAAGGTGGATATTCCTTGTTCATTAAACTTCAGAGACAACACACAGACAGAAATATAGTACTGTACTGATGTTCTACAGAACAGAAGTTTAACATCAAGATGTTGACATATAAAACATCTGTCACCTGCGGGTAAAGCAGTTGAATTTTCTTTCCTTTAAAATGGTGTCAGTCTATGTTGCAAAACTTATTCTGTCTTTTTCTGTACATCAAATATGTGGCAAGAAAGGCAACAATAAATTGAAGCCTGGATAGTATACAATGGCATTCGGAAATCATTTAGCCTAAACAACATATCCAACCCCCTTTTGATGTTTTTTCCTTTAAAAAATGACGTTCTGTCTGACCAAAACAACTGACTTCCTGTGTCTGCATTTTACTTTCAGATGGGTTGCTTCTAAATGGAATGATCGCCATTTGCAATAAAATGCAAGGTTAGAATATGCTTTTTAACACTTAAGTAGAAATGTTCCCATTTAAGACTACAATGGCTATTGTTCGTATCACCAATTAACAAAAATCTGCTTGGTTCTAATCCAGCTACTGATTTTCACATACTAGGTTATTGGTTTTGATATGGGTTCTTCTTGCTAATCTGAAGAGTGACTGGCTTGCCCACTGACGTGTAGACTTTGGTTTTGTAGCTCTGCTGCCCTCCCTCCATTCTCTGCACCTCAGAGCAATATGCAGGCTTGACCTCTAGCTTGGTGTGGCTGACCTGGATGGGAATCTCTCTCTCCCTTCTAGACTGGCCTCCGTTTGGGTGGTGGTGGTGGGGGGTGGGCAGCCATGGAGAACATGCTGCCTGAGAGGTACTCTCTAAAGCGGCTGAAGAAGCCAGGCCTGTGCCTCTCCCTGAGCACCCACGCAGACGTCTCCACATTGAGCAGCACCGGCTGGCCCACGGCAGAGCCCCCAATCTCCCTCTGAAGCACAGAGATCTCACAGGGTCTCTCGGCAGGGGAGGGGCTGGTGTTGGAGGAGCCGTAGGTCTCCCACTCCCTGGGAACATAGTCCTCTAGGTCCTCCAGGGTGAGAACGCGACCGGCCTGGGTCAGGGTCTTAGGCCCCAGCTTCCTGAGAGGTTCCATGTTGTTGTCATCATCATCCGGTTCTGTGACGAAGGTCTCTTGCTGCTCCTCTAGCCAGGCTTCATGTTCATGGTCGTTAGGGATTAGAACAGAGGAGACCTCGCAGGCCTCTCCACTGGGTCCAGCCACATTCTCATCCTCCTCCTCCTCATCCCAGGGTAGAGGCTGAGCCCCCTGCAGCTCGGATCGGTTCTGCAGCTCTACCAGCTTGTTGTTGGAGTTGTTGGCGTTCGGGTTCGGGGACCTCCGTGGCCGGGTGGAGGAGGGGGTGTTCACTCGCTCCGATCCAGCTGGGGAGACCCCTCTCCTCCTGGATAGCCTGGGAGACTTGTTGACCTTGTACTCAATGATTTCCTCTACCTCCACCCACTTGTTCTCTGCGGCCTGGGCCCCAGCGCCCCTCTCGGGCTCCGTGATGTACAGGGTGGGGATGGTGGTCTTCCTGCTGGCGGAAGCCTGCCTCCTCTGCCTGGCCATGCCGGTGGGGGTGGTGGGGAGATCTGGGGTGGAGGTTTCGGAGCGGTTGAACCCGGATGGAGACACGCCGCGACGCTTCATACGGGTGTTCTTCACCACCGTAGTTATGGTCTCCTCTCTGGAAGGGGACACAGCACAGAGGGTTTTAGAGATGGACAGACCAGAAGGTACACTCTTTTAAAAAAAGTGTCATCTAGAACCTAAAAGGGTTCTTTGGCTGTCCCCATAGGAGAACCCTTTGAAGAAGCCTTTTTGGTTCCAGTTAGATCCCTTTTGAGTTCCATGTAGAATCCTTTACACAGAGGGTTCTATACAGAACCCAAAATAGTTCTACCTGGAACCAAAAGGGTTCTCCTATGGGGACAGCTGAAGAACCCTTTTGGAACCCTTTTTCTAAGAGTGTAATGTATGCTAGGAATAGCACAGAGGGTATGAGAGAGACAGCAGAGAGTGTGTGAGAGGGATAGAACAGCTTGTTGGCATGCTGTTTTCATAATAGGCCTACATAAGCAAGGTGTTAATTAGCATGTACACACACAGAGCAAAGTGGAGTCTTGTCTACTCATACAAACATGTTATGCAATAGTACATTAAGGAAAATGTGCAGACACAAAAAAATATTAACAACCATTCCTTATGACTTGCCTAGTTAAATAAAGGTTAAATAAATAAAAATAAAAAATGCAAACCATTCCATATGCATTCCATATGCCGGCTCATTGGAAGTTATATTTGGGGTTGAACGAGCCCCTCTCACACTCAGGGTTCAAATACTTCCTGGCCATGCATGCAGAGGCCTAAGGAGGACACGCACAAGTATACATGCTTCTTCTAGCCTGCATCATAACCTGGTCACACTTACATGATGATGGTTTTCTTTGGTATTTTAGTCTCCTGCTCGGTGACTGCAAGGAAAGCAGGACGGGGCTTATGGATTTAGCCAGATAAATTGATAGCTAATGTCTATACAAAAATACTACATCATCTAAATTGTTTGATCGTGGCTTATGGAAATGAAAGCATACATTCTCTACATTTGAAGGTCCTGGTAAAATAGTTACATTATTAAACTAATGCACAACGGTATGTGTTTGAATGGGTGTCACGCCCTGACTCAGGGGACTCTTATTTGTTGAGCGAGGGTGTGATTTTCTATGTTTGTGATCTAGGTTTTCTAGATCTATGTTGGCCGGTGTGGTTCCCAATCAGAGGCAGCTGTCGCTCGTTGTCTCTGATTGGGGACCATACTTAGGCAGCCTATTGGCACTAGTGGGTTGTGGGATCTTGTTCCGTGTGAGGTATGTTGTTTGTGTACCTTGGTCTTCACGTTTCGTTTAGTTTGTTGTTTTGTCGTTGTTTATTCGGTTCAAATAAACATGTATGCATATCACGCTGCGCCTTGGTCTGACCCGTCTATGAACGAACGTGACAGAAGATCCCACCAAACGAGGACCAAGCAGCGTGTCCAGGAGCAGACAGCCTGGACCTGGGAGGAGATCCTGGACGGTAAGGGATCCTGGACTTGGGAGGAGATTCAGGCTGGGATGAATCGCCGTCCTTGGGAGGAGACAGTGGAGGCCCGGTATAGAGAGGAGAAACGGCGCCAACAGTGCAGACGACGGAGACCCGACAGGCAACCCCAATAATTTTTTTTGGGGGGGGCACACGGTGTGGACGACGAGGCAGCAGGAGGCCGTGGAAGGGCGAATCTGCAGGTTAGGAGAGGAGGCCACCATATTACGGGGGCTATTGGTTCAGAGGGAGCAGGAGTTATTCGGTCAGAGGGAGGCGCTACAGGAGGCTAAAAGGGAGAAGGAAAGTGTAGAGGCACGGCGAGAGGAGCTGGTTAGGCAGCAGAAGGAGCGGGGTTAATAAAGGAACCCAGTCCCGCTTCTCGCACCAAGCAAGTGGTGCGTGTCTTCAGTCCGGTCCGGCCCGTTCCTGCTCCCCGCACTAAGCCAGTGGTGCGTGTTCCCAGTACGGCTCGACCCGTTCTTGCTCCTCGCACCAAGCCAGTGGTGCGCGTCGCCAGCCCGGCCCGGCCTGTTCCTGCCCCTCGCACCAAGCCAGTGGTGTGCGTCGCCAGCCCGGCCTGTTCCTGCCCCTCGCACCAAGACAGTGGTGCGCGTCGCCAGCCCGGCCCGGCCTGTTCCTGCCCCTCGCACCAAGCCAGTGGTGCGCGTCGCCAGCCCGGCCCGGCTTGTTCCTGCCCCTCGCACCAAGCCAGTGGTGCGCGTCGCCAGCCCGGCCCGGCCTGTTCCTGCCCCTCGCACCAAGCCAGTGGTGCGCGTCGCCAGCCCGGTCCGGCCTGTTTCTGTCCCTCGCACCAAGCCAGTGGTGCGCGTCGCCAGCCCGGCATGTTCCTGCCCCTCGCACCAAGCCAGTGGTGCGCGTCGCCAGCCCGGCCCGGCCTGTTCCTGCCCCTCGCACCAAACCAGTGGTGCGCGTTGCCAGCCCGGCCCGGCCTGTTCCTGCCCCTCGCACCAAGCCAGTGGTGCGCGTCGCCAGCCCGGCCCGGCCTGTTCCTGCCCCTCGCACCAAGCCAGTGGTGCGCGTCGCCAGCCCGGTCTGGCCTGTTTCTGTCCCTCGCACCAAGCCAGTGGTGCGCGTCGCCAGCCCGGCCCGGCCTGTTCCTGCCCCTCGCACCAAGCCAGTGGTGCACGTCGCCAGCCCGGTCCGGCCTGTTCCTGTCCCTCGCACCAAGCCAGTGGTGCGCGTCGCCAGCCCGGCCCGGCCTGTTCCTGCCCCTCGCACCAAGCCAGTGGTGCGCGTCGCCAGCCCGGTCCGGCCTGTTCCTGACCCTCGCACCAAGCCAGTGGGGCGCGTCGCCAGCCCGGCCCTGGCCTGTTCCTGCCCCTCGCACCAAGCCAATCCAGCTCCGGTCAGCAGCTCCACTCCGGAGCCAGAGCAGTCCGCTCCACCGGTGCCTGATCCAGCTCCGGTCAGCTGCTCCACTCCGGAGCCAGAGCAGTCCGCTTCACCGGGGTCCAGTCCAGATCCGGTCAGCAGCTCCACTCCGGAGCCAGAGCAGTCCGCTCCACCGGTGCCTAGTCCAGCTCCGGTCAGCGGCTCTAGTCCGGAGCCTGAGCAGTCCGCTCCACCGGTGCCCGGTCCAGCTCCGGTCAGCGGCTCCAGTCCAGACCCAGACGTCAGCCCCTCTCCAGGTTCGGGGTCTCCCACACCAGGGTCCAGACAGGGCTTGGAGTATAATGGGAGGAAGGAGAGGGGAAGCAACGCGCCGAGGTCTAGACCAGACCAGGGGCGCAACAGGGAGGCGAAGAGTGAGAGGTCGTCACGCTTTATGTTTATGTTGTGCGGTCGGAGTCCGCACCTTTGGGGGGGGGGGGGGTACTGTCACGCCCTGACTCTGGGGACTCTTATTTGTTGAGCCAGGGTGTGATTTTCTAGGTTTGTGATCTAGGTTTTCTAGATCTATGTTGGCCGGTGTGGTTCCCAATCAGAGGCAGCTGTCGCTCGTTGTCTCTGATTGGGGACCATACTTAGGCAGCCTATTGGCACTAGTGGGTTGTGGGATCTTGTTCCGTGTTAGGTATGTTGTTTGTGTACCTTGGACTTCACGTTTCGTTTAGTTTGTTGTTTTGTCGTTGTTTATTCGGTTCAAATAAACATGTATGCATATCACGCTGCGCCTTGGTCTGACCCGTCTATGAATGAACGTGACAATGGGAGTATTCCTACCTTCGATGGTGATGGCCTGCTCTCCTCTTCTAGCCACAGCAGAAGGAAGGCACAGATCAACTGCACATTTAGCACTGCCCAGTCGATTGGACAACTAGGGTGGGCGGGGAGGAGAATACATTAGGCTTACTGAAACAATGGCTTCATCTTATCAATGTAATGTCTCATGAAAACAATCCTCTTTGGAGGATGCCAAGCATCCAAATCATGTAACTACTGTTACATGTGACTACTACTGTGTACTGTATCTATTTTTTATTTTATATAGATCATTCACAAGTGATACACGTAGGTTGGCAGCAGCAATTCACACGCAGTGCTTTGCAGTCCAATTTTTTACAACAGTATGGAATGGTTTCCTGGACCCATATTAGGACTAGTCCTGGATTAAGAATCCCTATTGAAAGTGTATTTCAGTCCAGTACTAGGCTTTATCTGGCTGGGAAACCGGCCATATATGCTGTAGCTGAGGGGTGGTGAATTATAGGCCTACCTCACACTCGTAGTGTCCCAGGTCTCTCTCCGTAGGGCCTTTAATGACCAGCACCAGGACTCCACTACGGGACTCAGTGTAGGTCTGATACTTCTCCTGGTCAGTCAGCAGTCTGCCCTCCTTGAACCACCTGGTCAGGGACACACAGAAAATGACATTTTGAGATCATATTAATTACCTTACGCATACTTATTTATTAGCTTATATATTAACTATTAAGAATGGGAAACATAATGACCACAGTAGGAAGAAACAAACGGAACAGTCCACTGTCACTAAAGGGTTGTTAGTTTAAAGAGCCTAGTAGAAGGGTGTGGTGTAGTGTACCTGATCTTGGGTCTGGGGGCGCTCTGAATGGTGCAGGAGAACTGAGCATCCTCACCAACGATAAGGACAGCATTCCTCATCTTGTTCACGAAACGAGGAGGCACTACAGCACACACACACACACACAATTGTTACTCTTGAAAACAGGGTTATTTTGTTATAAGATGAACATTCCTCCCAGACAATTTAGATTCTTGGAATCTTAGATTTTTTCCCCAAAGCAAAGAATCCATCACTTTTGCTGTTGACATGTACACTGAGTGTACAAAACATTAGGAACACCTTCTTCAAATTGAGTTGCACCCTCTTTTGCCCTCAGAGCAGCCTCAATTCATCGGGGCATGGACTCTACAAGGTGTCAAAAGCGTTTCACAGGGATGCTGGCCCATGTTGACTCCAATGCTTCCCACAGTCATGTCAAGTTGGCTGGATGTCCTTTGGGTGGTGGACCATTCTTCATACGGAAAACTGCTGAGCATGAAAAACCCAGCAGCGTTGTAGTTCTTGACACACTCAAACCAGTGCGCCTGGCACCTACTACCATACCCCGTTCAAAGGCACCTAAATATGTCTTGCCCATTCACCCTCTGAATGGCACACATACACAATCCATGTCTCAATTGTCTCAAGGCTTAAAAATCCTTCTTTAACCTGTCTCCTCCCCTTCATCTACACTGATTTGATTGAAGTGGATTTAACAAGTGACATCAATAAGGGATCATAGCTATCACCTGGATTCACCTGGTCAGTCTATGTCATGGAAAGAGCAGATGTTCCTAATGTTTTATACACTCTGTGTATATCAATGATTCTCATGAGTAATGTTGGTGTCATTTCCCCTCTGTAATAGAGACTGACCTTGGACAGTGATCTTTCCCAGAGTGCTGGCGTTGCCTGCTGTGCTAGTGGCGAAGCACATGTACTGTCCAGAGTCATCAGCCGTCATATTGTCCAGGATCAGGGTGCAGGAACCGTCAGGGTCCTCGATGATGATGTGGTGAGGGTCGGCCTCCACTGCACGCCCGTCTGTCATCAGAGGAGGAAACAGTGTTAACACATGTAGTTACATAGGAGATGTTTCTAACTCTAAAACATTAACAGAGTATGGGCTATGTAGAGAAAAACAAACATGCACTGTATGCACAGCTATTGCGTGGTTTCGCACAGTGGTCTTGCTGGTGCGTCTCTTACCCTTGTACCAAGTGACCACAGGTTTGGGCACTCCAGTAACCTTGCAGGCCAGTTTCACCGTCTGTCCCAGCTCCGCTGTGCAGTCAGCCAGAAGCTCATCAAAGTCAGGCATACCTGGACAGATATAGGGATGGATTTACACATCAATCAATCCTGAGTGGAGAGATGACACATTTTATGCAATTATCGATTAAATTATAGTATGCTATTTCATAGTATGTAAAAAGTACTTGTTTGATATTAAAGGTTAAATCACAATATGCTATGTCAAACTATGCCTCTGTCTACTGTGTTTGTCAGGTAGATCTGAGTGAATGTGTGTGCGTGCGTGTGTGTGTGTGTGTGCGCATGTTCCGGGATTCTTCCGATAGCATTGAGGAGTACACCACATCAGTCACTGGCTTCATCAATAAGTGCATCGATGACGTCGTCCCCACAGTGACCGTACGTACCCCAACCAGAAGCCATGGATTACAGGCAACATCCGCACTGAGTTAAAGGGTAGAGCTGCCGCCTTCAAGGAGAGGGACTCTAACCGGACGCTTATAAGAAATCCCGCTATGCCCTCCGACGAGCCATCAAACAGGCAAAGAGTCAATACAGGACTAAGATTGAATCGTACTACACTGGCTCTGACGCTCGTCGGATGTGGCAGGGCTTGAAAACTATTACAGACTACAAAGGGAAGCACAGCCGCGAGCTGCCCAGTGACACAAGCCTACCAGACGAGCTAAATCACTTCTATGCTCGCTTCAAGGCAAGCAACACTGAAGCATGCATGAGAGCATCAGCTGTTCCAGATGACTATGTGATCAAGCTCTCTGTAGCCGACGTGAGAAAGACCTTTAAACAGGTCAACATTCACCAGGCCGCAGGGCCAGACGGATTACCAGGACGTGTACTCCGAGCATGCGCTGGCCAACTGGCAAGTGTCTTCACTGACATTTTCAACATGTCCCTGAGTGAGTCTGTAATACCAACATGTTTCAAGCAGACCAACATAGTCCCCGTGCCCAAGGACACTAAGATAACCTGCCTAAATGACTACCGACCCGTAGCACTCACGTCTGTAGCCATGAAGTGCTTTGAAAGGCTGGTCATGGCTAACATCAACACCATTATCCCAGAAACCCTAGACCCACTCCAATTTGCATACCGCCCCAACAGATCCACACAGGATGCAATCTCTATTGCACTCCACACTGCCCTTTCCCACCTGGACAAGAGGAACACTTATGTGAGAATGCTATTCATTGACTACAGCTCAGCGTTCAACACCATAGTGCCCTCAAAGCTCATCACTAAGCTAAGGACCCTAGGACTAAACACCTCCCTCTGCAACTGGATCCTGGACTTCCTGACAGGCCGCCCCCAGGTGGTAAGGGTAGGTAACAACACATCTGCCAAGCTGATCCTCAACACGGGGGCCCCTCAGGGGTGCGTGCTCAGTCCCCTCCTGTACTCCCTGTTCACCCATGACTGCATGGCCAGGCACGACTCCAACACCATCATTAAGTTTGCCGACGACACAACAGTGGTATGCATGATCACTGACAACGATGAGACAGCCTATAGGAAGGAGGTCAGAGACCTGGCAGTGTGGTGCCAGGATAACAACCTCTGCCTCAACGTGATCAAGACAAAGGAGATGATTGTGGACTACAGGAAAAAAAGAGGACTGAGCACGCCCCAATTCTCATCAACAGGGCTGTAGTGGAACAGGTTGAGAGCTTCAAGTTCCTTGGTGTCCACATCACCAATAAACTATCATGGTCCAAACACACCAAGACTGTCATGAAGAGGGCATGACAAAGCCTATTCCCCCTCAGGAGACTGAAGAGATTTGGCATGGGTCCTCAGATCCCCAAAAAGTTATACAGCTGCACCATCGAGAGCACCTGACTGGTTGCATCACCGCCTGGTATGGCAACTGCTCGGCCTCCGACCGCAAGGCACTACAGAGGGTAGTGCGTACGGCCCAGTACATCACTGGGGCCAAGCTTCCTGCCATCCAGGACCTCTATACCAGGCGGTGTCAGAGGAAGGCCCTAAAAATTATCAAAGACTCCAGCCACCCTAGTCATAGACTGTTCTCTCTGCTACAGCACGGCAAGCGGTACAGGAGCGCCAAGTTTAGGTCCAAATGACTTCTTAACAGCTTCTACCCCCAAGCCATAAGACTCCTGAACAGCTAATTATGGCTACCCGGACTATTTGCATTTGATTTGATTGATTTGATTTGATTTGATGTGCTGTGTGTGTCGGGTGGATCTGAGTGAATGTGTGTGTCAGACTCACTCCAGGCAGGCATGGTGTAGCGCTGCTGCAGGTCCCTGAGGTCTCGCAGCCAGGAGTTCTTGATGATGACAGTGCGAGCCTGCAGCGTGTACTTCCTGACAGAGTCCTCACGCTCGTGCCAGATCTCAAAGGCCCGGTCGTCACCCTCCACTGTCTCATTCACATCTATGTTGTTCAGCTAGGGAGAAGACAGAAAGAAACAGTAGTCATCCTCAAGACTAATGATGGACTTGATTTATTTATCTGTTAGGAAATTCTTTCTTTTCATGTCATAGGAAGTGTGACAATGACAATATATTCTCTCCAGCAGCAATAATCTATTACTATGCCAACCCTGAATAACTGATTGGAATTGTCTGGTATTTAGAGTTGACTAATTCTCTAGTGACTTGTTTCAGTGGATAGACATGCTGAGTTACATCTGGAGTTTTTAGAAAGAGCAATGAAGAGAGTCTTACCTTCATCATGTTCTTAAAGACGTAGCCCTGGGTGTCTGTGTTGGTGTCTCTCTTGGATTTGCAGATGATGACATAGTTTTTGAAGAGGAACGCGTGTCGATGGTGACCTCTGGAGGAGGACCTTACCCCAGGTGCACCCTCCCACACCATGAAGGGTCCCTGTCACAAAACACAACACCGTCACATAGGCTGCGGACTCAAACAAAATTAGTTGAACATCCTCAAGAATATGGTCGTATTCACTAGGCACCAAACGGAAGCAAATGGATTTTGGTTATTCACCTGTCTGATGGGCTCCCCCAATACATCCAGAGTGGCAGGGTAGTTCTCTATCATGGAGACGTGGTGTGTGTTCTCTGAACGCTGAGGCAGTGATGACACCATGGCATAGGCCTCCTCCAGCAGGCAGCAGTTCTGACCGTTCCTGGCCTTGTTCCTGATCAGCTCCTACAGTCACAGAAATGGGCACAACGATTTAAGATAATAATAACAGTAATATTCCAACAAGATTGTATAACATAAAAACATATGACAATCCAGGCTCTGGTGCATTAATTCCTAGTGTGTGAAAACGAACAAAGAATACCCTCTTTACAGCATTAAATGGTGAACTCTCACCTTGAGCAAGGCCTTGTACTTCTGGATTCTGTCCAGAGGTTTCTGTAGGTAGGCGTTGATGCTCAGTACATGACCTTCAGCAGGGTCGGCACTGGCCTGCTCTTTGTCTGTGTATTCCTGTGACAAAGACAACAGGGTTTAGAAATGTGGCCGTTACTAGCCTTACATCAGCCAGCCTTCATAATCAGAAAGATGACAACACTTACACATTAATGACCATTTGTGCTAACAGTATTTGTGATGGGTTTACTTACCTTGAAGAAGCGGTGTACGGTCTTGTCACTGATAGCGGCCTCTGCCTTTTGCTGGCCTACGAGGTACTGGAGGTATTTCTCAAAGCCCTCACCACTCCTCAGGAAGCGCATGGCCACGTCGTCATCAGTGTCGCAGTGGCTCAACTTAGGGAGCATGGACCTGAACAACACACAGTATGGGGTCAATTCATTCAGCAGCTTTGTGAGACATTTAATTATTACTAGTATATTTAAGCAATAAACCCTGAGGTGGTGTGATATTTTGGCCAATATATCACGGCTAAGGGTTGTTCTTACGCAACCTTTAGGCATGACGCAAGCCCCAGAGGTGCCTTATTGCTTTTACAAACCGGTTACCAAGATAAATAGAACAGTAAACAAGTATATGGAACAAGAATATAAACGCAACATGCAACAATTTCAAAGATTTTACTGCATTATAGTTCACATAAGGTGTGACCACCATTTTTTTCATGCAGCGCAACACATCTCCTTCGCATAAAGTTGATCAGGCTGTTGATTGTGGCCTGTGGAATGTTGTCCCACTCCTCTTCAATGGCTCTGTGAAGTTGCTGGATATTGGCGGGAACTGGAACATGCCATCGTACACGTCGATCCAGATCATCCCAAACATGCTCAATAGGTGACGTCTGGTGAGTATGCAGGCCATGGAAGAACTTTGACATTTTCAGCTTCCAGGAAATCTGTACAAATCCTTGTGACATGGGGCCATGCATTATTATGCTGAAACATGAGGTGATGGCGGTGGATGAATGGCACGACAATGGGCCTCAGGATCTCATCACGGTATCGATGTGCATTCAAATTGCCATCAATAAAATGCAATTGTGTTTGTTGTCCATAACTTATGCCTGCCCATTCCATAAACCCCACCATCACCATGGGGCACTCTGTTCACAGCGTTGACATCAGCAAACCGCTCACCCACACAACGCTATACACGTGGTTTGCAGTTGTGAGGCCGGTTGGACGTACTGCCAAATACTCTGAAATGACGTTGGAGGCGGCTTATGGTAGAGAAATTAACATTCAATTCTCTGGCAACAGCTCTGGTGGACATTCCTGCAGTCAGAATGCCAATTGCACTGTCCCTCAAAACTTGAAACATCTGTGGCATTGTGTTGATTGACAAAACTGCACATTTTAGAGTGGCCTTTTATTGTCCTCAGCACAAGATGCACTTGTGTAATTTACTCTATGCTGGCCCATGTTGACTCCAATGCTTCCCACAGTTGTGTCAAGTTGGTTGGATGTCCTTTGGGTGGTGGATCATTCTTGATACACACAGGAAACTGTTGAGCGTGAAAAACCCAGCAGCGTTGCAGTTCTTGACACACTCAAACCAGTGCGCCTGGCACCTACTACCATACCCCGTTCAAAGGCACTCAAATATTTTTTCTTGCCCAGTCACCCACTGATTGGCACACATACACAATCCATGTCTCAATTGTCTCAACGCTTAAAATCATTCTTTAACCTGTCTCCTCCCCTTCATCTACACTGATTGAAGTGGATTTAACAAGTGACATCAATAAGGGATCATAGCTTTCAGCTGGATTCACCTGGTCAGTCTATGTCATGGAAAGAGCAGGTGTTCCTAATGTTTTGTATTGGTATGGTATTATATAATGACAAAACATCAATGCAATAGAACCAGTTAGGTGATTTCTGAAGCATATATACAGGCCTTATAAAGGGTTTATGAAAGCTTCATTAATCCTTAAAAGTTGAAGTTTGTTTAAAGACGGGCCAAAAAACCAGCCAGCTGTACTTACTCGCTATGGAAGGCCTTGATCTCGTTGATGTTCCTGAATATGGCCTCCTTCTGGCTGGTGACGTCAGATGGGGCGTCAGGACTCTCCACTTGCTTGACGTGGTGGGAGGTGAAGAAGTCCATCTCTTTGACAAACTCTGCCTCGCTGTTGATCATGTCTTGAATCAGTTGGCTGAGGATGACAGAACATTGTGGTTATTATGGGGTGTCGTTGAGTGTTGTGGTGTTTCTCGCTTGTGCATGCGGAGCCGAATCCTAACTACTTTTTTTTTAAACTTTTTTTATTCATTCTCGAATCAAGATGATTTGTGTGAAAGTCTGAGTTACATGGCAGTCAGATCTCAGGTGAAGTTTTGGCCCTAATAGAAGAGAGTGTGAGAAGTTCCAGACTCACAGTAGTCTCTTCCTGTACTCTCCTTCTGATACCTCTTCTCCACCTGACTCTGGGATGTCACCAGCATCAGCAGACAGCTAGAACACAATAGTTTAAAATAATATTAAGAACACAATAACATTTAACAAAAATAGGGTCAAGAGAGTAGAGAGGTCGATGTACAATATTGGTGCTAAAGCAATTACTTGGATCTTGAAACACACCTTAAGTTTCTTATCCAGGTAGGCAGGTGAGACCCAGCCTTGGCGGGATGGAGTGGTTTTGGTGGGTTTGGTCCGGACCAGCCATTTGAGTGGATGTGCCGAGTCCAGAACCTCAACATACTGGCCCTCCTTCAGGGAAATGGTATCTTTGTTGGCAATGGTGGGGTTGTAGTCAGCCGTAGCCACATAGATGTCAAACATCTGTAGAAGGAGTCGCACATCAGACACAAAGTCTTATCTAACATGGTTATAAGCGCTTACATTGGTAGAGTGACTTGGATGAAAAAACGTAATTGTATTTATAAGAGATTTGTCCAGAACTGGGTTCGCTGGAGATGCAGGCCAGTTGAGGCCCTTTGCTGCACTAGGAGCTAAAAGGAATAAGTCAAGTAAGTAGTCTGCAAATCCAGTCAAAAATATAAGAAAGAGAAAAAACTTCAGAGTCATTAGAGAGGACCCAGTATGAGTGATGTGATACTGAGGTGTTCCAAACAAAGAACCGGAATGACAGATCATTTTCTATGGTTCCATACCTCTCCCCTGGCATCAGGGTCGTCAGACTCAGAGGAGGAGTCAGCGAGAATGGAGCCGTGGCGAGAGCGACCGTGGTGGGGTGAGGCGGAGGGTGTCTTGGTCTCATCGTCACTATCGCCTCCCGGGACACGTAGTGAGGCTGGGGCAGCAAGGGGGGGGGGGGGGGGGGGTTTCAGAGGGAGACAGCCAGGAGAGCATACAACACACACACCTCCACATATCACAGTATATACATGTAACTGCCAAAATAAAGGAAACACCTACATTAAGCGTCAATAGTATCCCTCATTTACGCACGTGTTGCCTTTATTTTGGCAGTTACCTGTACATAGGCCTAGTACTGTACACACAGAAAGGCGGAATTGGGCACTGAAACATCCACAGACCACCTGGAATGTGTAGCTTTCGCTTCTTGACCCGTAAAATAAGGTGGATATTTTCTCTTTTATTATCACTGGCATAACTGTTTCTTTTAAAGTCAGCACAATCAATTATCAAGATTACTCAAAAGGTTAGCTAAGCTACACATTAGTGCCATCAACAGTTTTGCTGCTACAGCACAAGTTATTTGATTAAATACTTTTCACTATTACAAACTAGTTAGTACACTAAATGCATGCATAAGAAAGATACTGTACAAATAAGACGTGGGGTCTTAAGTTGTGTCCATACATGTCTGAGTGTAGGCATGTATTCCAGCTATATGCTGTGCTGAGTATCACTTCAAAGCCATTTGAATCATGTGCTCAGTTAATCACTGCTTTGCCAAGACAAAACTTCTTCTACTAATGCATCAAATAAATATCATGGAGCACAAAAACATTAAGGGAGAGATGTTTGACCACGTATATATATTCTTTGTTATACTGATATGGCAGCAGAATAATGGAACTGTTTTGATGATAGTTTTGTCCACCACTATACAATGGAATTCTGACCATTTTGTTTCAAAAAATGTTAATGAGTCTTGAACTGTGAAATACTGTATGTTAATGTCAACTCTACAAGTCATCACCGCTGGTGATAGCCAAGATATTCTCACTGTCATATAACACGAACAGAGGGATGTCACTAACCCCTGTTTCATGCCAAGTAGTTCTCCTCTTTTAAATTCAATAAATCCAATCCAAGTCAGACAGGTAGAGACAGATGCAGAGAGGAGGACATAGAACATAAGAGGACACTCACTAACTTGTGTAAAGAATGTATGGTTTTCAGTGAGAGTAGCTGAGATCTTTATGTACTGTGGATACATACTGGAGGCTTTGGGCCATGATTTCATCCACTGGAGCACTTGATGGTTCTGTGCGCTGTCTGAATAACAAATTAACGATTGGATGAGAGCATGTGAGTGAATTAATGGATGGATGGAGGGCTGAAGGATGATGAAATGAAGCAATGACAATCCATGTCTGTCGGTCATAAGGGAGGACAAGGTGTAGGAATCCACACATTGCTCAAAACACAAGCAGAACAAGTATTAGTGAGTGCGAAGAAAGAGAACAAAGCATACTTGATTATATGAACACAAAGAAAATGGCGAGCAGCAAGAGGCAATGTGCATGACATTTTCTTTGAGCTGTTAATTTCTTTGAGCTGTTTTGCAGCGGTGTAGCTGGTGTGTTAGCTGGCCCTTTGCCTGTTGGACTCCATGTGGGATGAGAGTAACTTGTCATAACATTACATAAACTGTGATGAAGTGTAATGACAGATTGCTTATAGTGTTTATGACAGCATTACAAAGGTAATGTAGATATACAATTTGAATTTAGACTTTATCAATGGCAATATTAGAGACTTACACTCCCGTTCAAAAGTTTGGGGTCACTTAGAAATGTCCTTGTTTTCGAAAGAAAAGCAATTTTTTTGTCCATTAAAATAACATCAAATTGATCAGAAATACAGTGTAGACATTGTTAATGTTGTAAATGGCTATTGTAGCTGGAAATGGCTGATTTTTAATGGAATATCTACATAGGCGTACAGAGGCCCATTATCAGCAACCATCAGTCCTGTGTTCCAATGGCACGTTGTGTTTGCTAATCCAGGTTTATCATTTTAAAAGGCTAATTGATCATTAGAAAAACCTTTTGCAATTATGTGAGCACAGCTGAAAACTGTTGTGCTGATTAAAGAAGCAATAAAACTGGCCTTCTTGAGACTAGTTGAGTATGTGGAGCATCAGCAATTGTGGGTTCGATTACAGGCTCAAAATGGCCAGAAACAAAGAACCTTCTTCTGAAACTCGTCAGTCTATTCTTGTTCTGAGAAATGAAGGCTATTCCAAATTGCCAAGAAACTGAAGATCTTGTACAACGCTGTGTACTACTCCCTTCACAGAACAGCGCAAACTGGCTCTAACCAGAATAGAAAGAGGAGTGGGAGGCTCCGGTGCACAACTGAGCAAGAGGACAAATACATTAGAGTGTCTAGTTTGAGAAACAGGCGCCTCAAAGGTCCTCAACTGGCAGCTTCATTAAATAATACCCGCAAAACACCAGTCTCAACGTCAACAGTGAAGGGGCGACTCCGGGATGCTGACCTTCTAGGCAGAGTTGCAAAGAAGAAAATAAATGTCTCAGACTGGCCAATAAAAATAAAAGATTACGAGATCTTCAGTTTCTTGGCAATTTCTCGCATGGAATAGCCTTCATTTCTCAGAACAAGAATAGACTGACGAGTTTCAGAAGAAAGTTATTTGTTTCTGGCCATTTTGAGCCTGTAATCGAACCCACCATTTCTGATGCTCCAGATACTTTCGAAAACAAGGACATTTCTAAGTGACCCCAAACTTTGGAACGGTAGTGTATATACAGTGGGGGAAAAAAAGTATTTAGTCAGCCACCAATTGTGCAAGTTCTCCCACTTAAAAAGATGAGAGAGGCCTGTAATTTTCATCATAGGTACACATCAACTATGACAGACAAAATGAGGAGAAGAAAAATCCAGAAAATCACATTGTAGGATTTTGTAATGAATTTCTTTGCAAATTATGGTGGAAAATAAGTATTTGGTCAATAACAAAAGTTTCTCAATACTTTGTTATATACCCTTTGTTGGCAATGACACAGGTCAAACGTTTTCTGTAAGTCTTCACAAGGTTTTCACACACTGTTGCTGGTATTTTAGCCCATTTTAGCCCATTCCTCCATGCAGATCTCCTCTAGAGCAGTGATGTTTTGGGGCTGTCGCTGGGCAACACAGACTTTCAACTCCCTCCAAAGATTTTCTATGGGGTTGAGATCTGGAGACTGGCTAGGCCACTCCAGGACCTTGAAATGCTTCTTACGAAGCCACTCCTTCGTTGCCAGGGCGGTGTGTTTGGGATCATTGTCATGCTGAAAGACCCAGCCACGTTTCATCTTCAATGCCCTTGCTGATGGAAGGAGGTTTTCACTCAAAATCTCACGATACATGGCCCCATTCATTCTTTCCTTTACACGGATCAGTCGTCCTGATCCCTTTGCAGAAAAACAGCCCCAAAGCATGATGTTTCCACCCCCATGCTTCACAGTAGGTATGGTGTTCTTTGGATGCAACTCAGCATTCTTTGTCCTCCAAACACGATGAGTTGAGTTTTTACCAAAAAGTTATATTTTGGTTTCATCTGACCATATGACATTCTCCCAATCCTCTTCTGGATCATCCAAATGCACTCTAGCAATCTTCAGACGGGCCTGGACATGTACTGGCTTAAGCAGGGGGACATGTCTTGCACTGCAGGATTTGAGTCCCTGGCGGCGTAGTGTGTTACTGATGGTAGGCTTTGTTACTTTGGTCCCAGCTCTCTGCAGGTCATTCACTAGGTCCCCCCGTGTGGTTCTGGGATTTTTGCTCACCGTTCTTGTGATCATTTTGACCCCACGGGGTGAGATCTTGCGTGGAGCCCCAGATCGAGGGAGATTATCAGTGGTCTTGTATGTCTTCCATTTCCTAATAATTGCTCCCACAGTTGATTTCTTCAAACCAAGCTGCTTACCTATTGCAGATTCAGTCTTCCCAGCCTGGTGCAGGTCTACAATTTTGTTTCTGGTGTCCTTTGACAGCTCTTTGGTCTTGGCCATAGTGGAGTTTGGAGTGTGACTGTTTGAGGTTGTGGACAGGTGTCTTTTATACTGATAACAAGTTCAAACAGGTGCCATTAATACAGGTAACGAGTGGAGGACAGAGGAGCCTCTTAAAGAAGAAGTTACAGGTCTGTGAGAGCCAGAAATCTTGCTTGTTTGTAGGGACCAAATACTTATTTTCCACCATAATTTGCAAATAAATTCATAAAAGATCCTACAATGTGATTTTCTGGATATTTTTTTTCCTCCATTTGTCTGTCATAGTTGACGTGTACCTATGATGAAAATTACAGGCCTCTCTCATCTTTTTAAGTGGGAGAACTTGCACAATTGGTGGCTGACTAAATACTTTTTTCCCACCACTGTATATACAGTGCTATGAAAAAGTAATTGCCCCCTTTCTAATTTTCTCTACTTTTGCATATTTGTGATACTGAATGTTATCAGATCTTCAACCAAAACCTAGTATTAGATAAAGGGAACATAAGTGAACAAATAACACAACAATTTATTTCATTTATTTCATAAACAAAGTTATGCAACACCCAATTCCCCTGTGTGAAAAAGTAATTGCCCCCTTACACTCAATAACTGGTTGTGCCACCTTTAGCTGCAATGACTCCAACCAAACTTGGGGCTCCCGAGTTTTAGCAATTTTCATGTAGACTTGATTGTGTGTTTTTGGATCATTGTCTTGCTGCATGACCCAGCTGCGCTTCAGCTTCAGCTCACAGACGGATGGTCTGACATTCTCCTGTAGAATTCTCTGATACAGAGCAGAATTCATGGTTCCTTCTATTAAGGCAAGTCGTCCAGGTCCTGAGGCAGAAAAGCATCCCCAAACCATCACACCACCACCATGCTTGACCTTTGGTATGATGTTCTTACTGTGGAATGCAGCTGAAGCGCAGCTGGGTCATGCAGCAAGACAATGATCCAAAACACACAATCAAGTCTACATGAAAATTGCTAAAAAGCAACAAATTGGAAGTTTTGGAATGGCCTAGTCAAAATCCAGACCTAATCCCAATTGAGATGTTGTGGCAGGACTTGAAACGAGCAGTTCATGCTTGAAAACCCACACGTCACTGATTTAAAGCAGTTCTGCATGGAAGAGTGGGCCAAAATTCCTCCACAGCGACGTGAGAGACTGATCAACAACTACAGGAAGCATTTTTTATTTTTATTTTATTTAACTAGGCAAGTCAGTTAAGAACAAATTCTTATGTACAATGACGGCCTACACCGCCCTATGGGACTCCCAATCACGGCCGGTTGTGATACAGCCTGGAATCGAACCAGGGGGTCTGTAGTGAAGCCTCAAGCACTGAGATGCAGTGCCTTAGACCACTGCGCCACTCGGGAGCCCCAAGTTTGGTTGGAGTCATTGCAGCTAAATGGGGGCAATTACTTTTTCACACAGGGGAATTGGGTGTTGCATAACTTTGTTTATGAAATAAATATGTAATTGTTTTGTTATTTGTCCACTTATGTTCCCTTTATCTAATATTAGGTTTTGGTTGAAGATCTGATAACATTCAGTATCACAAATATGCAAAAGTAGAAAAAAAGGGGCAAATACTTTTTCATAGCACTGTATATATACAGTGAGGGAAAAAAGTATTTGATCCCCTGCTGATTTTTTTATCTTTGCCCACTGACAAAGACATGATCAGCCTATAATTTTAATGGTAGGTTTATTTTAACAGTGAGAGACAGAATAACAACAACAAAATCCAGAAAAACTCATGTCAAAAATGTTATAAATTGATTTGCATTTTAATGAGGGAAATAAGTATTTGACCCCTCTGCAAAACATGACTTAGTACTTGGTGGCAAAACCCTTGTTGGCATTCACAGAGGTCAGACGTTTCTTGTAGTTGGCCACCAGGTTTGCACACATCTCAGGAGGGATTTTGTTCCACTCCTCTTTGCAGATCTTAAGGTTTCAAGGCTGACGTTAGGCAACTCGAACCTTCAGCTCCCTCCACAGATTTTCAATGGGATTAAGATCTGGAGACTGGCTAGGCCACTCCAGGACCTTAATGTGCTTCTTCTTGAGCCACTCCTTTGTTGCCTTGGCTGTGTGTTTTGGGTCATTGTCATGCTGGAATACCCATCCACGACCCATTTTCAATGCCCTGGCTGAGGGAAGGAGGTTCTCACCCAGGATTTGACGGTACATGGCCCCGTCCATCGTCCCTTTGATGCAGTGAAGTTGTCCTGTCCCCTTAGCAGAAAAACACCCCCAAAGCATTATGTTTCCACCTCCATGTTTGATGGTGTTCTTGGGGTCATAGGCAGCATTCCTCCTCCTTCAAAAACGGCGAGTTGAGTTGATGCCAAAGAGCTCCATTTTGGTCTCATCTGAACACAACACTTTCACCCAGTTATCCTCTGAATCATTCAGATGTTCATTGGCAAACTTCAGACGGCCCTGTATATTTGCTTTCTTGAGCAGGGGGACCTTGCGGGCGCTGCAGGATTTCAGTCCTTCACGGCGTAGTGTGTTACCAATTGTTTTCTTGGTGACTATGGTCCCAGCTGCCTTGAGATCATTGACAAGATCCTCCCGTGTAGTTTTGGGCTGATTCCTCACCGTTCTCATGATCATTGCAACACCACGAGGTGAGATCTTGCATGGAGCCCCAGGCCGAGGGAGATTGACAGTTATTTTGTGTTTCTTCCATTTGCGAATAATCACACCAACTGTTGTCACCTTCTCACCAAGCTGCTTGGCGATGGTCTTGTAGCCCATCCAGCCTTGTGTAGGTCTACAATCTTGTCCCTGGCATCCTTGGAGAGCTCTTTGATCTTGGCCATGGTGGGGAGTTTGGAATCTGATTGATTGATTGCTTCTGTGGACAGGTCTTTTATACAGGTAACAAACTGAGATTAGGAGCACTCCCTTTAAGAGTGTGCTCCTAATCTCAGCTCGTTACCTGAATAAAAGACACCTGGGAGCCAGACATCTTTCTGATTGAGAGGGGGTCAAATACTTATTTCCCTCATTAAAATGCAAATCAATTCATAACATTTTTGACATGCGTTTTTCTGGATTTTTTTGTTGTTATTCTGTCTCTCACTGTTCAAATTGACTGATCATTTCTTTGTCAGTGGGAAAACTTACAAAATCAGCAGGGGATCAAATACTTTTTTCCCTCACTGTATATATATATAATGTGCTATTAAAACAATATAATAACCTTCTCTGTATTACCAGAGATATACAGAGGTTAAAGTTTTGCCTGCAATAAAAGCACACACAAACTGTACAATACATCAGGTTGTATTGCACCATTATATCCCCATTTCCCAGATATTAATATTACATTACTTTAACCTATTCTATAAGAAACTATAGGAAAATTATAGGTAACATGTAAAATCTAAATAAATTCTAATGCAATCACAAAGTGCATTTTACTTTATCTTAAATCCACACAAAGAGTGGAAGAACATTTCTTTAAATCAAATAAGAAAATGTTCTAACTGTCCCCTATTTTGGAGCTTTGATGGAACAGCCCATGACACATTTTCACTCACCTTGGCTGAACTTGGCAGATACCATCTCCGTGATCTGGGAGGTGAGCTTCATAAGGAACTCTTCTGTTCCAACTTCACCTAGATACTGCATTTTTCCTCTGCCAACATCTTCTTCTGGAGGGCTGATAGTAATCCCCAGAGGGATTGTTTTCTCTTCCTTTGGTCGTGGTGCTATGACAGAAAGCAGATAATAAATAAGGAATGTTTCAAATTAGAACTTTCTGTCTGCCACGCATTTACTACATTCATCTATATTATGTATGATTATAAAAGCAAGTATCAGTATGTTTTGCTGTTTCCGTAATATGTATTGTGGACCCAAATAAATAATAGCTGTTGCTATTGTAACAGCTAATGGGGATCCAAACAAACAAACCAAGTACAGTATATCGTTCAGTTTCTCACCATCCTCCACCTCAAATTGGGCAGTGCAGATGGACTGTCCGGCCCTGTTGGTGGCGATGCAGGTGTATGTGCCTGCGTGCTTAGAGCCAACATCCATGAGGATGAGACTGTGTTGGCGCCCAGAGCTGGCCACCTTATAGCCCTTAGTGTCTGGCTTGATCCACAACACGTCCTCAGCAGACTCCTCTTTCAGCCACGTCACCATGGGGGTGGGAGAACCTTGGAGAGCAGACGTATAGATAGTGGGACTTGGGAATTCACATGGTGTATGAGGAATAATATTTTCAAACAGTAGTCTGTGAACTCGAATGCATGTCTGTATGATGAATGATCATATCCTTTATGGAAGCGTATCTCTCATAGGACGCATTACTGATTCTGGGTCTGGCTCCTCTGACTTGGTCAACTCTCAGCCAAGGTTGAGAGATACACTGTTACTGTGGCTATAGAAACCAATTATTACATGCCAAAACAATCTGAGGTTGAAGCTGTTGTTTCTCTAGCTTAGCGTCACACTACAAAACAAAAACGTCCAAACATATTATAATTAAGCAATAAGGCCAAGGGGGTGTGGTATATGGCCAATATAACACGGCTAAGGGCTGTTCTTAGGCACGACACAAATTACCAAGTTTATAATATGTTTTAGAAACCGGGTGGTTCGAGCTCTGAATGCTGATTGGCTGACAGCTGTGGTATATCAGACCATATACCACAGGTATGACAAAACAATTATTTTTACTGCTCTAATTAAGTTGGTAACCAGTTTATAATAGCAATAAGGCACCTCTGGGGTTTGTGGTATATGGCCAATATATCACCGCTAAGAGTATATTGTATCCAGGCACTCCGCGTTGTGTTGTGCTTAAGAACAACCCTTAGCCGTGGTATATTGGCCATATACTGTACCACACCCCCACGGGCCTTACTGCTTAAATATACCATCATTATATATTCAGTGTACAGTGTTGTGTACAGAGTTGTTGATAGATACCTTCCACTCTGACAGACATGGTGACACTGGCTCCCTGTTTCACCTTCCTGTTGCTGAACCTCTCCAGGAAGCGGGGCGGCACCAGAGGCACCTTGGGATCTAGGAAGTAAAACATGGGTGTAGAAAAGCGTCATCATCACATAGCTCACAATTCAGAACAGTGTGACATGCTATAGGCAACAGCGCAAGCAGTAATGAATGAATGAATACATTAATTAATCAATGAATATTATAAAATCATAATTAATTACCGTGCTTCTCTACAGGCGTGAGCTCTCCTAGACCTGTTGAGAGGGTAACCATAAATTCTTCAGTAAATACAAGAATGTTATGTTGTGTATTCAATAACACACATATCGCAGTGTAGACTAAATCCATTATCCTAAGTAAAAGACAGGAATCCCTCTCAATATAAACCTTTCAGTCATGAGTAGACCTACCCAGAACCAGCAGCCTAGCAGAGGAGTATGCTGATCCAGCAGCGTTGCTAATGTAGGCAGAGTACTCTCCTGTGTCCTCCCTCTTCACCTCCAGGACTTCCAGGCTGTGGATGTCTCTCTTGTCCAGCAGCAGGATCCTGTCTGAGGAACGCAGCGGGTGGCCGTCCTTGAACCAGTACACCCTTGGACTGGGGAACCCTGGGAAATATCAACAAAGAGTAAGCAACTCACTTAGTTATTGACCCTGCGGGCAGAAATAATCAATTGCCTCCGACTTACCTGAACCTGCGGGCAGTAGTGCCTAAAACGTTTCTACTACTACTACCCATAGTGTTTACTTTGCTTTATTAGCTGCTCTAGGGGCACTACCAGGTCTAGGTACACATGGCTCTAGTTAATTCCTCTCTATTTAAGTTATCGACCTCTGAAGTACGTGTACAGAGACAACGTAGTCTAGCAGGGTTTTGGTGTGACTAATGAAGAGGTGGTGGAGAGTAACCCACAGACCAACCTTTGACTTTCAGCTGCATCTTAGCAATGGGTGAGCCTGGGGTGACGTGCACGTCATGGAGCTCTTCCAGTACTTGTGGCATCTGCTCATCCTCTACCACAGACTCAAAGGCTTCCGTTTCCCTGAGGGGAGAGGATAGGCAGAGAGTAAAGCTGTCAGTAAAGAAGTAACACGACCAGAGAAACGTTTTAGGTACTATTAGGAATCAGGATTCCATTGTAAAGAAGGTTGCATTCAAAGTCAAAGGGCTTGTAAACTCTGGGTTGTTTCACTCACCTAGACATGTAGCCCTTAGCACTGATGTAGGAGCCGGTCTCAGTGGCATCAGCTGCAGTATCGTAGTCTGAGCTGCAAGACACTGAAGAAAGAGAGATGTATTACACAATTACTCTCAAAATAACATTGATGAGGATATACTCTGCATACAGTCAACCAACCAACCAACCAACCAAATAATCAACGAAATAAACAACAAAATAACCAACAAAAACAACATAACCAACAAAATAACAAACAAAATAACCCAAATAACCAACAAAAACATAACCAACAAAATAACCAACCAATCAATCTTATATGTTCTGTACTCACTGTCGACCCTGAGCTCAGCCTTGGTGGCAGCGATGCCGCTGGTGTTCTCGGCCATACAGCGGTAGACGCCCATGTCAGAGGGCAGCACGGTGGTGATGATGAGCTGGTGGCAGCCCTCCTGGTCCTCGTTGATCATGTAGTGGTCGTTCTCGTCCAGCAGCTTACCATCCTTGAACCAACGCACACTGGGTGGAGGCTTCCCAATCACCACGCAGTCGAAGCTGACTGGGTAACCGTCAGGCACGTCCTGGCTCTGGAGTTCAGTCAGGAAGACTGGGGCCGCTGGGGGAGAGACAGGGACGGGGACAATCAGTTAGGCACAACAATAAATTCTTACTACTACTACCCATAGAGATACATTAAATTACTATTTAATTCTATGGTATACTCTCAACATAAAACATAATTGCAGCTTATACAAGATGTACAGAGAAATGTACTCTCTGGTTTTCATACCGGGGGCTCCTGTCATGAACGCAGGCAGCTGCTTCTCCTGTGTGGGTGTTGCAGAACCATCTTGGGTGTATCCCATCTTCATGATGCGCAGCTCCACTTTGAGAGGTCCAGCCTCCTGGATGGTGGTCTCCACAGGGACCCCATGGGCCGTGAACATCTCCTTGAAGCGCTGAGATGCCACCTGGGCCTCAGACCGTGTGTCGAAGCGGATGTAGATGTAGCGCTCGTCCTCGCGGTACGATTTAGGGTCGGGCGCCTGCAGCTCACCCTCATCATCACAGCTGACGAACGACTCCTCCTCCGACGTGGCCGGCAGGCGGTGGCGGAGGAGGTGGCGCAGCCGTTTGCTGGCCTGCCTCAGAGACTCGTCCATCTCGCTTTCTGCCGACGAGCTCTCCGCCTCGCTGTCGGCACTGTAGCCCATGGTCAGTGGCCTCCTTCCAGATGCCTCCCGGGCCGAGCCCACCGTCACTTTGCCACTGTGGGTGGTCACCCCAAACTTGTTGGTGACCTCACAGGTGTAGACGCCCGTGTCCTTGGTGGTGACGGCGGTGATGACCAGAGAGCAGGTGCCGTCGTTGTAAATGTCGATGTGGTGGTGCTTGCCGTCCGCCAGGTGCTCGCCATCCTTCAGCCAGCGCACCTTGTCTGGCTTGCCCTCCGCCACACACTCCAGGTGGATTGTGCCATTGGGTTCCTTGGTCTGGTCCTTGAAGACGTCCTTGAAGACTGGACGCATGTCCTTGCGGGCCTTGTAGCCCTTGAAGGCAGCCTGGATCTTGACAGCAGCATCCAGCAGCCCCTTTTCTTCGTCCTCCTCATAACCGATCTCCGTGATGTCTGTGGTCTGTGCTGTGATCTGCTGTACGGAAGATGAGGTCTGTTGGACTGAGGTCTGTTGGACTGTGGTCTGCTCTTTCAACTTGAACTGTGCATAGAACTTCTCAGTGGAGATGGACTCTGTCTGGTCGGACACAGAGAGGGAGGACTTGCTGCTCTTCTTCAGGTAGGACACCAGCGTTGGAGGCCTGGACTCGTCCTCAGAGCTGGTGTACAGGTTTGGCTCCAACACCTTCTGTTTCTCTGGTGCTTTCACCTCCAACACTTTCTCTGGTGCTTTCACCTCCACCTTCTCCGGGGCTTTTTTCTCCTTGACTGGCCCCTTGGGTGTCTTGGGCTCCTTGTCCTCCTCATCAGGCAGCTCAGAGATGGAGTCGAGGGTGGGCTCTCGGCTCATACGGCGTTTCTTGGCCAGGTCCTCCCATAGCGCATGGACGTCACCCTCTGAGGCAGCCTCAGGAGGCAGGCTGGGCTGGGCCCCCTCCTCCAACTTAACCCCATCTCCACCTACAACCAGGCCACAATGGAATGTTATATGCAGCAAACTGACACCTCTATAGTATAGCAGCTCCAACACACACACTACATCTATAAGAACTCTGTTGATCATGTAGTGGTAAATACACGTGGCACTAGATTATTTTCTGATAGGAGTAGTGTGTTCATGTATACTTTGGAGGAATGAGCTCACCTCACACCATTACTAGCTGATCAACTTACCTTAACTTACCCTCAGATAACAAACACATCTCCACCAAGCTTCCAGTTTGGCTTGAGGAGAATGGCTTACAAGAGTTTTCATAATAAATCAATGTGAGCGAATGGAAAAGCAAAATAAAAGTTACATGGTATAATATTCTGGTTTGTTTGGGAGTGTGTACCTGTTGGTAGGTTGAGATTAATGGAGCTTTCTGCCTCGTCTGAGGCCACACAGGTGTACACGCCCTGGTCAGCAGACTCAAAGTCTTTGATCAGCAGCACTTGTGTCTTGCCCTCTGTGGTGACCTGGTACTTGACCCCAAACTCCAGCTCCTTGTTGTCTTTGAGCCAGGTGACCGAGCTGCCCTCAGCAGAGAGCTGGCACTCCACACGGGCCATCTTACCCTCCTGCACGTCTGGACAGGCCAACTGCTGGGTCACTGTCACTGGAGCCTCTAAGGAACAAAATGATTGATTGGTTGTTGATTGATTGGTTGTTGATTGATTGATTATATTTTTCCAGTAGATGGGACACTACAGATAAAATTCATGCCAATGGGAAATGTATTCGACTCTCCTAGGAGTTAAATGGTGTAAATAACACATAAATGATCAAGGTCTAGGTTATAATTAGGTTGTTCAACATGCTGGGCTTGAGACAGAGCCACATAGACATATCTATGTTTGGCTCAGGTTTGAGCACATCATATAGCCAACTCACCCAGGTGAATGCTCTGAGGAAGCTGGACAGGTTCTCCAGTCCCAGCTCTGTTGATGGCTGCCACCCTGAACCTGTAGCCGCTCCCTGGGATGAGGTTATCCGCAGAGAACTCTGTGTTACACACAGGCTCTGCATGGCACGGCAGCCAGAGGGCACTGTCCGCCAGCCTCATCTCCACCCTGTAGCCCAGAATAGGGCTGCCTCCATCGCTGAGGGGTGTGAACCAAGACAGGGTCACCGCCTGCTTACTCTTACTGACCAGCTCTGGGTCCTCCGGGGGGTCAGGAACGGCTATAAAGGGAGAGGGAGGGTGGGTCAGTGGTGGTTTTGAAGAAAGAGGAATTTGTATTTATTAGGGATCCCCATGAACTCTTCCTGGGGTTTATTAAGGATCCCATTTACTTCCTGCCAAGGCAGCAGCTACTCTTCCTGGGGTTTATTAAGGATCCACATTACTTCCTGCCAAGGCAGCAGCTACTCTTCCTGGGGTCCAAACACATTAAGGCACTTACATTACACATAAGACAAAGGATAAAACAGTACATCATATAACATTACACCACTACATATCTACAATACAAAATGTATAATACCACCATGCAACTTTATTTCAATGTACAGTATGTGTGTGTAGAGTGCTAGCGTTTGTGTGCATATGCATGTGTCAGTACCTGTATTGTGTCTCTTCACAGTTCCCGCTTTTCCATAAGGTGTATTTTTATCAGTTAAAAAAAAATCTGATTCTACTGCTTCCATCAGTTTCCTGATGTGGAATATAGTTCCATGTAGTCATGGCTCTATGTAGTACTGTGTGCCTCCTATAGTCTGTTCTGAACTTGGGGATTGTGAAGAGACCTCTGGTGACATGTCTTGTGGGGTATGCATGGTTCTCCAAGCTGTGTGCTAGTACACAGACAGACACCTCGGTGCATTCAGCTTGTCAACATTTCTTACAAAAACAAGTAGTGATGAAGTCAATCTCTCCTCCACTTTGAGTCATGAGAGATTGACATTCATATCATTATTGTTATCTCCCTGTGTACATCCAAGGGCCAGCCGTGCTGCCCTGTTCTGAGCCAATTGTAATTTTCATAAGTCCCTCTTTGTGGCACCTGACCAGACGACTGAACAGCTGTCCAGGTGCGGCTTCTCCCCATTTTAGCTAATGTTGTATCAACATGTTTTGACCATGACACATTACAATCCAGGGTTACTCCAAGCAGTTTAGTCACCTCAACTTGCTCAATTTCCATATTATTCATTACAAGATTTAGTTGAGGTTTAAGTGAATGATTTGTCCCAAATACAATGCCTTTAGTTTTTTGAAATATTTAGGACTAACTTATTCCTTGCCACCCATTCTGAAACTAACTGCAGCTCTTTGTTAAAGTGCCTTCGGAAAGTATTCAGACTTTTTCCACATTTTGTTACGTTACAGCCTTATTCTAAAATTGATTAAATTGTTTTTTCCCCCTCATAAATCTACACACAATACCCCAAATGACAAAGCAAAAACAGGTTTTTGGAAATTATTGCTAATTTATTAAAAATAAAAAACAGAAATATCACATTTACAAAAGTATTCAGACCCTTTACTCAGTACTTTGTTGAAGCACCTTTGCCAGCGATTACAGCATTGAGTCTTCTTGGGTATGACGCTACAAGCTTGTCACACCTGTATTTGGGGAGTTTCTCCCATTCTTCTCTGTAGATCCTCTCAAGCTCTGTCAGGTTGGATGGGGAGCGTTGCTGCACAGCTATTTTCAGGTCTCTCCAGAGATGTTCGATCGGGTTCAAGTCCAGGCTCTGGCTGGGCCACTCAAGACAATTCAGAGACTTGTCCCGAAGCCACTCCTGTGTGCTTAGGGTCGTTGTCCTGTTCGAAGGTGAACCTTCGCCACAGTCTGAGGTCCGGAGTGCTCTGGAGCAGGTTTTCATCAAGGATCTCTCTGTACTTTGCTCCGTTCATCTTTGCCTGACTAGTCTCCCAGTCCCTGCCGCTGAAAAACATCCCCACAGCATGATGCTGCCACCACCATACTTCACCGTAGACGTGACGCTTGGCATTCAGGCCAAAGAGTTCAATGTTTCTCATGGTCTGAGAGTCCTTTAGGTGCCTTTTGGCAAACTCCAAGCGGGCAGTCATGTGCCTTTTACTGAGGAGTGGCTTCCGTCTGGCCACTCTACCATAAAGGCCTGATTGGGGGAGTGCTGCAGAGACGGTTGTCCTTCTGAAAGGTTCTCCCATCTCCACAGAGGAACTCTAGAGCTCTGTCAGAGTGACCATCAGGTTCTTGGTCACCTTCCTGACCAAGGACCTTCTTCCCCGATTGCTCAGTTTGGCTGGACGGCCAGCTCTAGGAAGAGTCCTTGGTGCTTCCAAACTTCTTCTATTTAAGAATGATGGAGGCCACTGTGTTCTTGAGACCTTCAATACTGCAGAAATGTTTTGTTACCCTTCCCCAGACACAATCCTGTCTCGGAGCTTAATCTTGTCTCGGACAATTCCGTCGACCTCATGGCTTGGTTTTTGTTCTGACATGCACTGTCAACTGTGGGACCTTATATAGACAGGTGTGTATGCCTTTCCAAATCATGTCCAATCAATTGAATTTACCACAGGTGGACTTTAATCAAGTTGTACAAACATCTCAAGGATGATCAATGGAAACAGGATGCACCTGAGCTCAATTTAGAGTCTCATAGCAAAGGGTCTGAATACTTATGTAAATAAGGTATTTCTGTTTTGTATTTTTTTTGCATTATAGGGTATTGTGTGTAGATTGCTGAGGATTTGTTATTTATTTGTATCCATTTTAGAATAAGGCTGTAACGTAACAAAATGTGGGAAAAGTTAAGCGGTCTGAATACTTTCCGAAGGCACTGTAAGTGTTGCAGTCATTTCAGTCACTGTAGTAGCTGACGTGTATAGTGTTGAGTCATCCGCATAAATAGACACAATGGCTTATGTTGGAGAGGCTTCCATTAAAATATAGCAGGGGGTGTAAAGCCATAACACATATATTTTGCCAGCAGCAAGCTATGATAGATGATGTCAAAAACCGCACTGAAGCCCCCCCCCCCCCCATCTTTTTATGATCAATTTATCTCAGCCATACAGTCATTTGTGTTAGTGGTGTCCTTCCCTATAAGTGTGCTGAAAGTCTGTTGTCAATTTGTTTACATAAAATAGCATTTTATCTGGTCAAACACCATTTTTTCAAAAGTTTAATAAGGGTTCGTAACAGGCTGATTGGTCGGCTATTTGAGCCAGTAAATGGGGCTTTACTATTCTTAGGTAGCGGAATGACTTTTGCTTCCCTCCAGGCCTGAGGGCACACACTTTCTAGTTGGCTTAAATGAAAGATATGGCAAATAGGAGTGGCAATATCATCCGCTATTTTCCTCAGTAATATTCCATCCAAGTTGTCAGACCCCGGTGGCTTGTCATTGCTGATAGACATCAATATTATTTTCACCTATTCCACACTCACTGTACGGAATTCTAAATTACAATGCTTGTCTTTCATAATTTGGTAAGATATACTTAGATGTGTAGTGTCAGCGTTTGTTGCTGGCATGTCATGCCTAAGTGTGCCAATCTTGCCAATGAAAAAATAATTAAAGTAGTTAGCAATATCTGTGGGTTTTGTGATGAATGAGCCATCTGATTAAATGAATGATGGAGCCGACAGTGCCTTTTTTCCCAAAATGTCATTTAAGGTGCTCCAAAGCTTTTTACTATCATTCTTTATATTATTTATCTTTGTTTCATAGTATAGTTTCTTATTATTATTATTATTATTATTCAGTTTAGTCACATGATTTCTCAATTTGCAGTACGTTTGCCAATCGGTTGTGCTGCCAGACTTATTTGCCATACATTTAGCCTCATCCCTCTCAACCATACCATTTTTCAATTCCTCATCAATCCACAGGGACTTAGCAGTTTTTACACTCATTCTCTTAATGGGTGCATGCTTATTAGTAACTGGAATAAGCTATTTCATCTCTAAGCTTTACAGGAATGTGGTTCTGAATATAGACCGCAACACCGGAGAATAGGTGAAAGAGAGGAGAATGGATCTAACAGAATTTAGGATCACTTCCCTGGAGAAAGCTTCTGTTATTGATTCCAAAATGGCTGTTCAGACACTTACTGATGATGGTGAGCTTGGCCATGGAGATGGCGTCCCTGGCAGCGAAGGTGATCTCCTGTGGTGGCATGGCTGGGACCTGTCTAAGCACCAGGTGGTAGGAGCAGCCGTCAGCCCGCATGGCCCAGGTGTCATCAGCCTTTAGCTCTGCTCCGTTAGAGTACCAGGCTACCTCCGCCTCAGGCACAGGCTCAGTCAGCATGCAGCTGAACTCTACCGTCTCTCCCACCACAGCTACCTTATCCTCCAGGCCGCTCACCACATCCAGCTGCCAGCCTACGCACACAACATTAAGTTATTTTTTTGTCATTTAGCAGATGCTAAATCCAGAGCGACTTACAGTTAGTGAGTGCATACATTTTCATAAAATGCCTAACAAACTCAAGACTCACAATACTTGTTACAGATACAGAAACGAATGCTTGTCTCGTTTCCTATAGCAATTGCAGGCAGATTTCCAGATTTTCATCTGTAGTATGTTATATTTCACCGATAGACCAGGCCTAACACTTATGTTTTCAGAAACAGGAACTAACAAACAAACATACTGTAATTGGGACATTAATTGTGGTGACACACCTTTGACATTGAGCATGGCGGAGGTTGTTGCGGTGCCGGCTTGGAAGGTCACCTTGCAGCCGTCTCCGACGTGCAGATCCTTGAGCAGCAGGAGGTGGCGACGTCCACTTTCGAAGGACACGATCTCCGTGGTGGGCGATTCCTTCACCGGCTTGCCGTTGATCAGCCAGCGGCAGTCTTTGATCTCGCAACGAGAGATAGAGCACTCGAACAGGGCCTCTCCGCCGTCGATGGTGTCCATGTTCTCCAGGCCTTGTAGGATTTCAATGGGTTTGGCTGTACGGGAGGAGAGGGGAGCAGGGAGAGGGCGGTTTACTGTAAGAAAATAGCTTTGACTGAGAGGGGAGAATGTGTCATAAGACAAGCTGTTGTGGGGATTTCAGGTTCACGGTGGCCTGTAGGTCAAGTGGATTTTTTATTGCTTGACACTTGCTGCTATTCAAGCTGAACCTAGCCTCATAATGAAAACCTGCTAAAACTGCTGGACACACACACACAATGCATGAAATGACCTGCCAGGGCCGTCAATACAGTCTTTGGTGAATGCTTTGTTTTGGACTTTCTGATACCCATTTTCACACTAGGGCCAGGAGTTTTTCCTGAGCATGTCACCTGACCACGAGAAACAACGGGCCCTATTTGATCACTATAACGAGGGCCCAGAGTTTTTCCTGATCAGGTCTCATGGTTTAGAAGTCATGTACATTTTTTATTTAGCCTTGCTTGGCTGGATTGATTTATTGATCGATTGCTAAAGAGAGGAAAGATGGCATGAATTAAAAAATTACCTACTTGAAATCGCTATCTGCTCATCATAATTGAAAACAACAATGAATATTTGAACACGTTCGGGGGAAGGGTAGAGTAGCAAGGTGCTCTTTCCAAACGGAGAGAAGCTCACCTTCCACCTCCAGTAAGGCAACCACGCAGGTCCCCTCTGCCTCACAGGAGTATGTCCCCCTGTCCTCAGTGGACACGTGGCTAATGTACAAGCGAGCCACGGTCCAGTCCTGCTCAACTACCACCCTCCGGCCATCAGGCTGCAATGGCCGACCGTCTCTCTTCCACTGGGCCTGGACCGGCCGGGAGTACTGGCAGATGAACTCAGCCGGCTGGTCCTCAGCCACCCGCAGGTCCTGCATTTCGCTCACCACCTCTACTGTGGGGTCTGAGAGTGGGGGCAGGGGTCATATGACAAGGTCATCATGACTGACATACACTCTCTCGACATGCCGAAGAACAATACCTGGGCTTTATAAACACCCCAGTACACCTTGGAGTATTTTTATGTATATTACTTTGAATTGAGTTAACTTTATTGATGCCCAAGGGGGAAATATTATAAATGTTTTAAATTACTGGTGGTATCAGAGGTGGCTTAGTATTTTAGTATGCATTGTGTGCTGCTGTGGCAAGCCCTTAGAGGTGCCTTGATCAACAGTACATGGATGCAGCACTCTGTGGCCAAATATGCACTTACATACAGTATGTGAATTTCTACTTATATGTGATAGATGTTCTTGTTACTCCAAACTGAAGGGGGAGTGAAAAGCCCAACCGTCTCAAGAGGCAGGGGGAGATGGACACAACTACTGCCCACTAACCAACCAATGAGTTAGGGGAGATATGCCAGTGGGTGGATAGAGACGCCAGACTGACAGGGCAGAGGTAGGAAGGGTTAGAGAGTTTTAGTGCTTGCAGGCTAGGGGCGGTGCAGTGCAGGGAGGAGGTGAGGCGGAGAGTGAGAGTTAATAAGGGAAAGTGGCCGGCCAGGGTGGATGGGTGGAGCAGCACTGCCCTGCACTGCAATTTCCAGCTACTGCTGATTCTATAGGTTGACATACAACAACAGCAAAGTTTGTTTACAGGTCAAATCTGTCCCACTGTACCCATAGAACTACATCAAAACCTTGTTCAGAAAATACACAATGCACACTTTATTTTTGAATTACTACCTGTGTGCACACATCACTTATTATCAGCAATCATACATCACACATACTGCCACAAAATAGATGACATAATATGTAATCTATTTCAATGTGAATATACACTGCTCAAAAAATAAAGGGAACACTCCCGAGTGGCGCAGTGGTCAAAGGCACTGCATCGCAGTGCTAGCTGTGCCACTAGAGATCCTGGTTCGAATCCAGGCTCTGTCGTAGCCGGCCGTGACCGGGAGACCCATGGGGCGGCGCACAATTGGCCCAGCGTCGTCCAGGGTAGGGGAGGGAATGGCCGGCAGGGATGTAGCTCAGTTGGTAGAGCATGGCGTTTGCAACGCCAGGGTTGTGGGTTCGATTCCCAAGGGGGGCCAGTATGAAAAATATAAAACTGTAAGTCGCTCTGGATAAGAGCGTCTGCTAAATGACTAAAAATGTAAATGTAAAAACTTAAACAACACAATGTAACTCCAAGTCAATCACACTTCAGTGAAATCAAACTGTCCACTTAGGAAGCAACACTGATTGACAATAAATTTCACATGCTGTTGTGCAAATGGAATAGACAACAGGTGGAAATTATAGGCAATTAGCAAGACACCCCCAATAAAGGAGTGGTTCTGCAGGTGGTGACCACAGACCACTTCTCAGTTCCTATGCTTCCTGGCTGATGTTTTGGTCACTTTTGAATGCTGGCGGTGCTTTCACTCTAGTGGTAGCATGAGACGGAGTCTACAACCCACACAAGTGGCTCAGGTAGTGCAGCTCATCCAGGATGGCACATTAATGCGAGCTGTGGCAGGAAGGTTTGCTGTGTCTGTCAGCGTAGTGTCCAGAGCATGGAGGCGCTACCAGGAGACAGGCCAGTACATCAGGAGACGTGGAGGAGGCCGTAGGAGGGCAACAACCCAGCAGCAGGACCGCTACCTCCGCCTTTGTGCAAGGAGGAGCAGGAGGAGCACTGCCAGAGCCCTGCAAAATGACCTCCAGCAGGCCACAAATGTGCATGTGTCTGCTCAAACGGTCAGAAACAGACTCCATGAGGGTGGTATGAGGGCCCGACATCCACAGGTGGGGGTTGTGCTTACAGCCCAACACCGTGCAGGACGTTTGGCATTTGCCAGAGAACACCAAGATTGGCAAATTCGCCACTGGCGCCCTGTGCTCTTCACAGATGAAAGCAGGTTCACACTGAGCACATGTGACAGACGTGACAAGAGTCTGGAGACGCCGTGGAGAACGTTCTGCTGCCTGCAACATCCTCCAGCATGACCGGTTTGGCGGTGGGTCAGTCATGGTGTGGGGTGGCATTTCTTTGGGGGGCCGCACAGCCCTCCATGTGCTCGCCAGAGGTAGCCTGACTGCCATTAGGTACCGAGATGAGATCCTCAGACCCTTTGTGAGACCATATGCTGGTGCGGTTGGCCCTGGGTTCCTCCTAATGCAAGACAATGCTAGACCTCATGTGGCTGGAGTGTGTCAGCAGTTCCTGCAAGAGGAAGGCATTGATGCTATGGACTGGCCTGCCTGTTCCCCAGACCTGAATCCAATTGAGCACATCTGGGACATCATGTCTCGCTCCATCCACCAACGCCACGTTGCACCACAGACTGTCCAGGAGTTGTCGGATGCTTTAGTCCAGGTCTGGGAGGAGATCCCTCAGGAGACCATCCGCCACCTCATCAGGAGCATGCCCAGGCGTTGTAGGGAGGTCATACAGGCACGTGGAGGCCACACACACTACTGAGCCTCATTTTTACTTGTTTTAAGGACATTACATCAAAGTTGGATCAGCCTGTAGTGTGGTTTTCCACTTTAATTTTGAGTGTGACTCCAAATCCAGACCTCCATGGTTTGATAAATTTGATTTCCATTGATAATTTTTGTGTGATTTTGTTGTCAGCACATTCAACTATGTAAAGAAAAAAGTATTTAAGAAGATTATTTCATTCATTCAGATCTAGGATGTGTTATTTTAGTGTTCCCTTTATTTTTTTGAGCAGTGTACTACAGTAGGCAGATATGATTTCTATAATTGTTGAACAAGATTAGAGTGGATGATTCCTAGAACTATACTTAAAGCTGCAATATGTAACTTTTTGGGTGACCCGAGCAAATTCCCATATAAATGTGAGTTATAGATCTGTCATTCTCATTGAAAGCAAGTCTAAGAAGTGGTAGATCTGTTCTATGTGCGCTATTTCTATGCTTCCAGTTCTTAAGTTTCATTTTTGCATCTTTTACTTTCGGTTTTGTACACTAGCTCCAAACACAATATCTTTGGTTATTGAAAATATATTTCAAAGCGCTTTAGATGGTACAATGATTCTCTACACACAAACTGAAATTAGGCGAACTATTCAAATTTTTGCAACCAGGAAATGGCGGCGCGATTTCTGCATATTGCACCTTTAATTATCAAAATATGTCCACCAGTTCTACTCTATTCCAATTAGATATTCTGTAAACCACAACTGTTAGGTACCATTTGCCATTATTAGTTAAAAGTATAGATACACAATGGAACTATGGGTGTGAATCCTCATCGGATAACATAGCACTTGCTGCATATCACTAAGAAACTGGTGGAAACATCCTATAGTGCTGCACCATCCTGTTTGTTTTGCTCATTCTAACTCTATTAGTGAAATGACTCAAATGTATGCTCATGCATGGAAGAATGCATGGATGAGGCACAAAAAAACCATAGCTACTTATCTAGTCATTCCCACTACTGAGTCAGGGAGCTTTGAACTCTTTGAGGACACTGGCATAATACTATCAAGATTAACATTAGCCTTGGACAGAAAGTGTGAAAATAGTAGAGTCTACTCCCAATGTGGTGAAAATGCTCTGGTGGTCATAATTGAATATTATATCTAATCACACATTTGTATGTTGAGTATTATGAGCATTGATGCTGCAAGATCTCGAGAACAGAGCTGGATCTTTAGTCCCTTTCCTCCTCCTCCTCTCAATCCCTCTAGTTCCTCCTCCCTGATACCTTTAACTAAGAGCTTGGCGTAGGACACCAGGCTGCAGGCTTTGAACGTCACGGTGCCCGAGGCGTCCGGGGCCAGGTCCTTTAGGGTGAGGGTGTGGACGTGGCCCTGGCTCAGCCCTATCTCGCTTGAGGGGCTGTCCTGGAGAAGGGTCCCGTCCAGCCACCACTGCACCTTCTCGGGCCTCACGCCGCGGGACAGCTGGCAGGAGAAGGTGGCCCACTCGCCCAAAAAGACATCGGTGCTCTTTAGACCACACACTATGAGGACTTCTGCCTCTGTAGAGTAGTGGAGATACAGTCAGACACTCAGCTACTGCCACTCACAGTCACACAACTCACCCCAAACTCTCACAATGCCAGCCTATGGGATAATAAAGATTACTTCGACCTTGACCTGTCTCATTCCTCATTTAAACTTTGACTTTAAGAGGGCAAGCATCCTTGCTCACTTCCTTGGGTTATTATTCCCTACACGTTCCATGATACAATATACATTTTGTTCAACAAAATGTTAACCATCTGTTTTCAATCAAGACTGGAAACTGCCTATGTAAACAAATACATCTTAAATATTTTCAATTTACAATTACATCCTACAACTGATCATCTTTAACTTGCTGAAAAAACACTTGTTGAAACCACAAAGGCTATCAAAAACCATTAGGAATTCATTCCTTGATCCTAGAGAAATGAAGAAACTATACAGAAATTAACCCTTTCAGAGACAGATGGTGTAGTTGTGACATGATACCTTGCACTGCCACCGACGCCGTGGTGAGCTGGTCTCCAGCGTCGCAGGTGTAGTAGCCATTGTCCTCTGGCTCCAGGTTGCGAATGCGGAGCTCCTGAACGCAGCCCTCCTGCCTCATCGCATACTTCTTACCAGCCTGGAGGACCACGCCTCCCTTCCTCCACTCCACGTGAGCGCCGGCCTTGGAGAGCTCACAGCGCAGAGTGATATCATCGCCTTCCTGAGCTTCCTTGTTCTTCAGCTCCTTCTGGAAGAATGCCGGGGCACCTGGTGGAAGTAGGAGACATGACATGACATCAGTGTCGGACAACAGAAGTTGTGTAGACGACAGTGGCAAGGTGGACAGGGGCGTACGATGTTTCTGTTGGTGTATGTTGAAGGAAGGGTGCATGATAGTTTGAAGAGGGCAAGCGAGTTAAGAACAGTGTTGTGGGGGAACATCCTGACTTTATCTTGATCCACAGCCTTCAATTTTAGGTTGGGTTGTAGACTATTTTCTAGTACCCATTAGACGCAGTGTAGAGGGTCTGAACTTTTCAAGTGGCAGCATCATTCTTTACCTTCCACAGTCAATGTGACGGTGCACTGTGCATCTCCGGTATCGCAGCAGTAAATTCCAGAGTCCTCCATCTCCAGGTTGTGGATACGGAGCTGTAGGAGAGTTTCATTCTTCCGCAGGTCGTACTTGAGGCCTGCTTTGATGGCCACATCATTCCTGCTCCAGGTGACAGGGGCCGTGGGGTCGGAGACAGTGCAGGACAGGGTGACTGTCTCACCCTCCAGGGCCACTGTGTCATGAGGCTTCTCTAGGATTAAGACTGTAGATATGGGAAATCCCAAACTAAGTACATACAGTGTAATGCACTTTGAGTGTCAGGTGTCATGCACAGCATATGTCAAACTTGTATGGTATTTCTATGGGCAGTGTTTAAAGTGGCTCTTTTTCCACAGGTCTACAATTCCACCAATGATAACCATAAAGACTACGTCCATTAGGTGTGCATCACTCAATTGATATTCAAATTGATACTGAAGTTAGCAAAGTGATATGTTTATATCAGTGACAACCATCTTGTTGTCAACTTAATTTTATAGTATCTTTAAAGACAAAGATGCTATAAAAAAAAAGCCAGGAGGATGGCCAACACACGTCTAAAGAAAGGTTAGGATGGAATGGATGATGGTGCACAGCAGATGAACAGAGGGTGTTCCAATGCTGTTTGATGGAAGATAGAGATGGAGAGGGGTGAGGACTAGATGGCCATCTTTAACGTCTCCGTTAACATCTCCATTACCTTTGGGCTTCTCTTCCACCAGCAGGCAGGCGACGGTCTTCTCTTCGCCCACCACAAACGCCACGTCCCCTGACTCGTCAGTGGTGACCATCTGTAGTGTCAGCCGGTGCACCCGGCCCTGGCAGGTCATCTGGTTCAGGTCATTGTTCTGGAGGAGGTTATCCCCTAGCCACCACTCTCCGTTGGTCACGCCCTCCTGGGACAACTCACACGCAAAGACAGCATCCTGCCCGGTGGTCACTGTGATGTCGTGCAGCTCCCGAGTGATGCGTACAGACTCTGGAGGTGAATGAATGTGACGATGGGGGAGTGAGAAATGCAAAGGTTCCCAGGGTCAGGGTTTCCCAGGGGATTCATTAAGGTGAAACACTCAGCAATAGAGCACCACCATTGGTATCCCGATTTAAAAGTGAGTTCTAAAGAGGATTGACATTTGCACTCCAGGAGACACCTATTTCTGTCAACTCAATGTTTAGGACTTCTCATTTAAAGAGTACAATATTACACAAAACACACTTTCAGTTCCTACGTAATGGCTAACATGTAGGAAGGTAAGGTAGACATATGTATATGCAAAACATTATCTGACACAATAGCTTTGTATAGGTCTGAATATGAAAACAAAACCAACATGCAGTAGTCCCCAATACGGCAAATAGATTGAGGTTCAAACGTAAAAACACACATTGATTATGAAACCTACATTTCATGATCAACTAAATGTGTATTGTTACCTAGACAACTATGCTTACTCACAGATTATACTTCATAAGCTGGTTACTATAGAGCCATGACTACATGGAACTCTATTCCACATCAAGTAACTGATGCAAGCAGTAGAATCAGATGTAAAAAAACAGATACAAATACACCTTATGGAACAGCGGGGACTGTGAAGAGACACAAACACAGGCACAGACACATGCATACACACACGCGATAACATACACACAAGTACACATGGATTTTGTGTTGCAGATATGTGGTAGTAGAGTAGGGGCCTGAGGGCACACACTTAATGCATTGGCAGCAGCTAATGGGGATCCATAATAAATACAAATACTATACATTTGTAGTAGCTACTGGCTACAACAAAATCCAACTAAAAGGACATTAAGAAGGAAGTTCTTAGTCCGTCGGCACACTGAATGAAAGCAGAGGATAATGTAGGGTCACAGCAAACCAGAGACAGATGTGAATACAGACGAGCTCCATTACCTTTGACTGTCAGGGTGGCCGTGCTCTGCTTATCCCCGGTATCGCAGGTGTACTCTCCAGCATCCCCGACCTTCAGCTTGTGAACCATCAGGATGTAGGTAGAACCTGTGTGCTCCATGGAATACTTCTCCCCCTGGGTGAGGAGCAAGGAGCCCCTTCTCCATGTCACCTTGCCCTCAGAACTGATCTCACAGGTCAGGGAGACACTTCCCCCCTCAACTGCTTCCTGGCTCTGCAGCTCCTTCTTGAACACCACAGGGGCCCCTGCCGGGACACAGCAAGATAGATACAGACCACCACAAGGTTAGGATTGATGGAGACGTTACCTGGTTTAGGGAGTGGACACGGACGGGAAGGACATCCAAGCACATCCAATATCTTGAAAGGAAACATTCAACACAACATTTAAAAGCATTTGCTAGACAAACATTAACCACTGTAGGTTTCAAATAGCTTAAGCCTCAAAGGACAAAAACGGGGAGATTTCTTGTTATGTTGTAATGTGAGAGAAATGAACAAGTGGCCTATCAATGGCATGCACTGCTATAATAATCGATCTCCACAACAAGATGAACATGAATTGAGGGATCCATTATTGATAGGAGAAGATAAAAGAAATGAAGAATCAATGAAAGAATGGACAGAATGGCTCCAAGTATTGGGGTACAATGGAAAAGGGTCAGGTCTAGTAAAGGTCAGTGATTAGCATCATACATATATTATATAACCCCTTACCTCAGACTATACAGTATATGTACCCTTTACCTTGGACGTTCAGGGTATAAAACGGATTTGGAATGGACAGAATCGATCCAGGTATTGGGGTACAATGGGAGAGGGTTGGGGCTGATCACCAGCAGACTCATATGCAGTATGTATCTCTTACCTCAGACTATGTACAGTATATGACTATATACTATACAGTGGGGGAAAAAAGTATTTAGTCAGCCACCAATTGTGCAAGTTCTCCCACTTAAGAAGACCAGAGAGGCCTGTAATTTTCATCATAGGTTCACGTCACTATGACAGGCAAAATGAGAAAAAAAATCCAGAAAATCACATTGTAGGATTTTTTATGAATTTATTTGCAAATTATGGTGGAAAATAAGTATTTGGTCAATAACAAAAGTTTCTCAATACTTTGTTTTATACCCTTTGTTGGCAATGACACAGGTCAAACGTTTTCTGTAAGTCTTCACAAGGTTTTCACACACTGTTACTGGTATTTTGGCCCATTCCTCCATGCAGATCTCCTCTAGAGCAGTGATGTTTTGGGGCTGTCGCTGGGCAACATGGACTTTCAACTCCCTCCAAAGATTTTCTATGGGGTTGAGATCTGGAGACTGGCTAGGCCACTCCAGGACCTTGAAATGCTTCTTACGAAGCCACTCCTTCGTTGCCCGGGCGGTGTGTTTGGGATCATTGTCATGCTGAAAGACCCAGCCACGTTTCATCTTCAATGCCCTTGCTGATGGAAGGAGGTTTTCACTCAAAATCTCACGAAACATGGCCCCATTCATTCTTTCCTTTACACGGATCAGTCGTCCTGGTCCCTTTGCAGAAAACAAGCCCCAAAGCATGATGTTTCCACCCCCATGCTTCACAGTAGGTATGGTGTTCTTTGGATGCAACTCAGCATTCTTTGTCCTCCAAACATGATGAGTTGAGTTTTTACCAAAAAGTTCTATTTTGGTTTCATCTGACCATATGACATTCTCCCAGTCCTCTTCTGGATCATCCAAATGCACTCTAGCAAACTTCAGACGGGCCTGGACATGTACTGGCTTAAGCAGGGGGACACGTCTTGCACTGCAGGATTTGAGTCCCTGGCGGCGTAGTGTGTTACTGATGGTAGGCTTTGTTACTTTGGTCCCAGCTCTCTGCAGGTCATTCACTAGGTCCCCCCGTGTGGTTCTTGGTTTTTTGCTCACCGTTCTTGTGATCATTTTGACCCCACGGGGTGAGATCTTGCGTGGAGCCCCAGATCGAGGGAGATTATCAGTGGTCTTGTATGTCTTCCATTTCCTAATAATTGCTCCCACAGTTGATTTCTTCAAACCAAGCTGCTTACCTATTGCAGATTCAGTCTTCCCAGCCTGGTGCAGGTCTACAATTTAGTTTCTGGTGTCCTTTGACAGCTCTTTGGTCTTGGCCATAGTGGAGTTTGGAGTGTGACTGTTTGAGGTTGTGGACAGGTGTCTTTTATACTGATAACAAGTTCAAACAGGTGCCATTAATACAGGTAATGAGTGGAGGACAGAGGAGCCTCTTAAAGAAGAAGTTACAGGTCTGTGAGAGCCAGAAATCTTGCTTGTTTGTAGGTGACCAAATACTTATTTTCCACCATAAATTAGAAATAATTTAATAGAAAATCCTACAATGTGATTTTCAGGATTTTTTTTTCTCAATTTGTCTGTCATAGTTGACGTGTACCTATGATGAAAATTACAGGCCTCTCTCATCTTTTTAAGTGGGAGAACTTGCACAATTGGTGGCTGACTAAATACTTTTTTTCCCCACTGTATACTTTATATACTATATACTATACTATATTATACTATGTACTATATTATACTATATTATATACTATATACTTTATATACTATATTATACACTCCTAACCTCAGACTATGTATATGCACCCCTTACCTCAGATGGTTCAGCGGAGAGTGGAGGCTAAAAAAGAGGTTTGGAATAGATCCAGGTATTGGGGTACAACAGAAAAGGGTTGTGGCTGATTAGAAGACTTGTATATATAGTATTTCCCCCTTACCTCGGACGGTCAGGCTGGCGGTGGAGGTATGGTGGCCCACAGTGAAGGTGACTGTGCCCGAGTCGGCCTGGGTGACCCCCCTGAGGGTGAGACTGTGCACCTTGCCTTGAGCGCAGATCAGATTCATCTCATTGTTCTGCAGGGGGACATCCGCAAGCTTCCACTGGACCTCCTTGGCATTCTCGTGGGACAGATGGCACACAAAGTGAACGTCCTCCCCCTCGCGCACCGAGCAGCTGTTCAAGACCTTCACTATGGTCACCTCCATCTCTGTTTTAAAAAGCCAGTTATGTGTTACTGCTTAAATGCGAATCTCACTCTAAGGGAGCACTAGTGTCTATATGGGTGTACATGGTTAGATGCCAACAGAAATAAGGCTCCTAACCATACACACACAATACAGTTACAGTACAGAGACAACTGTCAAGACATAAGGTTGCTCCTGTCAAGACAGAAGAAGTGGAAGTGTGAGACAGATCATTGTCCTTCACAGCAGAGCGCTCGGGTGGAATGGTTACGAAGGTAGAAGTGCAGAGGAAGGTGTGAAGGATATGAAGGACATAGGAAGCAGTAGGTGAATCAGGAAATGGATGAAGATCACCAACAAGCTTTCATTCCGTGCTCTTTAGGCCTTTGGTCCTCTAAAGCCTTGCGTGATATTAGTCTTGTGGGAATCACTCAGGATGGAAAGCGGTTGGTAGGGATAGAGTGAATTAGAAGAGAGGTGCCATGAATCAAGAAGTGTATAGAGAGAGAGAATGATTAAAAAGAATGTCAGAAGACAGTAGCAGACTTTAATCTTGTCCCCTACCCTGTACAGTGAGCATGGATGAGGTCTTCTGGTAACCCGTGTCACAGATATACTCCCCAGAGTCAGCCCCTTGTAGGTTATAGATGATAAGCTTCACAATGGCCCCTTCCTGTTTCAGCTGATACTTGTTGTTAGACTCCAGGACCCTGTCGCCCCGGCTCCAGACAACGCTGGCCCCAGGCTTGGTGATCTCACAGCGGAGGATGGCGATCTCACCTGCGTCCCACTCTAGATTCTGTAGTCGGGTTTTGAAGTAAACAGGCAGGGCTGTGGAAAGCAAGAGGGGCGGTAGGAACGGTGGAGGTCGGGAGAGGTGAGATAGAGAAAAGTTGAGGGCAGAATTGTGCCTCTAAACCACAAAATATATATAATACATGTGGGAAAGTTAGATTTTCTTTCACGACAGCATACACTGCTAAAACCAGAAGAGTTTTCTCTCAGCCTACCCTTCACAGCAAGGTGTGCTGTGGTTTTTCGGTCACCACTGTCACAAAAATAGCTGCCTGAGTCTTCAGGGTCTGAGCTGTGGATGACTAGTCTGGCACTGTGCCCTTCCTGGACGATTTCATACTTGGCACAGGGGCAGAGACCCACCTCCCCCTTCCTCCATTCTACAGGGACCCCAGGTTTAGAGAGCTCACAGTGCAGGGTAACACTGCCCCCCTCCTCAGCCTCCTGGCTCTCCAGCTCTTTGGTGAATATGACTGGGAGAACTGACAAATCCAAATCCCAAAATATGAATTATAAGTCTACACTTACATAAAAAAATGGTAGGCATTATTCCACGGTAACTGTTGTATTGCATAACTTTTACTAACTGTTTATTGCATTTCAGATCAAGGTTTTCTTTTCTGTTCTAGTGAAGAATTGGGCTGTAGTGAAAAGCTCTTCATCATCCTACCATTGACTTTCAGGTATGCTGAGCTCTCTGTGTCTCCAGTGCTGCAGTGGTAGTTTCCTGTGTCTTCAGGTTTCAAATCACAGATTTGGAGTTTCACACTGCAATCTTTCTGCTTCATCTGGTACTTTTCTCCAGACTTCAGAACCTGTGTTCCCTCCTTCCATTCTACAGGGACCCCAGGTTTAGAGAGCTCACAGTGCAGGGTAACATTGCCCCCCTCCTCAACCTCCTGGCTCTCCAGATCTTGTTTGAATATGGCTGGAAGAGCTGAGAAATTAAAGGGTTAAAAAATATCTGCATTCACTGTCACAACGCCTCAAAAAGAGACAGCACAAACCCATATGGTGTTAGCGTCTAGAAGATGATCCCACTGGGATGATGTCTCTATGTATGGTAAACACTTTCAATGACCATTAATGTATGCACTCTTCTCTGCTTGGTGTCCATCCGTCCAGGCCAGCAGCATTGAAAAATATGTGTGTGTGACCCACCACCACCTTGAAAGTGAGATTTTAACTACTCTGGCTTTACACATAATCAAGGTTATGTACAGCACTGCATGAAGAATCCTGGTCTCTGCCTAAATTCAATATTTTGTACGCAGAATACACCTGGAATATCATAATCAAACTACAACAAGGAATCTACAACAAGGAGACTCCAGCAAGGTCAACAAAAACAACAAAGTAAAGACCTATAGTAGATCCCCATTTAAGGGCAAGGAGATGTGTAATACATTACAACTGCAAGCTACATGGCAGCAGTATACAGGAGTAGACTGCAACAGAAAGCTCATCCTTTCCCACCATGGGCTTCTACCACTGTCTTCTCCTCTTTTTCAGTCTCTGGTTTTGGCTCGATAGGAGCAACTGGTGTCTCCACAACTACAGTACAAACATGAAAAATCTGTTGAATATATCTTCATTATAACATCAACTTTAAAATTGTGCACCTAAGCGAACCAGACGTAAGCGAACAAAGCCTAATGTCCACGGAGCTACAAATCTTACCCATTCACATGACAACCATCATTTGTCGCCTACTTTCTTTCAACTCCCATTTAGAAGGGAAAAGGGGATACCTGGTCAGTTGTACAACTGAAATGTGTCTTCCGCATTTAACCCAACCCCTCTGAATCAGAGAAGTGCGGGGGGCTGCCTTAATCGACATCATCGGTGCCCGGGGGCAAGGGCAGAACAACAGATTTTTACTTTGTCAGCTCTGGGATTCAATCTAGCAAACTTTCGGTTTACTGGCCCGACGCTCCTACCCGCCAGGCTACCTGCCGCCACGCATGGCAAAGTATGCAGACAAAACAAAATCAACAGAATATATTTTCAATAAAGAGTGTACTTCGTCGACTTAAGGATGAAATGAACAGGAACTACAACAGATAGCCTACAGTACGAGTTGAATAACTTTTGCATTTAAAAATGCACGAGCAAACCAGATGGAAGCAAACAAAGCCCAAAGTCGAACTTTTTTATCTATTCATACGAACAATGACCAATGTACTGAACTTAAGCATGACAAACTATTCTCCTGTCTCTTTGGTCTCCTGCTTCTGAGGCTCTGGTTTAAGGGTGACTGCAGGAACTGGAGTTTTCTCTACTGTGGCACAGTAAAACATTTGATAAGAACCTCAACACCTCTTAAGAGAACAGCCTGACAAACCAGCTGAAGCCACACGATTCGGGAAGCTAGCTGAAGGGCTACAGAAGGACACGATTCGGGAAGCTAGCTGAAGGGCTACAGAAGGACAGGATTCGGGAAGCTAGCTGAAGGGCTACAGAAGGACACGATTCGGGAAGCTAGCTGAAGGGCTACAGAAGGACACGATTCGGGAAGCTAGCTGAAGGGCTACAGAAGGACACGATTCGGGAAGCTAGCTGAAGGGCTACAGAAGGACAGGATTCGGGAAGCTAGCTGAAGGGCTACAGAAGGACACGATTCGGGAAGCTAGCTGAAGGGCTACAGAAGGACAGGATTCGGGAAGCTAGCTGAAGGGCTACAGAAGGACAGGATTCGGGAAGCTAGCTGAAGGGCTACAGAAGGACAGGATTCGGGAAGCTAGCTGAAGGGCTACAGAGGACAGGATTCGGGAAGCTAGCTGAAGGGCTACAGAAGGACAGGATTCGGGAAGCTAGCTGAAGGGCTACAGAAGGACAGGATTCGGGAAGCTAGCTGAAGGGCTACAGAAGGACAGGATTCGGGAAGCTAGCTGAAGGGCTACAGAAGGACAGGATTCGGGAAGCTAGCTGAAGGGCTACAGAAGGACAGGATTCGGGAAGCTAGCTGAAGGGCTACAGAAGGACACGATTCGGGAAGCTAGCTGAAGGGCTACAGAAGGACTATGTGACACAACTTGCCTTCAGAAAGAATCTAGCCACACTGTTCACCACATACCCCTGTAGCTCAGTTGGTAGAGCATGGCGCTTGCAATGCCAGGGTTGTGGGTTCGTTTCCCACGGGGGGCCAGTATGAAAATGTATGCACTCACTAACTGTAAGTCGCTCTGGATAAGAGCGTCTGCTAAAATGTAAAGCAAGTGTAAAGATCCAAGCTTTCTGAGTCTCCAAGTAGCTAATCTTTTCTACTGTCTTCTTCATGGGGCTCCGGTTTGGGGGTGGCAGGAGCAGCAGGCTTAGAGACTTAGCCACACAATGCTAAAGCCACAAATCTTCGCTAGAATAGATTGGCCAAAGAGCAGCAATTCCTGTGACTACAAAATGTATCCACTAGAAAAAGAAAAAAAAAGAAACATTACATTGAGCAACACAGTATGATGTGACAGACAACGCACAGGTAGGAGCTCAACAGATAGCTCATCTTTTCCTACCAGGGGCTTCTACTACTGTCTTCGTCTCTACTGTCTCCTTCTGTGGTTCCGGTTTGAGGGCGGCAGGAGCAGCAGGCATCACGGCTATGACAAAACATTAAAGCCGGTATATGATTTAACTTCCCAATGTCATACAACAAAAAGTATTTAAACAGACAAACTGCCATTAAATCTCTTTGAGTGAAGGACAACCGTCATACATGACACACACTTAACAGGACCACACAAGATAAAACAGACCCAAACATTTGCCACACAATGTGAAAGCCACAAATGATGTTCACTTGAACGGATAAAGAGCAGTAGTATTTGAATTGATATGACAGACTATGCACAGGTATGAGCTTAACAGACAACAGATAGCTAATCTTTCCTACCAGGGGCTTCTACTACCGTCTTCTTCTCTACTTCCTCCTTCTGGGGCTCCAGTTTGGTGGAGGCAAGAGCAGCAGGCTTCATGGCTATAGCAAAACACCAAAATAACTACCGGTATATAATTTAACTTCAGCATCTGTCTAGTAAGCAGAAAGCTCAACCAAATGCATGAACTCATGAACATCAATTCCCAACGTCATACAACAGTCTTCAAAGAGAGAAACAGGCAGTGACACAGACTACCACTACATAGCCTACACAGCAAATGAAGGACAAAGACTAAACAGAAGAAGCTTACAGGACACACTAACAGGACCACAAGATGAAGCAGAAACCCCAAAATTAGCCATACAATGCTAAAGCCACAAATGACGTTCGCTTGAACAAATTGACCAAAGAGCAGCAGTCCCTATACGAAAAGTACCCACCATGAGCGTCTACAACAGACTTATTTTCTACCGTCTCCTCCTTCTGGGGCTCCGGTTTGGGGGTGGCAGGAGCAGCAGGCTTAAAGGCTATAACAAAACACCAAAATGACTATATACACCCCCAAAATGTGCCACACAATGCTAAAGCCATAAATTATGTTTGCTTGAAGTTGAACAGATAGGCCAAAGAACAGCCTTATTTGAATTGATGTGACAGACTACACACAGGTATGAGTTGAAAAGACAACAGATAGCTCATCTTTCCTACCAGGGGCTTCTACGGTCTTCTTTTCTACAACAGGCTTAGAGACTATGACAAAACACCAAAATGACTACCAGTGAGTGGACAAAACATTAGGAACACCTTCCTAACATTGAGTTGGAGCCCCTTTTGCCCTCAGAACAGCCTCAATTCGTTGGAGCGTGGACTCTACAAGTTATCGAACGCGTTCCACTGGGATACTGGCCCATGTTGACTCCAATGCTTCCCACAGTTGTGTCAAGTTGGCTGGATGTCCTTTGGGTGGTGGACCATTCTTGATACACACGGGAAACTGTGGGAAGCAGCGTTGTAGTTTTTGAAACACTCAAACCGGTGCGCCTGGTACCTACTACCATACCCCGTTCAAAGTCATTTAAATATTGTGTCTGGCTCATTCACCCTCTGAATGGCACACATACTCAAAACATGCTCAATTGTCTCAAGGCTTAACAATTCTTCTTTAACCGGTCTCCTCTGCTTCATCTACACTGATTGAAGTGGATTTAACAGGTGACATCAATAAGGGATCATAGCTTTCACCTGGATTCACCTGGTCAGTCTATGTCATGTGTTCCTAATGTTTTGGACACTCAGTGTATAACTGAACTTCATCGGTTGTCTAAAAAGCAGAAAACTCAATAACACGCGTGACAGCATAAACATGAATTGAAATTACATCATATAACAAAACATATTTAAAACAGACACACACTACCATTCAAATTGAGGGAAAACCAAGCAAAAACATATTAGTATTACATTACATTTTTACATTATTACATATTTATGTCAAGTAAGAAAATACTAAGAGGATCACAAGTTGAAGCACAGACCCCAAAAAATGAGTCACACAGTGCTAAAGCAAACAGATAGGAACTGCTGCTTGTTGGCCTATCTGACTGCAATTATCCACCAGATTCAAAAACACAATTACATACAGCAAACACCAGAATACCATATATTTTGTAATTGCTGTGACAGACTATGCACAGGTATGAGCTCAACAGACAACAGATAGCTAATCTTTCCTACCAGGGGCTTCTACTACCATCTTCTTCTCTAATGTCTCCTTCTGGGGCTCCGTTTTGGGGATGGCAGGAGCAATAGGGTTCGCAGGCTCCGAGACTATGACAAAACACCATAATAACTAAACATTCTTTAACTTTACTTCAACAAGTAACCAGTAATGTCAATAATTGTTACCATGGTCTTTAACTACTGTCTTCATCTCTACTGTCTCCTTTTGGGGCTCTGGTTTGGGGGCGGCAGGAACATCAGGCTTTAAAGCTATAGCAAAAATCCTAATACCTCAATATTCTATAACTTCCAGAATGAGCTCAACAGAGAACATATCTCATCTTTTCCTACCATGGGCTTCTACTACTGTCTTCCTTTCTACTGTCTCCTTCTGGGTCTCTTTGGTCTCCTGCTGCTTCTGGGGCTCATGTTGTCTGTGAGTGACTGGAGGAGCTGGGGCTTGAAACATTTCACTTTAGATCCAACTCTGATACAAAGGCATGCCCTCAAAGGGAAGCAGAGAATCCAAAACAAGGACAGGCCACTCAAAGCTAAGGGGACAATTGTACACAGACAAGGTTTACATACACATACAAAACATAGAAAGATGGACACTGGCAAGAACCACAATCTGTGGTATTTCTCTGTTCCCAAGACTGATGGAGTTGTAACCTGGTTCAGGGTTAATTCTTGACAAATAAACAGTAAACTACATCTGGCTAATAAGAATGGTCAGTGCTATCCGGAATCCTTGGAACATCCCTACCCTAAACCCTAACCCTAACCTTAACCCCTAGCCTTAACCATAACCCTTACTTAACCCTAACCTTAACCCCTAAACTTAACCATAACCCTTACCTAACCCTAACCTTAACCCTTACCTTAACCATTTTACATTTCAACTTCAACGAGGTAGGGACATTTCAAGGATCCCGGAGAGCACGGACACTAATAAGAAGCAAGCTACTATATTAGTCCCGCCCTGCACCCTTGATTGACAGAGGAGATTCTGTAGAGATGAGGTATCAGAGAGAAACTTTGAATGTTCTCCAAACACTATAAACAAAGTTACACCTGTAAATTAGGTCAATTTGTCACTGAAAATACTACTAGGAAGAATTTATTTGGTGAGTTCCATATTGCTTAGCCTAGGCAGCCGACAGTGGGCGCTAAATCTGCACTATCGACTAGGATTGCTGTGCATTCCAGTTAATACACTTGTGTTCCCCGTGGACCGGCTCGTACATGAAGCATCCCCCATTCAGCCTGCAAAGCCATCATTTTCCTCCTTAAAAAGCTTTAATGGCGAGCCGCCGAAAAAAAGGGAAAAATATGTGTAACGTCTTAATAAAACACACATTTCCACTACCATTTTCAGATTTTCCCCAGATTTAGGATGTTGCACACCGCATTCAGCCAAGACATAGGTACTTACAGACATACCATAAAGACAGATGACCAAGCAGTAAACCAAATTGTTCATCTCCTTCCCTACCTTCTTCCTTTTTGGCCTTCTCCTTCTGGGGCTCCTCCTGTTTGGGAGTTACTGGAGGAGCTGAATGCTTCAGAGCTGCGATAAAACATTCAACTTAGAATACAAAACCTAAAAACCAAACCTTTTATGACAAGACCGACCATAACAGAAAAACAGCCAACAGAAGGATGTACCACACAAACTGCCAACAATGGATGAACCACACAAGTCTCAAATAAATATATGTTTTGAAAACTGTGAACAGCAGAAGCAATGAGACAAAGCCTTCAGAACATGTGGACTGACTGCAAACAGAATACAGAGAGCAGCTTACAACACTGATCAGGACAAAACATTTTCAGGACAACAGCCAGCAACAGACGTGGCGAACACGTGTGAAGAGACAAAGATGCCCACTTAATTTCCTTTTTTAGCACAACAAACAGTGGTACAAACAAACCACAAGAAACTTCAAGTATAGCGACATATGCACTGACTGTAAAAGGCCAACGAAGAATATAAACATCATCATCGACATCATCAACAGGACCAAGAAGCAGGACAAACTGCACAGATGGCAAGTTAAAGCAGACAACCAAACTGTTCTCCATGTACGCTCCCCTTCCTACCTTGTTCTAGTTTGGTCTCCTGCTTCGGAGGCTCTTGTTAACACTAACCCTAACCCTATCCATAACTTTAGAAAGCAGCTTCTTATCAACAGATAGTTTGTTGATACTATGACCATCTGTAGAACATCTACAGATGCAAAATCCGGACCATCCAAAATAAGTTTGACCAAATATATTTAGTGACAAAGGCACATCTAAATGTATTAACTCTCTCTTACCCTTAATCTTGAGACTGGCTGTAGTCTTCTGGTCTCCACACACACATCTGTAGTCTCCACTGTCCTCTGGTACTACTTTAATGATCAGGAGTTCACTCACAGATTCTTTCTGCTTCATCTGGTACTTTTCTCCAGACTTCAGCACCTGTGTTCCCTTCCTCCATTCTACTGGGACCCCAGGTTTAGAGAGCTCACAGTGCAGGGTAACACTGCCCCCCTCCTCAGCCTCCTGGCTCTGCAGCTTGTGTTTGAAGGTCACAGGTTGGGCTGAAAAGTCATTCATGGGTAAGTTATGAATGACCACAGTTAGAAAACAGAAATGTAAGTCATCCTCACATAGTCAATGAAACACACTCAAAGCAATAAATGGAACAAAACAGTACAAAAACAATATATAAACAACAATATAACACCTTGAATCAGTGATATAAACAATGATACACAGACGTAAAACTGAAACAAAGTATCCACAGACAGACACAAAGACAAAACACAGAGAGAGACAGACATAACATGACATTTCACAAAACATGATGAAGTTAACCAACAAATGGACATCATAACTGACAATTATCGAACACAGATACATTTAAAATCAAAACTCATCTGCTTGACAATGCACTGAAATTCCATTTGAAATATTACCTACAACTGATCAGAACATCGCAAGAACACAACAATTATACAGTACTTGTAAATATTTTTAACATCGATCTTCCCCCTACCCTTAATCTTGAGACTGGCTGTAGTCTTCTGGTCTCCACACACACAGCTGTAGTCTCCACTGTCCTCTGGTACTACTTTAATGATCAGGAGTTCACTCACAGATTCTTTCTGCTTCATCTGGTACTTTTCTCCAGACTTCAGTACCTGTGTTCCCTTCCTCCATTCTACTGGGACCCCAGGTTTAGAGAGCTCACAGTGCAGGGTAACACTGCCCCCCTCCTCAGCCTCCTGGCTCTGCAGCTTGTGTTTGAAGGTCACAGGTTGGGCTGAAAAGTCATTCATGGGTAAGTTATGAATGACCACAGTTAGAAAACAGAAATGTAAGTCATCCTCACATAGTCAATGAAACACCCTCAAAGCAATAAATGGAACAAAACAGTACAAAAACAATATATAAACAACAATATAACACCTTGAATCAGTGATATAAACAATGATACACAGACGTAAAACTGAAACAAAGTATCCACAGACAGACACAAAGACAAAACACAGAGAGAGACAGACATAACATGACATTTCACAAAACATGATGAAGTTAACCAACAAATGGACATCATAACTGACAATTATCGAACACAGATACATTTAAAATCAAAACTCATCTGCTTGACAATGCACTGAAATTCCATTTGAAATATTACCTACAACTGATCAGAACATCGCAAGAACACAACAATTATACAGTACTTGTAAATATTTTTAACATCGATCTTCCCCCTACCCTTAATCTTGAGACTGGCTGTAGTCTTCTGGTCTCCACACACACAGCTGTAGTCTCCACTGTCCTCTGGTACTACTTTAATGATCAGGAGTTCACTCACAGATTCTTTCTGCTTCATCTGGTACTTTTCTCCAGACTTCAGTACCTGTGTTCCCTTCCTCCATTCTACTGGGACCCCAGGTTTAGAGAGCTCACAGTGCAGGGTAACACTGCCCCCCTCCTCAGCCTCCTGGCTCTGCAGCTTGTGTTTGAAGGTCACAGGTTGGGCTGAAAAGTCATTCATGGGTAAGTTATGAATGACCACAGTTAGAAAACAGAAATGTAAGTCATCCTCACATAGTCAATGAAACACCCTCAAAGCAATAAATGGAACAAAACAGTACAAAAACAATATATAAACAACAATATAACACCTTGAATCAGTGATATAAACAATGATACACAGACGTAAAACTGAAACAAAGTATCCACAGACAGACACAAAGACAAAACACAGAGAGAGACAGACATAACATGACATTTCACAAAACATGATGAAGTTAACCAACAAATGGACATCATAACTGACAATTATCGAACACAGATACATTTAAAATCAAAACTCATCTGCTTGACAATGCACTGAAATTCCATTTGAAATATTACCTACAACTGATCAGAACATCGCAAGAACACAACAATTATACAGTACTTGTAAATATTTTTAACATCGATCTTCCCCCTACCCTTAATCTTGAGACTGGCTGTAGTCTTCTGGTCTCCACACACACAGCTGTAGTCTCCACTGTCCTCTGGTACTACTTTAATGATCAGGAGTTCACTCACAGATTCTTTCTGCTTCATCTGGTACTTTTCTCCAGACTTCAGTACCTGTGTTCCCTTCCTCCATTCTACTGGGACCCCAGGTTTAGAGAGCTCACAGTGCAGGGTAACACTGCCCCCCTCCTCAGCCTCCTGGCTCTGCAGTTTGTATTTGAAGGTCACAGGTTGGGCTGAAAAGTCATTCATGGGTAAGTTATGAATGACCACAGTTAGAAACCAAAAATGAAAGTCATCCTCACATAGTCAATGAAACACACTCAAAGCAATAAATGGAACAAAACAGTACAAAGAAATATATAAACAACAATATAACACCTTGAATCAGTGATATAAACAATGATACACAGATGTAAAACTGAAACAAAGTATCCACAGACAGACACAAAGACAAAACACAGAGAGAGACAGACATAACATGACATTTCTCAAAACATGACGAAAGTTAACCAACAAATGGACATCATAACTGACAATTATCGAACACAGATACATTTAAAATCAAAACTCATCTGCTTGACAATGCACTGAAATTCCATTTGAAATATTACCTACAACTGATCAGAACATCGCAAGAACCCAACAATTATACAGTACTTGTAAATACGTTTAACATCGATCTAGTGTTCCCTTCCACCATTCCACAGGGACCCCAGGTTTAGAGAGCTCACAGTGCAGGGTAACACTGCCCCCCTCCTCAGCCTCCTGACTCCTCAGTTTTTGCTTGAACTTCACTGGTTAGGCTGATAATTAAAACATGACCATGTATTGTGATATACACCAGAAAAATAACAAGTTGACATGAGTACAACTTCTAAACCTATGACAATAACATGGTTGAAAGCACAGGTAATATTAACACAGAGACACAGTGACCAAAAACTAACAAAACACTGAGACAGAGACATGTAGGCAATATGTAAAGCTTCGGTAACCCTACACAATTTAATCTACACCAACGATAAAGGATATTTTCTGTTCTGCCAATATATGAACAACCTCAGGAATAATTGAGCAGTTCAAAACATTTGAAAAAACAGATCAAACAGAGTTCGATCGACAGACAGACACACACAGATGGACAAACTGAAGACATGGAGACAGACCACACGCATTGACCAAACTGAACTGAAATAGAGACTAAATACAAACACAGAGACAAACCATTCATAGGAAAAGAAAAATACATACAAAGTCTAATTTCTGAGGAAAACAATATTGATTCCTAAAATTCTAATAATATGCATGACAATAATGCTAAATTGACACAAAAAAATGTTTAGTACATTTTTGTGTATACAGTAACAACAATCTTCATCCTACCCTTAATCTTGAGACTGGCTGTAGTCTTCTGGTCTCCACACACACAGCTGTAGTCTCCACTGTCCTCTGGTACTACTTTGCTGATCAGGAGTTCACTCACAGATTCTTTCTGCTTCATCTGGTACTTTTCTCCAGACTTCAGCACCTGTGTTCCCTTCCTCCATTCTACTGGGACCCCAGGTTTAGAGAGCTCACAGTGCAGGGTAACACTGCCCCCCTCATCAGCCTCCTGGCTCTGCAGCTTGTGTTTGAAGGTCACAGGTAACGCTGAAATATCATTGATTTAAATATGCAATTATACTGTATATACAGTACAATAACTACACACATTTGTGCTACCAATACATGACGTTACACATATCAACAAGACTTCCCCAACATTCCCATTGACCAAGAATATGTACCCATACCATTGACGTTTATAGTCGCTGTGGTCTTCTGGTCTCCACACTCACAGGAGTACTCTCCACTGTCTTCAACCTTTAGATGTTTTATCTGAAGCTCACAGGAGGCATCTTTTTGCTTCATCTCATATTTGTCTCCAGCTTTGAGATTCTCAGTGCCTTTATTCCACTGGACCTTGGCTCCAGGTTTGGCTAACACACAGCACAGAGTGACACTCTCTCCTTCCTTGGCCTGCTGGTTCTTCAGCTTCTGTATAAAGCTGGCAGGCAAGGCTGGAAAAAGACGAACAGGCCCAACTTCAATAACAAGTAGGCTAAATCATGTTCTTTGCAATCTTCAGTTGAAATGGAAGGGCATAAGAATCAAAATGGTGGAGAAGAATGGGTAATGGACGATGATGGTGATCCAGATGCTTTCAATGCTGTCCTTTGGAACCTAAATATGATTCCAATGATTGGGTTGTTCAACGAAACAGATGACTTGTTAAATGAAGATAGTAATCAAACCAGTACATGGAATGAATATGGTGTTCACAGCTGAACACCACCACAAAATGAAATCCTTCCGAAGTGCACAAAGGATCAGCAGCATACAGAGAAAGACATTTGTGGAGCTTTTGGCATCACTTATGCAGCAAAACTTTGCATTGAGGCAACCATCTGTATATGAACAATATTCAGAATAGTTTCCAGATAGGGATAATGTCCCTGCAGTATTTTCCAAGACACAATAGAAGCATACTCAAAACCTTTTATGTAAAACTGAGCCGATATGGTCACACACACACGTATACACTACCGTTCAAAAGTTTGGGGTCACTTAGAAATGTCCTTGTTTTCGAAAGAAAAGCTTTTTTTTTGTCCATTAAAATAACATCAAATTGATCAGAAATACAGTGTATACATTGTTAATGTTGTAAATGGCAATTGTAACTGGAAACTACTGATTTTTAATGGAATATCTACACAGGCGTACAGAGGCCCATTATCAGCAACCATCAGTCCTTTTAAAAGGCTAATGGATCATTAGAAAACCCTTTTGCAATTATGTTAGCACAGCTGAAAACTGTTGTGCTGATTAAAGAAGCAATAAAACTGGCCTTCTTGAGACTAGTTGAGTATCTGGAGCATCAGCAATTGTGGGTTCGATTACAGGCTCAAAATGGCCAGAAACAAATAACTTTCTTCTGAAACTCATCAGTCTATTCTTGTTCTGAGAAATGAAGGCTATTCCATGCGAGAAATTGCCAACAAACTGAAGGTCTCATACAACGCTGTGTACTACTCCCTTCACAGAACAGCGCAAACTGTCTCTAACCAGAATAGGAGTGGGAAGCCCCGGTGCACAACTGAGCAAGAGGACAAATACATTTGAGTGTTTAGTTTGAGAAACAGACGCCTCACAGGTCCTCAACTGGCAGCTTCATTAAATAGTACCCGCAAAACACCAGTCTCAACGTCAACAGGGAAGAGGCGACTCCGGGATGCTGACCTTCTAGGCAGAGTTGCAAAGAAAAAGCCATTCTCAGACTGGCCAATAAAAATAAAATATTAAGATGGGCAGTCTGAGATATGGCTTTTTCTTTGCAACTCTGCCTAGAAGATCAGCATCCCGGAGTCACCTCTTCACTTATTTGTTTCTGAGCAGAGTGAGCAAATAAATTGGACAACTAAGTACGCATCCTTCAAGAATCAAATATTTCTCTCTTTACTCTTTAACCTGCGTCATGGATTCAAATACTGTACATCATGCAGTTTCCATGAGGATGGGAGACCCAAAGACAAAAAAATGATTAACAAGACCAACGCAGACCGATACAGAATGGTTGACTGAGATCTGATGGTATGAATGGTGCCACAGGCATCGAAGACACCAGCGGTGGTCACTTATGATATTGGATAAACTGTGCATTTCCCAATGCACACTGCAAAGACGAGTCTAGATGAACGTCAAAAGTCAAGCAAGTATAATTTCAATTTCAGAGAAACTGAAGAAGAGGGAAAACGCAGTGATGCACTTCCATCTCTGGTATCTACTGGGGGGGGGGGGGGGGGGGGGGGGGGGGGATTGTTATGAGGGTGCCCAGCCCCCTATAGCCTCCATATAATTCGAACCATGGACCCGGCCATGGGAGTTACCTTTGACTATTAGCGAAGCGTACACTCTCTTATCCCCAACCACCACAGAGATTGTGCCTGAATCCATTGGGGTCAGCTCCCTCATGGTGAGAGAGTGGAAACCCCCCTCAGGTACCTGGATCTCATTGAGGGGGCTGGGCTGCAGAGGGGTTTGGTCTAGGCACCACTGCACCTGATGAGGCAGGTCAGGCGGGCTGACAAGGCACCTAAACGTGGCAGAGTCCCCCTCGAAACACTCAACGTCCTGGGGTGGCTCGACTATGAGCACTGTCTGGCCTGGATGGAACACATCATAGACCGTGACGAGAAGCACAGACGAGGCACAGCACATGCTGCTCTGAGCATAATGTGTTTCTTGTCCACCAACCAGCATGGGATTAGACAGTAAGAAGGGACACGAATTATGCTCAGTCAATACTGTTGCATCGTATGAATGTTGTAATGATCGGCATGTCTGCTCAAGAAGACAAGCAGGGGAGTCAATCTTACTAGATGTCACAATGTCAGCTCTGAGACACCACAACCAAACTATGACTCATATAACCTCTAGTAATACTCAAGTTCTGATCTTTAGAAGTTGACAGAGGTGAAACACATCACTCACAAAACATTTTTGAGGAAAGAATCCAAATTCTCAACATTAATTCAAAGCTCTGTGCCATGCTATTCACAGCAGTCTGCACATCAGCAAAGCTCTTCCATTTACAGCGACTGTAATTACTATATAAAAACGTTATTAACATATTAATGTGCAAAACCATGATTTCAGTCAAAGGTAATATCAATTCACCATGAATTGTTTGGTGATCTCATAGTAATTGAAAGCACTGGTCTTACCTTTGACTGTCACCTTAGCCGTCATCTTGGCGGTGCCCACGTCACAGGTGTAAGTTCCGCTGTCTTTCTCCTCCAGCTGTTTAATGGTGAGGGTGAGAACGGTCTCCTTCTGGGTCATCTCGCAGCGTCCCCCGGCCTTGAGCTCTACGCCTCCCTTGGACCAGGTGGCCTTGGAGGCAGGCTGGGTCGTCTCACACTGCAGGGTCACTGAGCCCTTTTCTTCTGCCTCCCTGTCCTTCAGCTCCTTGGTGAACTTGTGGACTGGCTCTGAAGAAAGGGACATTCCGGTAGGAGCACAGCAGAAGGCATTGAGGTAGGAGAGGCAGTGCTTATATTTAGTGTTATTTAACATTAAAAAGCGGTCATAGTTGAAAAGTGGTCAATGATACCTGAATATCCAGTAAACAAGAACCATTAAACAACTAAAGGTGTCTGTGAAAGGAACTTGTCAGACTTACCTTTGACCTCCAGCTTGGCCTTGGTAGTGGCCCCTCCGATGACCTCACAACTATATTCGCCAGAGTCCTGGACAGTGACGCTGTGGATGGTCAACTTCATGACCCTCTCCTCTTTGCTGATCTCATACTTCTCACTCTTCTTGATCTCCTTCCCATCCTTGGCCCACTGCACAGTGGCGCTGGTCTGTGTGACCTCACAGGTGAACACAGCATCCTCCCTTGAGACAACACTGACGCTCTGCAGCTCCCGTGACACAGATTGGGTTTTGCCTGAAATAAAGGACATTTATATTTCCTTTGTTTTAATTCTGAGGATGGCTCAATTTCCTTCCAACTACAGAAACAAAAAAGCTCAGAAATTGGTTAATGTTATTAATTGGTTAATTTGGTGAATTTCTCCCAATGGTCTACATACCCAATTTAATATGATAGTTGATCGAAGTTTCAAAACAATGAATGCTAAAAGCCATGCAGATTGATGTTAGAATCTCAACTGATACAGATGTCTGACCTTCAACAGCTAGGGTAGTCTTCGAGTTCATGTTCTTGATGTTGAAAACCACCTCACCAGCATCAGCTGGTGTCACGTCCTTGATAACCAGAATGTGCTTGCGACCTGTACTGGAGACCTGGAAGCGTCCTCCATTCGCCACAGTCTGGCCATTCAAGGTCCAGGAACACTCGTCAGTGCTCTCCCGTGATAGAATACACTGAAAGCTACATGTGTCTCCCTCCATCGCCTCCACAGACTTCAACTGCTTGGTGATACCTGTGCTCAGGTCTACGTAAAGGGTGGGGAGAGGATTTTTGTTTCAAGGACATGATGACACAATTGCTGTAGAGGCTTCAGCACACTATACTAATTTGTTTGCAAGTTATGCAGTGTCATCATACACACCTCGCACAGTGACATTTGACTTGGAAAGCTCAGTTCCCAGGTCACAGCTGTAATCCCCTGCGTCTTCCTTGGTAACGGCTTTGACGATCAGACCAAGGGACTTGCCTGTGTGCAGTACCTCATACTTAGGCCCAGTGGTCAGGACCGTACCATCTTTCCTCCAGGTGGGGGAGACCCTGGGCTTGGAGGCCTCACACGTCAGGGTGATCATACCGTTCACTTCTCCCACCACATCATCCAGAGACTTGAGGAAAACTGTACGCTTCTCTGGAGGAATCCAAATGGAGAGCAAGACTTAACCCCACAACCACCAGTCAAAGATGTTTAACATATTCTTTAGTCCCACTTCTACACTACAGTATTTTGACTTGGAACCAGACCAGGTCATGAGTCCTTACCTTTGACCTTTAGGGTCACAACCTCCTTGACCTCCCTGACCTTGAAGGTGATGGTGCCCCCATCCTCAGTTGCCAGGTTCTTGAGTGTGAGCATGTGCACTTTGCCCACGTGTGTGATGGTGTTGACTTCGTTGGAGAAGAGTGCTTTGTCATTGAGCAGCCATTGCACCTCCTCATCAGCGTAGCTGATCTCACAGGTGAACACCGCATCACTGTCCTCATCCACCTCTGTGTCCACCAGGTGTGTGGTGATCTCCACTTTCCGAACTGCGATAAGCCACAGCACACATCCTCATTGTACCATGGATTTGGTTTAAATAAAGAGGATGGAATCTCATTTGAACCATCAATGCTCAGAAAAGCAATTAGCATTGAAGTCAAATCAACACTTAAAAGCAATACAAAACGTACCCTCTACAGTGAGAGTGGCTTTGGTCTCAGCAGCAGCCGACTGACAGCGGTAGTCTCCAGTGTCTTCCCCAGTCAGCTTCTGTATAGTCAGCTGAGCACGCACAGCGTCCTGTTTCAGGCTGTACTTGTCTGACGCCGCCAGGAGGGTTTGGCCTTTGAACCAGCTCACCTCTTTGGGTGCGGTGGAGAACTTGCAGCTCAGCGTGGCTGAGCCCTTCTCTTTGGCTGTCACATCTTTAATGGGCTCTACAACCTCAAGAGGGCGCTCTGTAGTCGTGAGAATAAGAAGTGCAAACAGCTCTGATTATAGGCAAGTCATGTAACATGCTCCTAACCCAGTTCTGGTTGTAATCTGGTTGTAATAACGTTATTTCAACCAGCTATACCCACTGGGAATATGGTGCTCTGTGTGTGGAGAAGCCTCTGACCTTTGACAGTGAGCTGGGCCACAGACTTGCTCTTGCCAGCCATGAACTGGATAGGTCCCGTCATGGAGGCCTTGGTCTTCTTGAAGGTGAGGCGGTGCATGGTGCCCTCCTTCTCCATCTCCACGTCATCGCTCTCCTGTACGGTCACTCTATTCAGGGTCCACTTGGGGGGCTTGACTGAGTCGATGTTGATCTCCACCTCGAAGGCGGCGGCGAAGGGCTCGGTCACTTCCACGGAACTTAGCTCCCGTACGATGCTGATGGCCTGCTCTAGAGAGATCATAGATACCGAGCGTGTAGGTCAAACCTGAGGTAGAAGCACTCTTAAATACACTCTTTAGGGATCTGTTAAGAGTGCCATTTCCATTCATTTACTCACTGACTGGCAGAACTGTGTCCTAAAAGAGATTGTAAGTGTATTTTTATAAAGCCACATCATACTTTATAAAAACACACTTTAAAGAAAATTCCTAGAAGTTTACAATAGACCATGTCCTGGTTTTCCTCCCGTTACCTTCCACAATAAGTTTACAGGATGTCTTGTTGTCGATGGCGTTACAGGTGTAATTATCCTCGTAGTCCGAGCCCACGTCATTGATGGTGAGTTTGCGGTATATACCCTCGCTGCTAATCTCGTGCTTCTTGCTGGGCTTAATCTCCTTCTTGTTCTTGTACCACTTGACCTTGGCAATGGCCCGAGACACTTGACATTTCAAGAACCCACGGTGTGTATGCATGGCTAACTTATCCCTGAGCTTCTTCACAAACTGGACAGGGAGCTGCTCTACAGTAGCTATAACAACCATATCTATACAAACAAGCCATACTTAGCAGTACCACAGTAGCATATCAAAACTCTATCATACATCAAAGCATTAAGCAGCACAAAACTAATACATTCGACAGAGAAGAGAAAGTACTTGACCGGCCATGGCAATACCAAAGACACCTATAAGCCTATGCAGAAACCACCCGTAAGCACATCTGATCAATTTACTGTACAGTTGCTTCCAACATACACTACATGACCAAAAGTATGTGGACACCTGCTCGTCAAATATCTCATTCCAAAATCATGGCCATTAACATAGAGTTGGTCCCCCCTTTGCTGCTATAACAGCCTCCACTCTTATGGGAAGGCTTTCCACTAGATGTTGGAACATTGCTGTGGGGACTTGCTTCCATTCAGCCACAAGAGCATTAGTGAGGTCGGGCACTGATGTTGGGCGATTAGGCCTGGCTCGCAGTCGGTGTTCCAATTCATCCCAAAGATGTTTGATGGGGTTGAGAATAGGGCTCTGTGCAGGCCAGTCAAGTTCTTCCATTCCGATCTCGACAAACCATTTCTGTATGGACCTCACTTTGTGCACGGGGGCATTGTTATGCTGAAACAGGAAAGGGCCTTCCCCAAACTGTTGCCACAAAATTGGAAGCACAGAATTGTCTAGAATGTCATTGTATGCTGTAGCGTTAAGATTTAGTGTTCACCGGAACTAAGGGGCCATGAAAAACAGCCCCAGACCATTGTTCCTCCTCCACTAAACTTAACAGTTGGCACTATGAATTGGGGCAGGTCTCCTTTGCCAGATGGTGAAGCGTGATTCATCAATCCAGAGAACGCGTTTCCACTTCTCCAGAGTCCAATGGCGGTGAGCTTTACACCACTTCAGCCGACGCTTGGCGTTGCGCATGGTGATCTTAGGCTTGTGTGCGGCTGCTCGGCCATGGAAACCCATTTCATGAAGCTCCCGACAAACAGTTATTGTGCTGACGTTGCTTCCAGAGGCAGTTTGGAACTCGATAGTGATTGTTGCAACCGAGGACAGACAAATTTTACATGCAATGCGCTTCAGCACTCGGCGGTCCCGTTCTGTGAGCTTGTGTGGCCTACCACTTCGCGGCTGAGCCGTTGATGCTCCTAGACCAGGGTTCTTCAATTCCGGTCCTGGAGGGCCGAAACACCTCTGTTTTTCATCCTCTCCTTCTAATCAGGGGCTAATTCAGACCTGGGACACCAGGTGAGTGCAATTAACTACCAGGTAGAAATAAAAAACAGTGTTTCGGCCCTCCAGGACCGGAATTGAAGAACCCTGTCCTAGACGTTTCCACTTCACAATAACAGCACTTACAGTTGAGTGGGGCAGCTCTAGCAGGGCAGAAATTCACGAACTGACTTGTTGGAAAGGTGGCATCCTATGACGGTTCCACGTTGAAAGTCACTGAGCTCTTCAGTAAGGCTTGGTTTTAAATATACTTAAGTATCAAAAGTAAATGTAATTTCTAAAATATACTTAAGTATCAAAAGTAAAAGTATAAATAATTTCAAATTCCTTATATTAAGCAAACCAGACGGCACAATTTAATTTTTTATTTTTATTTAAGGACCTCAAAGTGGACCTAAGTCTAATTTAGTGGGTCATTTACTTTCTCCTCAGTAGGGGTCAGTAAGCCAAAGAAAACAACTCCACATCTCCTTGTGCAATTCACATCCACAGGCTCCCCCAAGGAACAGTGATTTCTCCTGTGCTGTCCTCCATCTACTCCAACATCCTGAGGGCCTCGGATAGCCACCACATTACCATTTCAATCCTGGCCTGGTACAGAGGGATCTCCATAAGCAACATGAGAGCAAGCTCCCGAGGGTGGTCAGGTCACCCTAGGATCTGGGTCCTGTGGTTCAGGTTTCCAGAGGATGTAAAAACCGTACATCAAAAAAACACCATACTATGGATTTCCAGGGAAACAATGCACAACCTCTACAAATTCTCAGGGGTCATCTTGCCCTCTGGCCAGGGATACAAAACCCCAACATTTCAGAATAAAAGAGGCAATTCCCACAAACATCTGGCTGCTGAACCAAAATAAACCTCACGAAAATAACTGAGGAAACAGAGGACAGACTAACTAGCTGACCGATTGACTAACTGGATCAGTTGACATCGTCTTTTTAAGATTTTAGTTATGGTTAGAGCACTGCATTCACCAATGGCCTGTTTAATAAGTGTTAGTGAATTCTGTGAATTTGTTATGTATATTGTGATGAGCTGACCTGAACATGATTAATTTACAAAGACATTCTATCATATGGCTTATTGTGCCGTAAATACCATTCTATGGGTAATGCATGCTGGAAATTGACTTTGTTTCATTACCTTTCACTGTCAGTTTGGCCGTTGAAGAGGCCTTCTCAGCTGTGAATTTAATCTCTGCCACGTCTTCTGGTGTCACCGACTTAAACAGCAGCACATAGATTTTACCTTCAATTGAAAGAGGGCAACTTCTAAGAACAGTACAGAATGTTAAAACACTGAAATAGTAAATTAGCCCTAATTGATCAATGATGGCTAATAATTCAAACGCTGATTCATGAGTGTCTATTACTAAAATGTATTAGTGTCTATTACTAAAATTGACATCTAAACATATACTTGGAAAGAATGGCAAATGTGTGTATCCTCCTCACCCTCTTGTCTCATCTTGATGTTGTCACTGACTTTGAGTTTGGTGTCGCCTTTGAACCACTGGCAGTCCACTTCATCGTGAGAGATCTCACAGATGAATGATGCACTCTCCTTCACCATCACCTCCACATCCTCCAGCTTCTTCACTATCTTAATGTCTCGGGCTATGGGGGAGAAGCACAAGAGACCATAAAAAGAGACATTAGAGAGCCTTCAACACATCTAATACTGAATGGAATAAGGATGTTATTTTACATTGATTCATAGCTATATATCTGGTAAGAAGGAGGTCTATTATTTAAAAGTGAGACATGCACCATCTTTACCTACCTGTAAGTACAACTATCATTGACAAGCCTATACAATCATCATTGGATTGTATTATATGATCATTATCATTGGATTGCATAATATACCGTGTATCATGTTGTATCATTTGAATAACGTGGGGACTCATACCATGTACAGTGAGTTTGGCTGATGTATTGTCGTCAGACGTTCGACAGACGTATGTGCCCTCATCCTCTTTGGAACATTTATGGATGAGGAGGCTGCGCGTGCGACCCTGGGAGTGGATGCCAAAGTTCTTTCCTGGTTTTAGTTCCGTGTCACCCTAGAGAACAGTGATCTTTTAGTACAAATTATTACTTCACTTTGTATATACAATTATGCAAAGCAAATTGATGACATTGAACACTTTCTCGTTTTGTATGACTGGATGTTCGACTTCTATGATTTACCACTGGAATATGTTTTCTCACCTTGAACCACTTGACCTCAGCATTGGTTCTGGACACCTCACACTCAAGTGTTGCCTTCTCCTTCTCTGGAGCTTTGACATCCTCCATTGGCTTAGAGATCATAGCAGCAGGTTCTGTAGGAGCCACAATGCAAAAAGGTACAGCATTTAAATAACAGATGCCACTTCAAATAACACTCAACTTGATGAATAGCTTTATGTTGGACAAATATTTAGATAACCTACCTGTAACAATGAGCTTGCCAGAAGACTTGACCCCTTCCGCTTGGAAGACAATGGTTCCTGCGTCCTCCATCTTGAGTTGGGACAGTGTAAGGGCATGCTTCTTTCCAAGGGTCGTGATGCGACAGTTGGACCCTGCCTTGAGCTTGGCCCCGTTCCTGGTCCAGGAACCCTCCACGTCAGCTTGACTTAGCTCCACCTCCAGGGTCAGTGTCTCCTTCTCATTGGCCTTGACCTCCGCCAGCAGGCCCTTCACCACCTCAATCTTCTGCACTGTGAAATACAGACAGAGGGAATGTTTAGGTGTGTTGGAATATGCTAAATGTATAGGTTATACAAAATCATCACTAAGTGTCCTGTGCATCTCTTCTTGGCACTGAAACTGTAGATATAAATAGTCTGAGTATCTGTGTGGAGATCAAATGTACAAACTGCATGTCAGATTAGAAAATACTGTCTGTGCTTAACTAAGATCACTAGGGGCTATTTATACATAATCATAAAACTACAGCAGCTGTAAATGGGACACCCCTCTTACTTGTGCGGCAGGTAGTCTAGAGGTTAAGAGCGTTGGGCCAGTAACCGAAAGGTTGCTGGTTCAAATCCCTGAGGTGAAAAATCTGTCGATGTGCCCTTGAGCAAGGCATTTAACCCTAATTGCTCCTGTAAATCACTCTGGATAAGAATGTCTGCTAAATGACTAAAATGTACTTACCATCCACTGTGAGTTTGGCCTGGGTCTTGTCATCCAGAGTTTCACAGGAGTAGTAGCCGCGGTCAGCTGTAGTCACACTCTTGAAGACCAGGGTCTGCTTGGCCCCGTCCACCCTGATGTCCATGTTGCCTCCGGGCTGCAGCACCACGCTGTTCTTCATCCACCTGACCTCTTTAGAGGGCTTATTCAGCTCCACCTCCAACTTCACCTCCTTCTGATCCTCTACCGTCGTCACATTCTGCAACTTCTTCTTGAACATCACCGGCTCCACTGTCAGGGTACAAAGAAAACACAGATATTACATCTCCTTCGTGATAACTGTAGCCCTTCTAAGCTTAAAGGCTTATACATTTTTGTAAACAATGGCTATAATTGTGTATCAGTCAATCAAAATAATCAGATGATAATACAGAACAGAAGTATATCCACTGGAAATTAGCTCAGCTATTATATCATACAGTAAATGTTGAAGCGAATAGAGGTTGGTTCTTACGTTGCACTTGGAGGGTAGCGCTGCAGGTTTTGCCCTCAGCTTCCATGCTGATCTCCCCAGCATCCTCCTGACTGACTGACGTGATGGTGAGGGAGTGGCTGGTGCCCCCGTGCTCAATCTTATACTTTGGCCTAGCAGTGATTGGCACATTGTTGCGGAACCATTTTACTTTGACGTCGGCTGGGGTGACACTACACTTGAAGATGGCATCGTTCCCCTCCACTGCAGCGATGCTGCTCAGCTTGGAAGTCAGCTTCACCATTCTGGGTGCTGAAAAGTACAGAATGGAATAGATTATTTGGAGACACGAAATTACACTCAGGCACACAGAAAAGGAGTTAATATTGAAACACAACAGTTAATTTCTAGTGTGTTTGACTATATGTCTGTAACTATGTTGTATATGTCTAACTATATTGTATATGTCTGTAACTATATTGTATATGTCTGTAACTATATCGTATATGTCTGTAACTATGTTGTATATGTCTGTAACTATATTGTATATGTCTGTAACTATGTTGTATATGTATGTTACTATGTTGTATATGTATGTAACTATGTTGTATATGTCTGTAACTATGTTGTATATGTCTGTAACTATAATGTATATGTCTAACTATATTGTATATGTCTGTAACAATGTTGTATATGTCTGTAACTATATTGTATATGTCTGTAACTATATTTTATATGTCTGTAACTATATTGTATATGTCTGTAACTATGTTGTATATGTCTGTAACTATGTTGTATATGTCTGTAACTATGTTGTATATGTCTGTAACTATGTTGTATATGTCTGTAACTATGTTGTATATGTCTGTAACTATAATGTATATGTCTAACTATATTGTATATGTCTGTAACAATGTTGTATATGTCTGTAACTATGTTGTATATGTCTGTAACTATGTTGTATATGTCTGTAACTATGTTGTATATGTCTGTAACTATGTTGTATATGTCTGTAACAATGTTGTATATGTCTGTAACTATGTTGTATATGTCTGTAACTATGTTGTATATGTCTAACTATATTGTATATGTCTGTAACAATGTTGTATATGTCTGTAACTATGTTGTATATGTATGTAACTATGTTGTATATGTCTGTAACTATGTTGTATATGTCTGTAACTATGTTGTATATGTCTGTAACTATATTGTATATGTCTGTAACTATGTTGTATATGTATGTAACTATGTTGTATATGTCTGTAACTATGTTGTATATGTCTGTAACTATGTTGTATATGTATGTAACTATGTTGTATAAGTCTGTAACTATGTTGTATATGTATGTAACTATGTTGTATATGTCTGTAACTATGTTGTATATGTCTAACTATATTGTATATGTCTGTAACTATGTTGTATAAGTCTGTAACTATGTTGTATATGTATGTAACTATATTGTATATGTCTGTAACTATGTTGTATATGTATGTAACTATCTTGTATATGTCTGTAACTATGTTGTATATGTCTGTAACTATGTTGTATAGGTCTGTAACTATATGCTGTAGTAGTGAGTGACCATGCGTTAAATCTAATGAAAGCAAAGCCTCAGGTACTTTTGGTGGAGACATTGGCAGAGGTCTTATCATCTTTGCATTCACAGCTGTACTCTCCCTCATCCTCTTTGGTCATTCCTGTTACAGAAAGGACCCGCTTGGCACCGTCAGCGCTGACACAGAACCTGCCACCGGGTTTGACCTCACGACTGTTGTGGCGCCAGAGTACGTCCCCTGAGGCTCGGTTCAGTTCACAGGTCAGGGTCAGGGTAACACCCAGCTCTGTGGCTACAGGCTGCAACTGCACCACAAACTTCAGTGGTGTATCTGAGAGGAAACATGGACAGAATTGTATTAACTAAATTTGATATGCATACTCTTACATCAGTATTGACTGTATCTGTCAATCAATTGTTCTGATGAATGAATAGCTAACTAACCTTTGACTTGAACTTTGAACTCAAGCTTGTCATCATCAGTGTGGCAAGAGTAGGTGCCATTGTCTTTGACTTCAGTGGACTTCACAATCAGGGTACGAGAATGTCCCTCTCTCTTCATCTCATACTTAGAGCCCTCCTTCAACTCTACTCCATCTCTGAACCACTTAACACTGGCACTATCCGAAGTCAGCTCAGTGGTCAAAACAATCTTCTCACTTGCTTGAACATTGCATATATCCTTCACGGCAGTCTTTTTAAACTTGGCAGAGGATTCTAGAGACAAAAAAAAGACTTGTTAGCATAGTGGTGATAGTGCTGGGTACAACACATATGGTTGAAAGAGTCAATGACATCATACCTGTCACCTGTATCTTATAGACCAGCTTCTCTGCTCCAACCTCACAGGTGTACTCTCCAGCATCCTTCTTCTCCACCTTCTCTATCACCAGCTGACGAGTCTTGCCCTTTGTCTCCATGGAGACTGTCTTACTGAAAGTCAGCAGCTTGCCATCCTTGTACCATTTCACCTCCGTCTTGGTATCTGACACCTCACAGCTCAGAGTGGCTTTCTGGGAGAGAGTAGCTCTCACCTCCTTCTGTACAGACTCCTTGTTGGTGAAAGCTGCTTGAGTTTCTGAGGGAACAATCATGGAGGTGCATGGGAGTACCAGAAACATTACATTCAAGGTCAAACAATCCCAACAACCAATCTAGATACCATATCTTACACACAACAGACATAAGAGACAGAAAGTGATAGAATTGCTAGATAAATCAACCATCTGCATAAAGTAGTAAAACTCAGACTCAGACAATGCAACAAACAGGGAAATTGACAATTCAGACATTTGCAAAACAATCAAAAAGGACAACATTATAACATCTCTTTCCTTTAGGGAAAACGTTTGTAGACAATGTAGAGAACATATATATTGAAAACTATTCAGCCTCCAAAGCCTTCTGAGGAACAATAATAGACAGCCAGCTCCAGCCTCACAGGTGTACTCTCCAGCATCCTTTTTCTCCACATTTTCTATCACAAGCTGACAAGCTTTGCCCTTTGACAACATGTCACTTTAATAACTCTACCTACATGTACATATTACCTCAATTACCTCGATTAACCAGTGCCCCCGCACATTGACTCGGTACCGGTACCCCCTGTATATAGCCTCGCTATTGTTATTTTTAATGCTGCTCTTTAATTATTTGCTACTTTTATTTCGTATTATTTTATATTGTCTTCTTTTGTGATTTTTTTTGGTATTCTTTCTTAAAACTGCATTGTTGGTTAAGGGCTTGTAAGTAAGCATTTCACTGTAAGGTCTACACCTGTTGTATTCGGCACATGTGACAAATACAATTTGATTTGATTTGACATGTGGACTGTCTTAGTGGAAGTCAGCAGCTTGCCATCCTTGTACCATTTCACCTCAGTTTTGGTATCTGACACCTCACAGCTCAGAGTAGCTTTCTGGGAGAGAGTAGCTTTCACCTCCTTCTGTACAGACTCCTTATTGGAGAAAGCTGCCTGAGTTTCTGAATGGGGTCATTGAAGGGCACATTGGAATCAGAAAGCTTTCATTCAGGGTCAAACACAAAAAACAGGAAACATCCAAACCCATCAAACATGGGAGGCACTGGATAATAGAGCAGCCTCAGTAAATCAACCATCAGCCACTCTAATGTTATATGGAGACAGACAAATGGAGCAACAGAGGAACAGACCGTTCTGATATCCCCATAAACCATAAAAGCTAAACAGATTATTCAGACCGAGTGAACTATCAGAAATTTTAAGGCAACAGGAGACAGGCAATGCACAATGCAACTAACAAGGAAACAGACAATTTAGATATCCACATAAGCAACAAAGGAAAATGGATAAACCTTTCAAAGGACATTGGAGTGATGAGTCAAAACAACCATTAAAACAACTTCAAACTACCATATTGCCAACAAGATCCCAAACTTGCTATGGTCTCACCTAAAAAACTTTGGGATGAAATAAACAAACATAAGTTCCAGAGATAAAAATATCAACTAAATGTATTTAACTGTAGTCCTACATTTTCTAAACCATCTCCTCGGACTGATACCAACCTATCTAACAGTTACCCTTAAGAACCATTCTTTACATCAGAGGTTGAAAGCTGATGACAGAAATAACTGTGAGCTGATATATCCTCCATACCTGTCACCTGTATCTTATAGACCAGCTTCTCTGCTCCAACCTCACAGGTGTACTCTCCAGCATCCTTCTTCTCCACCTTCTCTATCACCAGCTGACGAGTCTTGCCCTTTGTCTCCATGGAGACTGTCTTACTGGAAGTCAGCAGCTTGCCATCCTTGTACCATTTCACCTCCGTCTTGGTATCTGACACCTCACAGCTCAGAGTGGCTTTCTGGGAAAGAGTAGCTCTCACCTCCTTCTGTACAGACTCCTTGTTGGTGAAGGCAGCCTGGACCTCTGAATGGGGATCATTGAAGGGTATGGTAAAACCAGAAACCCTTCATTCAGGGTCAAACAATTCCAACACCAAATCAAAAACCATTTACGTATCTTGCACATGACAAAGGGGACAGCAAGCGATATTGTCAGAATACGTTTTTAAAATCTGCATTTCTAAAGGATTATGGACAGACAGGAAACATACAATTCAGACTTCCACACTATCAAACAATCATAACAGACAACAATATTGTCACACCCTGGCTCTGGGGACTCTATATGTTGAGCCAGGGTGTGTATATTCTATGTAGTGTATTTCTGTGTTGGCCAGAGTGGTTCCCAATCAGAGGCAACGAGTGTCAGCTGTTGCTGGTTGTCTCTGATTGGGAGCCATATTTATAGAGGCTGTTTTCCCACAATAGTTGTGGGATCTTGTTTCCAGTTGGTTTGTTCCTAGTTAGGTTTGTCCTTTGGATGTCACGTATCGTTTGTTGTTTTGTTTCACTGTTCGTGTTAGTTCGATTAATAAAGTATGTTTGCTTTCAACGCTGCGCATTGGTCTACTCCGTCTAACGATCGTGACAGAAGATCCCACCATACCAGGACCAAGCAGCGTGTCCAGGAGCAGGCGGCCTGGACATGGGAGGAAGCGCCGGGAAAGGAGCTGGAAAGGTTGGCGATGGCCCAGGTGGGCAAATCGTGGTCCTGGGAGGACATGCTCGGGGGCAAGGGGCCATGGGCTAAGATTAAGGCCCTGGCGAGAGAGGAGCAACGGCGTCAACAGTGTCGTCGTCGGACGGACGAGAGGCAACCCCAGAAAATGTTTAGGGGGGGGCACACGGCATGGGCGACTGGGCAGCAGGAGGCTGGCACAGGGCGAAATGGGAGACGAGGAGAGAAGGCCACCGGGTTACGGGAGCCATTGGTGAGAGGAGGGAAGGAAGTTGTAGAGGCACAGCGAGAGGTACTGAGGTGTATTGCCAGTCCGGTCCGGCCCGTTCCTGATCCCCGTTTAAGGCCAGTGGTGTGTGTTCCCAGTACGGTCCGGCCTGTTCCTGTTCCTCGCACCAAGCCTACGGTGTGCGTCGCCAGCCCGGCCCGGCCTGTTCCTGCCCCTCGCACCAAGCCTACAGTGCGAGTCGTCAGCCCGGCCCGGCCGGTTCCTGCTCCTCGCACCAAGCCTACGGTGTGCGTCGCCAGCCCGGCCCGGCCTGTTCCTGCTCCTCGCACCAAGCCTACGGTGCGCGTCACCAGCCCGGCCCGGCCTGTTCCTGCTCCTCGCACCAAGCCTACGGTACGCGTCGCCAGCCCGGCCCGGCCTGTTCCTGCTCCACGCACCAAGCCTACGGTGCGCGTCGCCAGCCCGGCCCGGCCTGTTCCTGCTCCTCGCACCAAGCCTACGGTGCGCGTCGCCAGCCCGGCCCGGCCTGTTCCTGCTCCTCGCACCAAGCCTACGGTGTGCGTCGCCAGCCCGGCCCGGCCTGTTCCTGCTCCACGCACCAAGCCTACGGTGCGCGTCGCCAGCCCGGCCCGGCCTGTTCCTCGCACCAAGCCTACGGTGCGCGTCGCCAGCCCGGCCCGGCCTGTTCCTGCCACTCGCACCAAGCCAGGGGTGCGAGTCGTCAGCCCGGTAAGGCCCGTTCCTGCTCCACGCACCAAGCCAGGGATGCGAGTCGTCAGCCCGGTCCGGCCCGTTCCTGCTCCACGCACCAAGCCAGGGGTGCGCATCGTCAGCCCGGTCCGGCCCGTTCCTGTTCCACGCACCAAGCCAGGGGTGCGCATCGTCAGCCCGGTCCGGCCCGTTCCTGCTCCACGCACCAAGCCAGGGGTGCGCATCGTCAGCCCGGTACGGCCCGTTCCGGCTCCACGCACCAAGCCAGGGGTGCGCATCGTCAGCCCGGTCCGGCCCGTCCCTGCTCCACGCACCAGGCCAGGGGTGTGCGTCGTCAGTCCGGCACAACCCGTGCCTGGGTCACCGGTGCCTGGTCAGGTACCGGTCAGCTGCTCCACACCGGAGCTGAAGCAATCCGCTTCTACGATGTCCAGTCCAGCTCCGGTCAGCGGGGCCAAACCGGACCAGGGGCGCCACGGGGGGATGGTTGAAGGGTGGTGGTCTAGCCCGGAGCCGGAACCGCCTCCGAGGAGGAATGCCCACCCAGCCCTCCCCTGGGTTGTTGATGTTTAGGCGCGGTCGCAGTCCGCGCCTTTAGGGGGGGGTACTGTCACACCCTGGCTCTGGGGACTCTATATGTTGAGCCAGGGTGTGTATATTCTATGTAGTGTATTTCTGTGTTGGCCAGAGTGGTTCCCAATCAGAGGCAACGAGTGTCAGCTGTTGCTGGTTGTCTCTGATTGGGAGCCATATTTATAGAGGCTGTTTTCCCACAATAGTTGTGGGATCTTGTTTCCAGTTGGTTTGTTCCTAGTTAGGTTTGTCCTTTGGATGTCACGTATCGTTTGTTGTTTTGTTTCACTGTTCGTGTTAGTTCGATTAATAAAGTATGTTTGCTTTCAACGCTGCGCATTGGTCTACTCCGTCTAACGATCGTGACAAATGTAGCATATCTTTCCTTAGGAGAAAAAATGTGTAGACAACAATGAACACAGATACAGTACATTGACAACCATTCAGCCGCCAAAACCTTGAGAGAAACACCAATAGACAGCCAGCTTTCAAATCGTCCCATACCTGTCACCTGTATCTTATAGACCAGCTTCTCTGCTCCAACCTCACAGGTGTACTCTCCAGCATCCTTCTTCTCCACCTTCTCTATCACCAGCTGACGAGTCTTGCCCTTTGTCTCCATGGAGACTGTCTTACTGGAAGTCAGCAGCTTGCCATCCTTGTACCATTTCACCTCCGTCTTGGTATCTGACACCTCACAGCTCAGAGTGGCTTTCTGGGAGAGAGTAGCTCTCACCTCCTTCTGTACAGACTCCTTATTTAAGAAAGCAGCCTTCATTTCTGAAGGAGGAACCGTTGAAGGATATGATGGAAATTAGAACCCTCAATATCACATAAAAACAGGAACCATACTGTATCTCTAGACTGGACAAATACGGGAGGTATTGCACATAGAGCAGCCAAGCAAAGTCAACCATCTGAAATTCCAATGTGGCATAGAGACGGACACACTCCAGAACAACAAATAGGGAAACAGAGCACTGAGATATCCCCATGAGCAACATCATTCAAACGAGACAAAATATTCAAAGGACATTGCTGTGCGCAATCAAAACAACCAAGTAAACCTATATGTTTGTAAGATAGAACTCACAAATGCTAAGGTCCCAATTACACTTAGAAATTAACTAAATAGCTGTAAATTAAAAAACAGAACTAAAAATGTAACTGTGTATGTCCCATACCATCTCCTCAGACATAGGTAAATCTCTTACATTTATCTTTAAATAAGGAGAATAAAAGTTGAATTTATAGGACAGACAAATGGCCAACCATTCAAGCAACCAAAGCCTAAATCGCACCACATAGGGCATGTAACTAAAAAATAACTCCTCCATACCTGTCACCTGTATCTTATAGACCAGCTTCTCTGCTCCAACCTCACAGATGTACTCTCCAGCATCCTTCTTCTCCACCTTCTCTATCACCAGCTGACGAGTCTTGCCCTTTGTCTCCATGGAGACTGTCTTACTGGAAGTCAGCAGCTTGCCATCCTTGTACCATTTCACCTCCGTCTTGGTATCTGACACCTCACAGCTCAGAGTGGCTTTCTGGGAGAGAGTAGCTTTCACCTCTCTCTGTACAGAGTCCTTGTTGGTGAAGGCAGCCTGTTGTGCTTCTGATGGGACAGTCATGGATGGGCACAATGGCAGAAATATTTCATTTAGGGTCAAACAGTATCAGCACCAAACACAGGACACATCACTTACTGTCCTGTACAGACATGGAGACAATTATCTACAGAACTACACCGAGAGTCAACTATCAGCAATTCTAACATGGTACGGAGACAAACAAACTACGCAACAAACACGGAAACAGACTATTCAGACGTAATATAAGCTAGAGCAGCAACACAGATAGTAGGAGACGTCAGCTTGGGAAGACAACTCAACAAATGAAACCACCTTTGTCATAGACAAGTTTTATCAGATAAATATTTGTAGGACAGGCATCTGGACAACCATCCGTCCCACTGTATGCCCTAGAACAGACGATAGACAGTAAATCCAATATATCCTCCATACCTGTCACTTGTATCTTATAGACCAGCTTCTCTGCTCCAACCTCACAGGTGTACTCTCCAGCATCCTTCTTCTCCACCTTCTCTATCACCAGCTGACGAGTCTTGCCCTTTGTCTCCATGGAGACTGTCTTACTGGAAGTCAGCAGCTTGCCATCCTTGTACCATTTCACCTCCGTCTTGGTATCTGACACCTCACAGCTCAGAGTGGCTTTCTGGGAGAGAGTAGCTTTCACCTCTCTCTGTACAGAGTCCTTATTGGAGAAGGCAGCCTGGGCTTCTGTAAATCAACCATTAGCAATTCAAATATAGAATGGGAATAGACAAATAGCCGCAACAGGGACAGAGACCAGTAAGACGTCCCCATAAGCCACAAGGCAAAACAACCAGAGCCAAATCAAGCAAGGGAACAACCTTGAAGCCCCAAACATAGCCCTTTGTCTGATGGAGTCAACTAATCCTAAAATCTCAACTTTAACACTATGACAACAACAAACTAGGCATTGGTTTCTGACTGAGACAAAAGTTAAATGTAATTCAACAGTACACTTGCCAAAGCATCCCAGGGGTGAGCTAAATATATCATAGTTATCTTTTCCTAAGATAAACATGTCCAATGTGCATTACAGAAAGCCAGTATGAGGGTTTGCGATCAGGCTACAATGGAAGGCAGCCGGTGCGTAGGATAAAAAAATATATGTAGAGTTCAAAAAGTACTTGCACTCAAAACCATGAAAAGGAATAACCCAAGGAAGCCGAGGTGCAAAAATAATGTACTTAATTTAATCCATGCTCAAAGGAATACAAAAAGTGCAAGGTTAATAAAACAAAAACGGGCATACGTTTCGGCCTTATGTCTTCATCAGTGCTGTTCAAACAAATTAGGAAGATGTACTTAAGATGACACACCTGCTGTGCGTAACAGGCGCAACAGGTGCAAGCAGATAGTTGATTAGATACTGGCAAATAGGGAGTCAATACATATTAGCAAGGATTATGTAGAAGAATATTTAAAAAATGGACAATTGAAATGTCACATATAACTGAAAAAAGACAACGAGCTAGGCTACATAACAATATCAGAAGCAATATATATCAAATACTTCAGTAGGCTAAAGAGCTCAGAGTGCGGGTGGGAGGTGGGAGGTGGGAGGTGGGAGGTGGGGGACGACTGCTGGTGGCTGTAGACAACATTACAAGTAACATGCAGGGTCCAATTCCTCATTAATGTGCAGAGCAGACAGACAACCATTCCAGCAATCGGGCAGAAAACAGACAAGACAGCAAGTCGATATCCTCCTTACCTGTCACCTGTATCTTATAGACCAGCTTCTCTGCTCCAACCTCACAGGTGTACTCTCCAGCATCCTTCTTCTCCACCTTCTCTATCACCAGCTGACGAGTCTTGCCCTTTGTCTCCATGGAGACTGTCTTACTGGAAGTCAGCAGCTTGCCATCCTTGTACCATTTCACCTCCGTCTTGGTATCTGACACCTCACAGCTCAGAGTGGCTTTCTGGGAGAGAGTAGCTTTCACCTCTCTCTGTACAGAGTCCTTGTTGGTGAAGGCAGCCTTTTGGGCTTCTGAAGGAACAATCATGGAGGGGCATAGTAGGGGGTCAAATACTAAAAACAGGAATCATTTTTCGACACTGGACAGACATGAATAGCACTGACCTATAGAACAGCCATAGTCAACCACCTACAGCACAAATATCGCAGAGACAGACACAGAGTACCATTGAGGTGTCCTCAGAAGCCATGAAAGCAACATCATACAATGAAACAACCATGAAGCCCATATCTACAAACAATCTTTTATCTGATAACCCCACAATTTTTTAAGTCCCAATTATAACACATTGAAACTAACAAAACAACCATACATTTCTAAGATAATGAGCAGAGCTGAAGAAATTCAAATGTTGTACATTTTTCAAACCATCTCCAAGGACTAAGGGGGAAAACATTTCAAATTTGCAAGACTGGCACATGGACAACCACTCCAGCAACCTTGGTCAAAAATAGACAATAGACAGTAAATCAATATTTGGCTTACCTGACACATGTATTTTAAAGACCAGCTTCTCTGTTCCAGCTTCACAGGTGTACTCTCCAGCATCCTTCTTCTCCATTTTGTCTACTACCAACAGACGACTCTTGCCCTTTGTCTCCATGGAGACTGTTTTACTTGCAATGATCTGTTTGCCATCCTTGTACCATTTCACCTCCGTCTTGGTATCTGACACCTCACAGCTCAGAGTAGCTTTCTGGGAGAGAGTAGCTTCCACCTCTCTCTGTACAGACTCCTTATTGGTGAAGGCAGCCTGTTGGACTTCTGAGGGAACAATCATGGAATGGCACAGTAAAATAAGAAACCTTTCTTTTAGGGTTGAACACTAAAAACAGGAACAATATTTGTATAGGCAGTCTGAGATTCTGAGGGGACAATACCTTTTGTAGCTTAAATTATTTTAGATTTTTTATGTGCCTAGGTTATTATACAAGCTGAATACAGTGATATTGTTTGTCCAGTGTGCTCTACAGACATTCCTTCTCTCTCTTACCTTTTATCTTGACCTGGAATGTGACTTTGTCCTCCGCTGTCTCGCAGGAGTAGTGTCCCTCGTCACTCTTCTTGGCGTTCTTGATGACCAGTCTCCTCTGTGTCCCTTTGGAGACAATGGTGGTTCTTTGGTCCTCAATGACCACTGTCTGATCCTTCCTCCACACCACCACCCCGCTGGCAGACGACACCTCACAGTTCAACTCAAGGTGCCCACTGAGGGCAGGTGCCACCCCCATGGGACCCCTGGGCTTGTTCAGGAATTTGGCTTCATCTGGAAGAGAAACAAGGATGGATTTGTCATCAAGAACAAAAACCTGATTTGTCCGATATTTTTTAATTCATAGAGTTGTGGTAGAAATCCATTAATACCTTAAGGCTATAATGAAATGTTAACAAAGGCCCATATGGAATTGAATATGACAAAAAAATATGCAATAACAGAATTATCTGTGATGATTAATTCGCTTTACAAATATTTCATTATGCTATTATAACCAAACAGCTAGATTTCATGCACAATCATATGATATGTGGGTGTCTGCCTGTGCGTGGTTGGAGGATGGGGGATGCATTGGACTTTATTACATGATGACAGAGAGCTCTTTCCCATGCTAGACGGCTCACTACCACCTGATGTTAGCTGTCACAGCCCAGCCTGTCCCTGTGTGTCACGTGGTGTGAGAGGGCCTTTCTGTAGGCAATGTAGGTTAGAGGTTGCACTTCATACGCCATGTCAGTTTAAGATCCAGGGTAAGAATAACCCACTGGATTTCGAGTGTAAAAACACCTGTCATATGTAAAAAAAAATATAATAATCAAAACGGGTTTTCAGTGAAGCTGTACAAAATGGAGCTATTTCTGCTATTGTAATACAATTATATGGGAATCTGACAAACCAGGTTTCCACTTTCCACCAGGTGTCAACAAGTTATTAATATGTTGTAGACATTGGAGTGGTTTCTTCTTTCTAGCATGATAGATTACTACAGGAGTTGAGGTTAACCTTTATTCTTTATCTTTTGGTTGTCCTGTTGTACCTTTTAGAGAAAGCTGCAGGGACATTGTGTCTTCGTTTAGGACACACTCATAGATGCCCATGTCCTCTTCAGTGACATTGTGTACCATCAGGATCCTCTTGTGGTCAGTGGTTATACACTCATACTTCTTGCCCATCTTCAGCTCCCGTCCATTCTTCATCCAGACCACCTACAGAGTTAGGGGACACATTAAAATGCACAATCCGCATAAGAGACAGCATTACACAGTGATTTACACAGTGAATTGAATCTGAACAATTCAAAAGAAAAGGGCTTAAGTCTTTTTGTATTTATTACACTAACCCTTTTAAGTTTCCTAACCCTAACAGACCAATAAAGTATTACTTTGTTCGTTAATGAATTCAGTCATCTGGACTTTATAATATATGCCATTATATAATATATGCCATTTAGCATACACTTTTATCCAAAGCGACTTACAGTCGTGCATACATTTTACGCATGGGTGGTCCAGGGAATCAAACCCACCACCCTGGTGTTACATGCGCCATGCTCTACCAACTGAGCTACAAAGGACCACTACACACCTGGGCATCGTAATCGGACACCTCTGTAGTCAGCTGGGCGGAGGACTGGGCGCTGCAGGTCACCACCTCAGTGTGAGCTGACTTACTGGTGAACCGGATAGGTGGAGCTGGAAATAAAGGTTTCACATAAGCTACCAGGGCCATGCTTGTTACAGAGGATTGAATTGTAGTTGTTGTATGGGGAAATTCCAATGGAAAGATGGTGACTGTCTACCAACAGAACAGCTAACAGATGAGGTTCCTAACTGCTTGTACAGCATGAATACAAAATGACTTTTGTCCACACTATGATATTGGAATAATACTGTGATATAGTGAAAATGATGATAATGCCCTTTTAGTGTAAAAGCTGTTTGTAAAGAAAGCCTGACATTTCAGCCTGTTTTGGTGGGATGGAGTTTTGGCCTGCCTGGTGACATCACCATGCGGTAAATTAGTTAATAGACCAATAAGAAAGAGTTCCAAACCTCTTTGCCAATAACAGCTAGTTGTCCACATACTTCTGTATATATAGTGTATACACTCTTAGAAAAATACTTCCAAAAGGGTTCTTCGGCTGTCCCCATAGGAGAACCCTTTTTGGTTCCAGGTAGAACCCTTTTTGGTTCCATGTAGAACCTTCTGTGGAAAGGGTTCTACATGGAACCCAAAAGGGTTCTACAAATGGTTCTTCTCCTATGGGGAAAGCCGAAGAACCCTTTTAGGTTCTAGATAGTACCTTTTTTTGATTCTGTATATAGAGCCTTTATACTCATTGTGTTATTGATATCGTTACTCATTGTGTATTTATTATGACTTTTATTATTACATGTTTCACTTTTCTATTATTTCTCTATTTTCTTTCTCTCTGCATTGTTGGGAAGGGCCCGTAAGTAAGCATTTCACTGTTAGTCTACACCTGTTGTTTATGAAGCATGTGACGAATACAATTTTATTTTATTTTATTTATACAAGCAACTCAAAGCATCAAGCTAATGAAGACATGCATATTCAATTCACAGTTCTTATTCTTGACATTGCCCCCTATTCCAGTGCTTACCCTTCACTTTGAGTATACAAGTGCTCTCAGAGCCACCGCCCACAAATTTGACCACGGCTCCGTTCATCTCCATCAAGACCGTCCGGATCGTCAGCGTGTGTGTGGTCTTTTGGCGGGTGATGAGGTAGTCACCACCACTACGCAGGAGGCGTCCGTTGATAGACCAGAAGCCAGAGCACACGCCAGACAGATCCACGGAGAGTGAGGCCTCCTCGCCTGAGATGGCTGTGCTGTTCATCAGGCCTGTTTTCACCTCTGCACTGGACTCTGTAAGAAAGGGTTAAATCACATCAGTATTACAAAAGTAGCATGCTGGTGTTTTCATATATTTGTTCTTATTATGGTTTGCTTGTGAGTACCTGTTGAATGCTACACTCTTGGAAAAAAGGGTTCCAAAAGGGTTCTTCGGATGTCTCCATAGGAAAACCCTTTTTGGTTCCAGGTAGAACCCTTTTGGGTTCTATGTAGAACCCTCTGTGGAAAGGGTTCTATATGGAACCCCAAAGAGTTCTACCTGGAACCAAAAGGGTTATACCTGGAACCAAAAAGGGTTCTTCAAAGGGTTATCCTTTGGGGACAGCCGAAGAACCATTTTAGGTTCTAGATAGCACCTTTTTTTCTAAGAGTGTACTTTGTTATTTTTCTCTTCCGTACAAGTCACCTTCTACCTACAAGCCTTGGTGCAGACCCTCATTCTTCTTGTCTACCTCATACATCTCCAGGAGTATTCCTAGACTGCCAATAGTTTCTTCTTCAATAAAACCAAGTAATAAGGAGTAATAAGATGTTTGTCTGTCTCACCGAGGTAGAAGGTCCCGGGCACCTCCAGGTATTGGCTCTGGCCATAGTTGTTGACTGCAGAAATGCGGAACTGGTAGCTGGCCTCCTCTGTGAAATTCTGGATTGTGATTTCAGTAAAGGGGCTGATCTCCATGCCATTGCACCTCTGCCAGGTCTGGGCACCCACCTTCCTCCTCTCTACCATGTACCCCTTGATAGGCACAGGGCGGTCACTGTCTGGGGGGGACCAGTGGAGGGTGATGGACGAGTCAGTCTTGTTGCGCACCACCACGTCGATGGGGGGATCGGGAGGATGCTTTCTGGCAGCTGGGAGGGAGGGAGGTATAGTTCAAATTGGCTCATGTATGTATGATAAACCCTAAGAAAATTCAGTGATATGATGTATCTGCAGATGTATAGAACATAAAGTTAACCTTTGTGATCAGATTATTCAAAAGGGAATTTAAATGTAGGATTTCTTAATTTGATGTTGTGATAGGAAAAGTGCTTTAGAGTCTGTGCTTTGCATGTAGGTCTATGTCTGTAGCTCACCCGTTACAGAGAATCGTGTGGAGGTCTTGCAGTCTCCAGCCATGAAGGCCACCTCTCCTGAGTCGTCGGCCTGGCAGTGGCTGATGGTTAACGTGTACTGTCTGAGGGTGCACGCAATTAATATGCGTGTGTCCGGTTTCAGACGCTCGCCATTGCGTGTCCAGTAGGCATCAGAACAGGGGTGCTCCAGCTCAACGCAGAAGATCACTGTATCACTCACCGGCACTACAGTCCTTCTGGGCAGCTTCTTCGTGATGTTGCCTGTGAGTGACAAGTACAAGGGTCACCAAATGGCAAGTGTAGTCTACAACACTGCAGCACTAACACTGTGTAAACTAAATACCAAGGTTATTGCCCCCTGGAAAGGTCATAAAGGAAATTGGAGACCTCCTTTGCATCGTTAAATGTTTTGACAGTATATTTTGACAGTATTTTGACAGTATATTTTGACAGTGTATTTTGACAGTATTTTGACAGTATATTTTGACAGTATATCTTGACAGTATTTTGACAGTATATTTGACAGTATATTTTGACAGTATTTTTGACACATGACGAAACTGCACAACATTTCACTGTAAACTAAAGCAGTGTAAACTTCTGTCTTATGTATTTCCATCAAAGTATAATGTAGGAACAAATTATGTTGCCTAATATTTGTTATTGGAGGCATCAGAAGTTTGTCAGAAGACTAGAGACAAGAAAATGGCTCTCGTACCCAGCACAGTGAGCTCGGCCACGGTGCGGCTCCCCTCCTTCATCTCGCAGATGTAGACGGCATCATCATTGGTGGTGACGTTGTGGATGGTGAGGCGGCGCACGGTGCCCTCCTCCTCCATGCGGTACTTGGAGCAGGCCTCCAGTCGCGTCTCCTCCATGAACCAGCTGGCCTGTGTGGCCGAGACGGGCACCTCACACAGCAGCGTGGCCGTCATCTTCTCCTGGACCTCCACATCCTGCAGCTTCCTCCTGAACGGCACCTTGGGCTCTGAGGATCATGGGAAGAACGCAGAATAATTGTCAGAAGGTGAGTGAAATTATGCAAATTAGTAGATGCGTAAATCAATTGCTCAAAAAGTAAATCTCTTTCTGTTTTTGCCTATACAATTAATGTATTTCTTTTCATATGCCATACCCTGCCTTGGGCTCTGACACAGGAGGATTGCAGAACATTTTTAAAAAGTAAGTAAATTAATGTATCTTACTCACTCCTCAGCAGAACGTAAACAGCGTAGGGGGTCAATTGCCGCAACAACTAAGAGCATTGAAGCGCGAGGCTCAACTTCTCCACTGTTTTGGTGCCCGGGCTACCACACTGGACACAGCGTGAAGCGAACCTGTGCACATGCGCAGATACTGTGTGTGACTCTCGCTCATGTCAATATCTCCGGTGCTGCTCGTCGCAACGTAATTTCACTGAATCTACCTTTAAAGTATTTTTACATTACTAGAGTTTCAATCACTTAAGTATTTAATCTGTAATCCATCATCAACCCAAGGTTGGACCAGTCCAAGCCAGCATTTTGTCATGTGTCCACCTCAGGAAAGAAGTGTAAAAACATGTGATACACACACATTCTTTAAGACTGATTTCTATGGGCTCCAATAAATCACAGAGTATTTTCATAAAATAAAACGAACATTTACAATCCTTAGAAAGCCGACTACATAGACAAGTGCTGTTCCGTTTTCAGCAACAAAAGGAAACATCTCCATTTAGAGAACGCTTTAGTTCTCTACGATTTAACTGTCTGTTTACTTTATAAAGGAATGAGTTTACAAGGCTATTATTATGTACTGCATTTCCATTTGGACAAGCTTAGAACAAGACATCAGCACTCAAAAGAATCAGCTCTATTTTTTCATCATTTCAAAATAGGCAGCTCAGTCAAATGACCTAGTGGCTTCATGGGTGGAATGTTATTCATATTTTTCATAATTTATTAATTAATAAACATTATTTCAAAACCCGCCGAAAATTGGGTGTTTCTATGTCAAACGATTTTGTTATTTTTCAGTCTTATGTGATATATATAAAGTGTAATATTGTGATGCAAACTCAAAATTGAATGCATTTCAACTCTATACAGTGGCTTGCGAAAGTATTCACCCCCCTTGGCATTTTTCCTATTTTGTTGCCTTACAACCTGGAATTAAAATTGTTTTTGGGGGGGTTTGTATCATTTGATTTACACAACATGCCTACCACTTTAAAGATGCAAAATATTTTTTGTTGTGAAACAAACAAGAAATAAGACAAGAAAACTGAAAACTTGAGCGTGCATAACTATTCACCCCCCCCCCCCCCCCCCCCCCCCTAAAGTCATTACTATGTAGAGCCACCTTTTGCAGCAATTACAGCTGCAAGTCTCTTGGGGTATGTCTCTATAAGCTTGGCACATCTAGCCACTGGGATTGTTGCCCATTCTTCAAGGCAAAACTGCTCCAGCTCCTTCAAGTTGGATGGGTTCCGCTGGTGTACAGCAATCTTTAAGTCATACCACAGCTTCTCAATTGGATTGAGGTCTGGGCTTTGACTAGGCCATTCCAAGACATTTAAATGTTTCCCCTTAAACCACTTGAGTGTTGCTTTAGCAGTATGCTTAGGGTCATTGTCATGCTGGAAGGTGAACCTCCGTCCCAGTCTCAAATCTCTGGAAGACTGAAACAGGTTTCCCTCAAGAATTTCCCTGTATTTAGCGCTATCCATCATTCCTTCAATTCTGACCAGTTTCCCAGTCCCTGCCGATGAAAAACATCCCCTCAACATAATGCTGCCACCACCATGCTTCACTGTGGGGATGGTGTTCTCGGGGTGATGAGAGGTGTTGGGTTTGCGCCAGACATAGCGTTTTCCTTGATGGCCAAAAAGCTCAATTTTAGTCTCATCTGACCAGAGTACCTTCTTCCATATGTTTGGGGAGGCTCCCACATGCCTTTTGGCGAACACCAAACGTGTTTGCTTATTTTTTTCTTTAAGCAATGGCTTTTTTTCTGGCCACTGTTCCGTAAAGCCCAGCTCTGTGGAGTGTACGGCTTAAAGTGTTCCTATGGACAGATACTCCAATCTCCGCTGTGGAGCTTTGCAGCACCTTCAGGGTTATCTTTGGTCTCTTTGTTGCATCTCTGATTAATGCCCTCCTTGCCTGGTCCGTGAGTTTTGGTGGGCGGCCCTCTCTTGGCATGTTTGTTGTGGTGCCATATTCTTTCCATTTTTTAATACTGGATTTAATGGTGCTCCGTGGGATGTTCAAAGTTTCTGATATTTTTTTATAACCCAACCCTGATCTGTACTTCTCCACCACTTTGTCCCTGACCTGTTTGGAGAGCTCCTTGGTCTTCATGGTGCCACTTGCTTGGTGGTGCCCCTTGCTTAGTGGTGTTGCAGACTCTTGGGCCTTTCAGAACAGGTATATATATACTGAGATCATGTGACAGATCATGTGACACTTGGATTGCACACAGGTGGACTTTATTTAACTAATTATGTGACTTCTGAAGGTAATTGGTTGCACCAGATCTTATTTAGGGGCTTCATAGCAAAGGGGGTGAATACATATGCACGCACCACTCTTCCGTTATTTATTTTGTAGAATTTTTGAAACAAGTTATTTTTTTCATTTCACTTCAACAATTTTGACTATTTTGTGTATGTCCATTACATGAAATCCAAAAAAATATCCATTTAAATTACAGGTTGTAATGCAACAAAATAGGAAAAACGCCAAGGGGGATGAATACTTTTGCAAGGCACTGTATCTGACATGGTACAGGTGTTTTCTCTGTTTTAAGCCCATAACCATGTGTGTGAGGTGTAGACTTTTGTTTCAAGGTATATTTGTTTAAGACTGCCAAGAACCACTCTGGGTGACCCTGGTTTAGCCCACTACAGTAAAAGGTTAAATAGTGCCTTATGCTCTTTGACAACAGTTGAGAAGGAACAGAGGGTAAACCATATTCACTTACATTGTGGGTTAGCGTTTATGTGCTGCTTTCATCTTTCCATATATCATTTGAATGTGTTTTGAATGTTTGGCTGGGACTGTGACTACTGAGTAGGTTTCTATAATGACATTTCCCAGAGGTGCTTATTGCGCACCAGAGGGTCATCAAATTATCTGGTGTTAATAGAAACACTGGTACATAAAGGGTTACAGTCCCTCTCCCCTGCAAAGCCTCTCAAGTATCCATTATCTGGCATCAATTATAACTAGACGCAACCAAACGCACTGCCATGGGCACTGCACTCGCTGTCAAATTGAGACAGAGATTAACAACCACCATTGATACATTTCCATGCTCCAGGCTTCTAGCAAATCAGGAGTTGCTCATGGAAAATCACCCTTTGCTCTGGCACCTAATGGCCATCATAGCAACTGTGAACTACTCATCACCAGCAGAAAATAGATGAAACATGACACTCCCCCTTCATATCGCTGCCAGCATTCCACCACTTAGTTGCACAGTTTAAGTCTATGTTGGGGCAAAGTAAAACTGTGCTCAGGTGAACGTTTTAGCTCACTTTGGTTAATTCTTGTGGTGTGGAAAGACTTGTTGAGACTAATTTCAGAAAGAGCATGACTGTATGACATTCTCCGATATCTCAAGGAAAGCACACACTCAGTTAACCTCGTCAGATTCCTTGCACTATCATGTTTAAAGGCCCAGTGCAGTCAAAAATGTGATTTTCCTGTGTTTTATATACAGTATATTTCCACACTATGAGGTTCGAATAATACTGTGTATTGTGAAAATGATGATAATGCCCTTTTAGTGTAAAAGCTGTTTGTAAAGACCGCCTGAAATTTCTGCCTGTTTTGGTGGAATGGAGTAATGGCCTTGCCATGGACATCAACATGTGGTAAATGAGTTAATAGACCAATAAGAAAGAGTTAAAAACCTCTCTGCCAATAACAGCTAGTTTTCTGTTTTTACCCTCCCCACTCAGACCACTCCCAGACAGTCCTAGTCAAATTCTTGCTTGAGAAATGCTCTTTGCTAACAAGCTATTTTTGTTTCTTTATGACCATTTTAATTTAAAACAATCACAATAAGGTATTTAACTGTTACCCAGAAATTATTTGATATTGAGTCAGTACGGGAAAAAAAGAAAAAAAATGTATCCATTAACTAAATTGCTCTGGATAAGAGCGTCTGCTAAATGACTCAAATGTAAAATGTAAAAAATGTAAAAATGGCTGCATTGGACCTTTAAACACTCTTTGAAATCAATGCTTTCACATACATAAGCCTGGGTACAGGGGGACCACAACATCACAAGAATGACAAACTCCACTGTTATGCAGGCCTGCATTGCTATATTTAACAAATGTTATATGTATAACTTATATACTAGGTCATTATCAGCAATTCATATAGAGCAATGAGAGAGAGTTAATCTAAGGTCATCTCCCCACATGACAAGCATTGTCATGTCCCTTAATCATGAATCCCTTTGCCTTGTTATGGAAACGTTATAGAAAAACTACCCTCACTTTTTCCTCAACAGCCGAGTGATGAACTAGACTTGGGAGTATGGTAATGGCAGAATATGGACAAACTAATGCTAAACATTTTATTTTGTAGACGACTTAGATGTGATGCACTATGAAATTGAAATGATAATCCATGGCGTAAATGCACTATTCTACATCATTTATATTCAAACCAAACATCGCTCTTGAAATACCAACATAACAGAATATATCAAATTTGTGAAAAGTATTGTTTTTTTATTGCTTACCTTTAACTATCACCAGCACGGCACTGTAGGTGTGTCCAGCCATATTGGAGGCGTTACAGGTGTACAGGCCATTGTCCCTCTGTTTGCAGTACAGGATCTTGAGGATGAAGTTCTCGGCCTGGTCCTCATACATGATCTGTCTGCGTCCCTCGCCGATGTTCCTCGCATCCTTCCTCCAGATGATATGAGGCTTGGGGTGGCCCGTCACGAAGCAGCTGAGTTTGGCGTGCTTGCCTTCAGTCACCGTGCAGGTGCGGGTGAAGACGCCTTTGGGCAGATGGCTGACCAGTGCTGCGCTGCTGTGGTCTAGACCCAGAAGGCTCAGCCCGTCTGTGACCATAGTGGTGGCGGTCGAGGAGGTGGTGGTGGAGTTGGAAGTGGAGCTGCTGTTCTCGGCGGTGCAGTAGATGGAGATCCCTTCTTTACGCTTCTGCAGGTGGGAGAGGAGGGAGGTGCTCTTGTCATGGCCCAGGTGATGGGAGTCCTGGGTGTCTACGACCAAGGCGGCAGCGGAGTTAGAACGTCCTACCGAATTCTGGGCGCGGCAGGTGTATGTGCCGCTGTCCAGGCTGCGCACGCTCTGGATCCTCAGAGAGCTGCTGTCACTGTCCGAGGTCACCTTGATGCGGTTCGTCTCGGCCAGGTAACGCCCGTCCTTCTCCCAGTCAAATTTGGGCTCTGGGTAAGCCGCAACCCGGCAGTGGAAGACAACGTCACCCCCCAGGCCTACACGTGCGGTGGTAGGCTTGACCATAAAGACGGGGGCCCTCGCCACCATCTCCTGTGGAAGGCCTACGTGAAGGGTTACGCATGCATATGCTTCCCCAACATTGTTTTTGGCCCGGCACATGTACTGGCCGCTGTCCTCCAGGGTTAGATCGTAGATGGTGAGGCGGTAGACGTCACCATCATCCACCATCTTGAAACGGCCCCCAGAGGTCAGACGTAGCTTCTCCTTTTCCCAGGTAATCAGTGGGGTGGGGTTGCCCACGATGGTGCAGCTCAAGGTGGCATCCTTTCCCACGCACACTGCGAATGCCTTGGGCCGCGTGAGGAACCTGGGGGCCCCTCCAAACAGGTTCTGGTCCATTACTAGTTCCTAGAGTACCAAGGAAATAGTGTCATTTAGAATTGAAACACACCATTGAGAGAATATAATAATCAAGAATACTTGGCTATATCAAGAAGTGCAGTAGCAACATACGAAAGGCAAACAAAACTATGAGATATCCTTCTAATGTTGTTGTCAATCATTTAAATCACTTGCCTCCAGAACTAGAATGTTACACTTGCATGACAGCCTCTAGTGTCTCATCCTTCTCATGACTGACATGATAATGTAAAACTAAAGTTTGGAAAACTTTGTAGAGTTAATTGTTTGCTGTAAATGGGCCATTGTAGAGTTAATTGTTTGCTGTAAATGAAGATTGTTTTCATAGGAACTTGGAGGAATGTATTAACATGTCTCACTTATGGCTGAGATATTTTTAGTGACCTCTGTCTGCCATGGAAGTCAACAAAACATCCTTTCCAAAATGGAAGATATGCATTATGGACAGATAACAATAATATCTCAGTAGTTAAAACATTTATAGAGCAGATCACTCGGCCTTCTAGAGAGTTGTTTTACATCTATTCACTGTATCTGTGCACATTTACATAAACAATACATAATACTGACTTAAATATTGCTTATAATGTCTCTATGTAGGCCTAACACATTCAATCTGCAGTTTTATCATTTTGTACAGCACATTTGCCTAACCTGGACAGATTTCCAACTAAAACACTATGATACAGAGTAGACTAACAACATCACAAGTAACGACCATAAAATTGATCGTATTTTAACAAAAATAGTCCAACTGATGATAAATAATGCTATCAGAGCTACCCAAGAGGGAGGCAGATTCTAGAGTGACAGAGGGATGCATAGAAAAACATCCTCCTCATTCATTCCAAATAATAGCCTACAATACATTTTGGGGTTAGAAGTATATATTTCATAGGTTTCTGCCTAGCCTACTGAAGTGGAATAGTTTGATTAGTTGGTGCCATAGGCCTACTGTTCTTCAATTCTGGTCCTGGGAACCCACAGGGGTGCACTTTTTTCTAGTCCTGCACTAACAAACCTGATTAAACTCATTTGTAGTCATCAAGCCATTGAAATTTTTTTTACACCATTTGAGTCCGCAGGACCAGACTTGAGGAACACGGTCGCATAGGACATCAACCAGACCCATATCAAGATCAAATAACACCTACACACTTGCATAAAAAGGTGCATCCAGAGGGGAGCAGGTGGTTTATTAGGCCTGTAGCCTACCAAAGCTGACATCAGCGCACCGGCAGATTATGACAAATGCTGTTTTAACCCAGTTAAATAGAGCAGATATGTGTCTTTGAAAGGGTGACATTTGCCATCTTTGTCACCTCCCTCCCCTGAGCTGCCTGTCCCAAAAATAACCTCAGCTGTCGGGCCGCGTCTCTGTCCATTGCCATTTGTAGAAGCATAGAGAGATCAGCTGTTTGGTAGGGCACCCACAAGAGAAGGAAACGCTTCTTTATTCGATATTGCTTGATACATTTACCAATACAATTATGCAAATTGATCATACATGTTTTATGTATTTGGTTTTATGTACTGTAGATAGTCGGCAAAACACTTTTAACATATGGTCTTCTCGGACCAACAAAGTTACTCATTGCAATTCAGTATATAAATTATAAAAACATAGGTTTTAGGGAGTGTAAAACTGGCACCACAAACATAGAACAGCACACTAATGAAGATGATTTGTCTAAAAATAAGAAACTCGACTCCCATTTAAAAATAGGCCTATATTAATTAGGCCTAATTCAATCACAATTTATATTGTTCAGTTATTGCACATTTTATTTCCTTTTAGGCTATTTCAACTGGGAACTGGGTTAATAAAATTTCAGCAATACATTTCTCACCTTGAGTCTTCAGACACTCGCTGGTAAAACAAGCGCTGAAACATGTGGACTAAAACTTTAACAAAGTTTTACAGTCCGAAAGATGATCCTATCTTTGCCGTTGAGATCCAACAAATGTATGTTTATTCCTACAATGATGATTGTGTATCCAGGGAAGTGTAACATCCCCCAGTCTCCTGCAGTGGGTGGTTGACTATGAGTGTTTCTTTTTTCTTCATTGGTACCTCATGATGCCAAGTAGCTGACGTTCTTATTATGGTGCAGCCTCCATCCCAAAATAGACTTGTCATTTACTGTAGAGATAGCCTGGGTACTGGAGCAGGGGGGTGGACAGGCTGGTATAGCTTATATACCCAACTAGCCCCAAAACAACAAATTCAAAATTGTGCAAGTGAGGGACATCAAACTTTTGTATTTTTATTTTTTTGTATTTTATTATGGATCCCCATTAGCTGCTTCCTGGGGTCTAAACACATCAAGATACTTACATTGCACATAATATATTTTTTTTAACAGTACATGATATACAGTGCCTTGCAAAAGTATTCATCCCACTTGGCGTTTTTCCTATTTTGTTGCATTACAACCTGTAATTTAAATGGATTTTTATTTGGGTTTAATGTAATGGACATACACAAAATAGTCCAAATTGGTGAAGTGAAATGAAAAAAAGCTCCACAGTCCCAGTGGCTAGATGTGCCAAGCTTATAGAGACATACCCCAAGAGACTTATACTTATTTTCCTACAATGTGATTTTCTGGATTTTTTTTCTAATTTTGTCTGTCATAGTTGACGTGTACCTATGATGAAAATTACAGGCCTCTCATCTTTTTAAGTGGGAGAACTTGCACAATTGGTGGCTGACTAAATACTTTTTTTCCCCACTGTATATAGCCCTGGACTGTTCAGTCATTGTTGTGTGTAATTGTTAGCGTTGTGTCGTTTAATCGCTCCTTGTTATTCTCTTTCTCATTGTTAAGTAAACCTTTACCTTGTTGATTCCTGCATCTGCGTCCTGCCTCTTCGTATCCTCAGTACTCATCACAGAATTACACAACTCTCATGAAAATGGATGCAACAGGTAATCCTCCTGGAGTTTCCCAGCGCATCAACCAGCAGCAGCTTGCCCAGTTGAACGCCGCCATGCAGGAAGTGCTCCAAACTCTGCGCTCCGGTTCCACCTCAGGGAGCGGCAAGTGCACCCAGTCCACCTGTTCCCGTGCTATCACCAACTTCTGAGGGACCCCTCGCCCTACTGGAGCGCTATGACAGTAAAACTACTAAATGTTGCGGCTTCCTGCTACAGGTTTCACTTTATCTGGCACGTCAGCCTGTGGCATATCCATCTGACCAAGCCAGGATAGCGCTGGTGATTTCGCTACTTAAAGGAAAGACGCTGGATTGGGCCACGGCAGTCTGGGAAGGAGGTGAGGCCGTGGCACTTCCCTACTCCATGTTCCTCGCTCGGTTCAGGGCGGTGTTTGATCATCCCACGTAGGGAAAGGATGGGGGTGAGCGTCTCCTCGCACGGTGGCGGTCAGAAGTTTACATAGTCTCAATTAGTATTTGGTAGCATTGCCTTTAAATTGTTTAACTTGGGTCAAACGTTTCGGGTATCCTTCCACAAGCTTCCCACAATAAGTTGGGTGAATTTTGGCCCATTCCTCCTGACAGAGCTGGTGTACCTGAATCCGGTTTGTAGGCCTCCTTGCTCGCACATGCTTTTTCAGTTCTGCCCACACATTTTCTATAGGATTGAGGTCAGGGCTTTGTGATGGCCACTCCAATACCTTGACTTTGTTGTCCTTAAGCCATTTTGCCACAACTTTGGAAGTATGCTTGGGGTTATTGTCCATTTGGAAGACCCATTTGCGACCAAGCTTTAACTTCCTGACTGATGTCTTGAAATGTTGCTTCAATATATCCACATCATTTTCCTTCCTCATGATGCCATCTATTTTGTGAAGTGCACCAGTCCCTTCTGCAGCAAAGCACCCCCACAGCATGATGCTGCCACCCCTGTGCTTCACGGTTGGGATGGTGTTCTTCGGCTTGCAAGAACCCCCTTTTTCCTCCAAACATAATGATGGTCATTATGGCCCAACAGTTCTATTTTTGTTTCATCAGACCAGAGGACATTTCTCCAAAAAGTACAATCTTTTTCCCCATGTGCAGTTGCAAACCGTAGTCTGGCTTTTTTATGGCGGTTTTGGAGCAGTGGCTTCTTCTTTGCTGAACGGCCTTTCAGGTTATGTCGATATAGGACTCGTTTTACTGTGGCTATAGATACTTTTGTACCTGTTTCCTCCAGCATCTTCACAAGGTCCTTTGCTGTTGTTCTGGGATTGATTTGCACTTTTTGCACCAAAGTACTTTCATCTCTAGGAGACAGAACGCGTCTCCTTCCTGAGCAGTATGACTGCTGCGTGGTCCCATGGTGTTTATACTTGCATACTATTGATTGTACAGATGAACGTGGTACCTTCAGGCGTTTGGAAATTGCTCCCAAGGATGAACCAGACTTGTGGAGGTCTACAATTCTTTTTCTGACGTCTTGGCTGATTTCTTTAGATTTTCACATGATGTCAAGCAAAGAGGCACTGAGTTTGAAGGTAGGCCTTGAAATACATCCACAGGTACACCTCAAATTGACTCAAATGATGTCAATTAGCCTATCATAAGCTTCTAAAGCCATGACATCATTTTCTGGAATTTTCCTAGCTATTTAAAAAGGCACAGTCAACTTAGTGTATGTAAACTTCTGACCCACTGGAATTGTGATACAGTGAATTATAAGTGAAATAATCTGTCTGTAAACAATTTTTGGAAAAATTACTTGTGTCATGCACCTAACCGACTTGCCTAAACGATAGTTTGTTAACAAGAAATGTGTGTAGTGGTTGAAAAGCGAGTTTTAATGACTCCAACCTAAGTGTATGTAAACTTCCGACTTCAACTGTATGTGGCGGTGACCCTGAAACGGGGGTTAATCAGACGCTCTACCTCTCCTGCCTCCGCCAGCTTCTTCTTCGTGGCCAAAAAAGCCGGAGGACTGAGGCTGTGCATTGACTACATTGAACGCAGTCACCACCAAGTACCGGTACCCCCTCCCTCTGGTTCCGTCAGCC